GGGGCCTTCAGAGTTCAAACCAGGGTCAAGCCTCCAACACATTGTGGGTGCCGCTCGCATGGGAATTGAAGCTGGCCACTGATGTGGTGTGCTGGGGTTCTGTTCTGGAAGCCCAGACAGGGTCTGCCGTGGAATCCTCATCCTTGGACACTTCACTCGCGAATGTCCTAAGCAGTCCCTCATCGCCATCAAGACCCATCCGCCATCTCCAACACTTCCGAGGAACTCGCTGTCCGAACGGACAAGAGCTTTCGTTCTGAAGTGCCGCTCATTGCGGATCAGATGGCACGATTACAGCAGTACGCAACCTGGCTGCAGTGCTCACCGTCAATCCAACTCATGTGGCATGCTTCTTCCGCACGTCAGTCAAGATGCGTCCGCCTACCGGCCGGGTCTTGGCCGCTGAATTCACTTTGATGGTTGATCACCGATCCAACCTACAAGCCAGCCGCATGGTAGTTAGCGTCCAGAGGTACTTTCACGCAGTACTCTGTACGTACGGCCATGTCAAGCTGTCCGTATTGCGTAGAGTAAGACCATCCCGCCACGACATCCATTCGAGTCCTTCTGCAGGCCTTCGACGAACGTTCTGGCCTCATCGACATCTTGCCGCACTAACGAAGTTAGATCAACTGACACTCGGCCAAGCTGGTCCTCAGACTGCACGTCTGCCCATGGTCTCACCGGCCTCCCCATCATCATGCCTTTTTGGGGCCGAACCGGTGCCGCAGGAGGCGCCTCCCTTTCCGACATTCGTCTGCCTTACCTTGTTTTACTCCGCATCCTGTCCGTCTGATCTTTTCTGGCGAGCCCTTCCTTGTGGAACCATGCCATTGTTCCAGCGAAACGTCCAGGAACCCGCACTCTGTTGTGTGACAAGAGGTTTCCCCGTGAAAACTCTCGGCATTGAACACCCCATCTCATCACCCACCCTCCAGCCACCAAGAGGCATTGGGCGTTGCGACATTACGCCATCAGACCAGGTGGACCGTTGGACGCAGCCAAATGAGGCTGTATGAGAAGCGACAGTCTGCACGAAAGACTTCACACCTTAATATCGGATATCCCATCCATGCCGCTACAACGGCTTTCTCATCTGCACTGCACTTGCAGCATCAGCTCGAGCGCTTGCGTACATCCAGACCGGCCTTGCTGCTGTCGCTCTCTGGGACAGAAAAGAACGGACGTTGATGATAAGACCAGGGTCGGCTATAGCACGGTACAATCCTCTCACCGGATTCGTTAAGCTACGAGGTGTGCAGAATGAAGCTTCCGAGATGAAACGTTCTGGGCAAATAACAAAACATATGATGGACAGACGCACCAATACTACTTCAGCAAGCCGTTCATCTCTATCAATTGAGGGTACAGTTCACTTGAAAAGCTTCTATGGAGGTTTGGCCACCATTGCGCCTCGAGCTCGGAGAACTTCGAGGAGCTCTAAGGAGCGATCTCTGCGCAGCAATTTTCAAGCCTCGAAAGCAATTGCGACGGGCTGGTGCCACACCCACATGGACCGCACCAACAAGTCGATCATTTCAGTTAATCAAAAAAGTCGAGTCGCTGAGTGGTTGAAGCCAAGAAGGTTGCAAGTGCCACAATGCAGGAACCTACGTGCAGTCTGGCAGTCTGGCTCGCCTGGCTATCACCCGAGTCGTCTGCAGCTTGTCATTGTGGGCAAGAAGAAATGGGATGATGACAGGAGCCAGCATCTTCATAGGACTGACTGGCTGTTCGACGGCTCAGTGGGGATCGCGGGGTCTGATCAATCTCGACGGCAGCCTGCGCCACGCAGAGCTTCCTGACGAGCATTTGAGACTGGTGGCTTTTCTTGTCCTCCTCAACTTCCCTGCCCTCGCGTACCTGTTGGTACTCAAGCAGCAATTTACGACTGGGGTTCAATACAAGTTGGACGCTCTCAGTGGTGAAGGCTGATTCCAGCTTTCCCGTGACCCTTCAACGGTTGGTAGAGGTCGATGGCGGCTGGAGGACGCGCAACTTCTTTGACCAGGATCCGCGGGCATGGCCGGCACTGCAATAATACCACCTAGAGGTCGCCATCACTGGAGACAACATCCATCTTGGTCTGCCTTGGCTCGGTATCCCACTATGGCGCCCATTCCTCCGTTCACTTCACCTGGAAAGGCCGCCAACAGCTGTCTGACAGCAAATAGAATGACAGCAGGGCGGCCTTTTACCGACCAACCGAAATGGACAAGGTCACGAAGGAAGGGCGAGCAGGGGACGAGAGGGGAAAACGGGGTGAGTACAGCAATACAGCAGTAGTGTCATCGTTCACATGCTAAAAACTAGCGGTGGCCTTGGGTTTGGCAGTATCGCAGGGCCTCAACAATGGAACCTACCGAGGAACACCATCGCCCACCCCAGGTCCTTTCTGTCTTGGCCTTCCTGTGCCGCAAAGTTGGCCTGTAGGTACCCAGCCTCTTCTGACTGCTGACAAGACAATATTACAATCCCATCCACCTCCACTGAATCCAATACATGAAAGGGGTGGTTGCTGATCCTGAACGTTGAAAAGTCGTTGGACGTATTGCCAAATGAAAAAGCACTTTCAGACCTTAATCGAAGGGGACGTCTACCCGTACAGCTGGCGCAATGGTGGTTTCAGAGCGCATAGGTCGCCCTACATCCTGGGGCTGTGTCTGCCTCGGATCCGAACTCGTGCCAATGAACCACGCGTCTAGCGCTGGGAGCTAGCATCTGTCACGCTCGGTTGTTCCCTTTTAACGCACAACTGGTTCCTGGAATCGTTCGGTCCAGGGGGTGTCTTCCTGTTCTTCGCCCCCAAGATCTCGGGCACAGTGATGAACGTGGCTGGAAGGGCAAGGGACCCTCATTCTGGCAAGGGTATCATCTGATGGCACGGGGGGTGTCGTCTGAGCCTGGACGGTCCGAATGGACAGCCAGTCGATGTCCACTCTCGTGCTCCTGATCCATGTTCGTCAGATTATGTTGGTGGTCTTTCGTGACTCGCATATGGACATTTGCCGATGATTAGGCGATCCGACCATGCGAGAAGCCGATGAAGGCGACTATCACGGTGAACGGCCCTTTCGGGCAAATAGTTGCCAGAAGGCGAGATGATTGACCAAAGGAAGAAGAATCGCTGGGATGCATGCGGTCCCAATTTCAGGTGTTGAGGCTGCATGGGGGCGGCAACAGATGACTCGGCCGAAGACAGGGGACGCGGCAGCTGGGAAGGCCCAGTCCCGTCCGTCCGCCCGCTCCGGGGAATCTTTAAACATTGGGCAGCGCACCAAGACTCAATGCCGTTGCTTCGATGACAGCTCTTAGCCCGTTCCAGAAACTGTTCTCCGAACCGACTCCAGAGACACATGTACATGAGTCCGAGCGCAGACTGGGCTTGGACAGGACAGCAGACGACGGACTGCGGACTGCTCATCCCAAGGACCGCGGTATCTCCCCAAGCCGTTACCAATGGGGCCAGCTATGCTCTCTAGGGGTCGGGATGTTGACGGGCTGCGAGACCTTTGCGAGAGGCTACTGCGAAGCTCTGGCCAGGACCGTGGCTCTGAGAAATCACCTCTCATTTTGTTCTATTGCTTCCGTCATGCTTCTATCAAGCTTCGAGAAAAGCGGGAGAAGCCACGCCGTGCCACACCGGGCGTCAAATCTCCTCGGCCCCCGTCAATATCATCCAACAACGTTCGGACGACCAGCTGTGCCGTCGGACATGGCATGGGGTCAGACCAGGTCGAGCGTCGTGTTTCTGCGAATGGAACAGCTCAACGTGACTTTGAGCATGGAGTTCATTTAGAGCTGTCCAAAAACAGCTTATTAGAAGAAAATAAGAAAGATGAAGTCATTGATGAAGGGAACATCGGGATCAGCTTTCTATCGAACTTGGCCTGGAGAAGGTAATCAAACTGCGAATTCCACTAGGGGCGCGGTTCCTCGATGCTTGCGCGCCCAGCTCCCACTCCCTTTTTTTCTCCAGCCAAGGGTCCTATCAGCCTTACGCTGTTGCTACCACGAGATGGAAAGACGCCTTGAGATGATCTTAGCTTTCCAAGGTCTCCGTCCGGAGGTGTGGTAACATGGGGGCGAAATAGCCTGCAAGGGGGGAAAAGAGACGAAGAAGTTATCGTTGTTCGTATCCATCTGCGGGATGGATCATGGATGGAATCACTAGTTACAATTGATGGCCTGCAGGGCCAGGTGCAACTTGCAAGGCAGAGGCGCAGCTAAACCCGCAAATCCGCAACCCCGGTTGACCCTTTTTTTTCGAATTCGAAAAGGCACGGGAAAGAAATGTGCATCGTTCGACAGAGACTCCTTTTTGCGTTGTATCCAAGAGGTTATTTTAGATTTATTGGAAGATCATCGAGAATCCCTTAAATGGTGGATCGTCGCTGACGACACGGGGTGACGGGGACGCACGGGGGGACAGTTCGGCCCCGCAATCCACGTCCGATTCCGGCAAGTGAGGGGCAATATTTCCAGTGCGCTGCCATCACTGTAAAATTAGTGATTCATGCGCCGGAGCCTGCCAACGTTGTTAAGCTCTCGGTCGCTTATCTAATCCTCGTCTTTTGGCGGGGCTACCTGGGGCATACCTCCAAAAATATTGATTCCCTCATGGCTGCTTCATTTCTTTCCCATCCACAAGCCATCCACCCACGTCGTCGCCATCTGGAAAAAGTCCACTCTCACAGTGAAGAGGGGGGATTTCCGAAAAAAGATCGTATTGCGAACCACCAGAGACGCCATCATCTATCGTCGTCATCTCACTTTCCAGTCCGACTCTACCGAACCAGGGGCTTTTGCAAGGGCAATCTCCAAGTTTTCCAATCTTGGATCTTAGGGAGCATTTGGGACTTTTGTGATAGCCCGGAAAGCCACACCGAGATCGAGCGGAGCACAGATTGGGGGTCATTCATTGATTGCGCTTGCTGGGGTTCACCACTGGACGCTTTCTCGGATCAAAGATACAGCACACCACACGACCTTTGGGCAACATGGACAAAGATCTCGACAATGCGAACCCGACCATCTTGAGCGCGGCTCAGATGCCGACGCGTCAGACCAAACGGATAGCACCAAGGAAGGGCCCAGATGCCAAATATACCGACATCATTCTCGCCAAACCAGCCTACCTGTCACGCCCTTTCTGTGATGACGACTCATTATGGCCTGACAGGGACGTCGTCGATGACGATTTCGCTGAGGAACCCATCGACGAGCAGGAAATCTACGGTGAGAGGCCTCCTCCTTTCCTTTGAGTCTTACGATTGCATTATCATTTCCTTCTGTCAATGAATTTGGAGCTGTGAGCCGCACCTGAGCAAGGTCCACGAGGCTAGGCGATGCAAGCGCCACATCCTCCGTCACCATCACGAGACCGTTGCCCCCTCGTCGCCATTGCGATGCATGGTCGCATTGATCTGTTTTGCCCACTACTTCGACGAGGATACTCGTCGTTGTGGACATGGCTTCTCCTCGCAAGGCGCGGGAGGCTATGCTTCGGTTTTACTCCGAGTAGCCGCGCATTCCCTGCTTACGTCCCGCCCTGGAGAGGATCACACAGCTGACGTTTCATAGACTTGATATCTACCATTTCCGACCCAGAACACCCCCTTTCTCTGGGACAGCTGGCCGTCGTCAACCTCCCTGACATTCACATCAACCCACCTCCTTGTTCGGGACCGTCAGACCCCAACGCGTTGGTCCAGGTACTGGTCGACCTCACGCCGACCGTAAACCACTGCTCTCTCGCCACCGTGCTTGGCTTGGGGGTTCGCGTCCGTCTGGAGCAAGCGCTCCCGCCCAACTATCGCGTCGACATCAGAATCAAGGAGAACGCGCATGCCCAGGACGACCAGGTGAACAAGCAGCTGAGCGACAAGGAGCGCGTTGCTGCCGCCCTGGAGAACGACACCCTGAAGGGTGTCCTGGACAAGATGCTCGAGACATGCGTATGATTGATCAATCAATCACAGTCGTCGGGTCAGGTGTAGGACCACCGGAGGCATGTCGCCATCTGTCCTCTTCTCGATCATGGCAAATGGCAAATATGCACATTCAAAAACCGCGCGAAGTCGACATTCAACCGCAAGTAAACCAGGGCTCGTGTCTTTAAATAGGTGATCGGCAATCCGTACCTTTCCTCAACCAAGGCATCGCCACCTTGGCAGGGGGCTCCGTCGCTCTATCGATTTTCTTTCCATGGCACATTGAGAGATTCGCCCGAGCTTTTTGATGAAATATCGAAAATGGATCGACAGGTACCGTCATCATCCACCGACCGGTGAGCAAACAGGATCTTTCCTCGGCGGCGGCTGTCATATCCGCGCCAGCTCCACTAGGGAAGCCCAGCAGGGTCTGAGCGGGATCTACCAACGGTTCATGACTCTCGCAACGGATGGCGGGTTCTTGGATAGGGCTGTGCGGGCGCTGTGGACGAAGAGTTTCCGCACTCTAGTCGACTCACGCGGTCCACCAACTTGTTTTTCGTTTCGGCACAGACTTGAGTATATCTCTGCAAAAAAACGTATTGGTGTTACGACATCTTGTAGTGTCGGAATAGTTGGTAGAATGAAACAATATCAAGTGTAACCTGTACACCTGTACACCGCATGTTCCTTCCTCCAAACACTGCAGAAAACATGGTTGCCATGCTATATCAACTGCCATATTGCTGTCAATAGCCGACCCAAGCGTATCATCCCTCCGGCTCCGCGACACCCGGCGTGATTTACCGGTTCAGGGTCCTCGAGGGCAGAAGAAGTTTATCCCCCGAACTATCGAACCCTCGGTATCGACTAAACCCTCATGCTTGAGCCGTGTTCTCCCTGTGGAATCCATTTGTGAAGATGCGGATCTGCATCGATGGTCGGATTTCGTCCAAGGCACGTCTGGACCAAAAACCTGCCATGGCGTTACATTGTGGCGCTGACATGTGTATGTGTGTGTGTGTTTCCCCCAACCACACACGCACTCGAAGAGGCAATATTTTAGACGGGTGCATGGGGAGGGGGAAAAGCGAGATCGAAGAAGACCAACCACACCGTCAGCGTTGCAGTAAGCAGTGTAAGAACCACATGGTTTATTGTCCTGCAGCAGCGACTGCAGAGCCCGCGGGCCGTGGCGGCATGATGTTTCTATTGACTGATTCCTTCACGCCCCCGTCCGCTTCTTCGAGCGGATGTTGTATTGAGGCCCAATACACTTGGTTTATATTGCAAACGTACTCGTGCCATACTTCTCAGAAGGCCAGTCGAAAGTTAGATGGTAACGACCTGGACGGAACAGAGAAAACGAACAGATAGACACGCTAGGCGCTTTACCCGGCCATAACACACGAGATGGACGTTAGGATGTCCCCTCGCGCTGGGTAGGGTTCGACCGAATGCATCCCCGTCTGATCTGCAACTCCCGAGGTTTCCGTGGCCCAAGCTCGATGTTCATATTTTCCCGCTCCGTCTCTTGTTTACAGTAAAGCAACGTCCTCATCGCCAGGCTGTTCTTCGTTATGTGGGATGCCGTTCAACGTAGCTCGTAAACCGCGTCGCCCCCACGGCACCAGTCATGTACATGCAGCACAATGAAGGAACGAGGGGATAGGACCGCTGGGCACACTGGGTATCATCTCGTCGATCGATCACTCGTCGTTGAGCATCAACACGGGACCATTCGAGTGTTCCTCAAAGAAGGAAGCTCTTTCTGGTCTTGGCACCCAGGACTAGTAGTCATAACCCTTGCCGTAGATGATGACAGCCGGCATACTCCCACGATCCGACGCGGAAGGTCGCATGGAGCCTCGAGTACCCAAGCCCGTGTCTTTCTTTATCTCGTGAGAGAATGACGACGAAAGGGCAGCCCACTGCCAGAGCAAAAAGCCCGGGCGCCCAATAAACCACGCCTCTCGAGCTCAAGAAGGAAGTTCCCAACCAAAGCAGTCTTGGGGGTTGTACGCATGTGGCCGTGTTAGGTCGGAGAGATATGTGTATGGGGGTGTGTGTGGGTTGGCATGTGCCGAAGGCGTCACGGCTGCCAAACGGGCAGGTAGAGTTGGAGTGCGTCCCCGGGCCGGCAGGTGATATGGCTACTGGGAGACAGACTCTGGGGTCGTGGCCGGCCGGCCGCGCGATGTAGGTAGTGTAAATGGGACGGGCTAGATCCTTGGGCGATGCATGGTGAGATGGTTTAAATTGGGTTGACTTGCAGGGAGAAGTGAGTCGCGCATATCATGTCATGTTTGATTCTGCAGTGGCGGTGCTGCTGCGGGACGATTGGTGTCGTGATTGCTTCCCAGTTTCCTGTACAGGAAGGCTGGTAAGTCAGTCAAAGCTGTTGCGTTGGCCATATGCCAGTTGATTCCAACGTTGGCATATCCTTTGATACCAGACTACCTGTCTCTATCCATATCCTGAGGTGCAGTAAGGATCAGGTTGAGTTGCAGGTGACCATCGGACGGCCGGAGCCCGCCGATCCTCTCTTCCAACGCCATCCATAACCCTGTCTCTTGTTCTTGTCTCTCTCTGCGTGTGTCTCTTTCTGGCACCTCCAACAGCTTGGCGGCAACCCCGGGTTATGCTGTCAGAAGAATGGGAGGGAAAACAGAGTTTCGGTGAACTGCCCGGTCAATATGGATATCCCGCAGTACCACCACGCCGCCCAATTTTTTAACGTATGTAGCAGCACTATCTTTGGCACCGTCACTGCCGCCAGGGCCACGGTCCGGCCGTTGCATTCAATATACGGCGCGGCTTTTCCATCCCTCTGCTCCCGCATACGCACATGTCAACGCAAGTGTCCTTTGCTTTCCAGGGGAAGATTTCCATGCGTTTACCAGACGCGGTTTATGCAAGGACGACGACATCCCCTTCTTGGCATCGCGGCGATTCGGCGAGAGATGACGAGCACCGCCGCGATGCATGAGACTGTTCATTGCTTCGCGTCACGCGCAAGACTAGTCGACGATGCTGGACGACGGTCTGAGTGGCTCTCATCGTGGCTAATTCGACACTGACAAAGACCTTGCCTGCCCGGGATGCTTGGTCGGCGTCTGTGGACTTTTAACCGCGCGGCGTTTACGACAGGATCCCCTGATAGACCCCTCCATCAAGACGACGAAAAAACTCTGAACTAAAACGATTGAGCTCGCGTGGTTTAAAGTGGGCAGTCGTCCAACTTTCTCTAGTCTACCTAGAGTTTTGCTCCCCCATCAGCCGGGAAAAACATCGGGTCAGTAGATGGCAAAGTGTAATACATCAGTCAGCAAATGTAGACGACGCCAGTGGAGTTGAGCTGATGGGGGGGTTTGGGGCGAAAGTGAGCCGTGGTGAAGGGTTCCTGGTGTATGTTGGGCTTGCGTATCTCTGTCATTTTCGTAGGGTTAGGGGAGTAAAAAGAGGATCGAGGCGAGCGAAATGGGATGGTTCAGGACAAGGTTGGGCTGTCGAGGTGGTTGGAGGGCTGATCCCCGTCGGTTGTAGCCGCTCCAACTGACGGCTGCCGTTTGGAAGCGCGATGCTGTTGATCAAGAGATCGCGGGATGTCAACGTCAATCTTTGTCCGGTTCAGGTCTGCCGTCTCAGGCACCCGAGGGGGGACAGCAACGACCGTGTCGAGTTCTAGCCTCAAGGAGTCGAACGGGGTTCGTCTCGACGTTGCGGATTTAGAGGGGTGGGATCTGGAGTAAAGTCGGTGTGCCGGGGTCTTAGCAACTTCGCAGAGAGGGGCGAAGTGGATGAGGGGCAACGCGGTACAAGGTGTGCCGCGGTGTGTGCGTGTGTGTGTCTGTTTGTGCGACCTGAGTGACGGTGAGAGCCGGTCGTGGAAAAGAGGGGAGGGGAAGAAGGAAACTCCGCAATGGACGGTCCGATTGCGACGGCGACGGCGCCGCAGGTCCCCTTCCGGGTTCCGGGGTTGCTTTCAGGCGACGGCACGTCAGTGGAGGGAATTTTGTTGTCCAACGTCGTTTTAGACGAGGAAAGAAAGGGACGAACACCCCCCCTGGTTGGTGATCGTCGCTCCGTACGGCCGGCCATGACGATGAGATTTGGAGAGGGCGGGGGACTCGGATTGGGGATTGGTTTGTTGAGGAATCTTGGGTGTCGTAGGGCGCGGTGTTGCAAAGTCACAAACTAGGCAATGGGCTAAGAGATCGGTGCCTGTCAGGATCAACTCTCCTGTTCCGACAGCCCCGAGGACCAATGCCGTTCGGGCGTTGTTGACGGGTATCAAAGTTTCGTGATCGACGGTACAGCATTATGTACGAATATTAGTTGGTTGTCTCTCGGTTTCCATTTTGACAGGGAGTTAGACGTGGTATCATTTTCCGGGGTAAAAAGGTCCGTCAGAGGATGTCTAAATCCGCGGGGTTTTTTCTTATTTGCATGTCAAACAATTCTCGAAGGCCTCAGGTGTGTGATCTGTATCAAGGGGAAGGACGGAAGGGGGGTTTCGTTTGGAGCTGTCACGGAGGTTTTTTTATCGTTTAATCCCGGGGTGTGTTCGGTGCTATATATGGAGCTGCGTTTCACGATAGTTCGATCGGCCAAGACGTCTGGCCCCCAAGGCTTGTCACGGAAGCGCGCGTATCCGCGATGGGGGGAGGTCTTGTCGTCTTATTCTCGAAACATCAGACCAGGACAGAAAACCCAAAGGATTTGAATATGGGGCTGCTTCTGACGATGCGGTCACAGATATCTGCATGATCAGAACTGGAGTGTCGCATATGATGGATGATCTTTGGTACGGCATGCTCCACTGCTAAGCATTTGGGCTTCGGGTTTTGGTAGATGCTTTGATTATACAACTTCAGGACAAGAAAGTTAGCGAAGTATTCTGGGAGGATGTGTGCAATCTAGGCGCTGGCCATCAATGTTCTTAGATACATGGAAGATACCAAGTCTTGGTGGCTCAAGAGAATGTCCACGAGGAGCAAAGGCACGTGAGCTCTCCTGCAAGTTTTTGCGTTCCTCTCTGCTTGTGTCGTTGTAATGTCTCGGTGGATGCAACTAATAAGTTGTGCAAATCTTGACATGTAATGATATGTCAGATTCCAGTGTCTGATATTCGCAACCAGGTCAGTCGCAGCTTGCACGAGATGACCTCAAGTTCTTTCTGGTCTCTCGTGCGTGTATTTCTGGCTGCATAAAAGCAAATTGACAGCGTGAGAAATGCTGGGCCTAGTAGGCCATCTCATCCTTGTCATCTTCAGATGGTGAATTCAGAGCTGAGCTGCGGCATAGGAACCTCTACTAGGACGCTGATGCTATATTGATGTTGAAGAATCGCTCGAACTTCCCCGTTGAAGAGATGATTAAAAAGGATAGCTGTTCAATCAGACTTAGAAGGCATATATTTGCTCCTACTCGCCTGGCGTTTCGATGTAAGTGAAATGCCTTTGTTTATAGAACTTCGTTTCTCTATTCGACACAGGAGGGACGATGTTGATTTCACTGTTGCTCCTTTTCTGCAAGACGAGGCCAAGTGAAATTATCTTGGAGAAATATGAGAGACACCATGACAACCGAGGACGAAAACGAGAACGACGAACCCTGCAGCGGCTGCGGACTGCGTTCGCTCGAACTGGAAACTCAAAGTCTGAAGACAACAGAAACATGATAGACAAAATCAACATGAATGACAACAGGAGCAGACAACGACATGCGGCCCTCGAAAACTCTCAGCTACTTCTATGAATTGGCAAGGACGCAGTCTTCAGTGTTGTCAAGTCTCATGCACCCTCCTCAAGTTCCCAGAGCGCCATTCCAGCTCCTGCACTTACGCCAGCACAACAAACACCACAGCCAAAAGTTCACGATGCTTCATTGAATCAACACATCCAATCACTCCCACAACTCAGAAGAACGCAAATCGACTTTTTGGTCAATCCCAAGACCAAACTAAGTTTTCTCTTCTTTCCCAGCCACAACTGACACGATTCGCCAGCCCGCCCCATCCATGCGGGCCCGCATCATGCAACTCATGCTCCATAATCCATCTCCGGTCCTCGAATCGTCAACCAAGGAACCCGGGTTTCTCCGGTTCCTTCGCAATTGCCCAGATCGTCTAGTTGGTTAGGATGATACGTTGTGGTCTTGTTACGCAGCAGTTCCGTGTTGACGGCGGTTCGAATCCGCCTCTGGGCATAATCTTTTGCATTTTGTTTCATTTTTGAGTTCTCGTCTTCTTTTGTGCGATGATACTTTCAACGAAACCCACTCATTGCTCAGATAGACAGGAAGACAGACAGGCTTATAATGTCCGAAAACAAGCTATTACTATCTTCTGTGTGCTTGCTTCCTGTCTTACACGGAAACTTATGGTTCAAAGTGTTGTTGGCCGATAATTAATTCTTGTTTTTTTAGGATACTTTACAAACACAATTCTTCAGTCGCAATCACTGATCTTCTGGAAAGCCCGGAAGCCCCGACTCATGAAGGCTGTTCGACAGGCCGACCAAATGAGTCGAGTCAGTCAGAGAAACGCGAAACACAACACGCCAAGCAGCTCTACAAAACCTTCCAAGCGAATCCTCAGAGAGCATAGACACGAACTCAACTTGAGATTGCCAGAGCCACACACCCTCAGCGGCACGTCCGGGGCCGGACCCAAAACACCGACTCGTCGTCCTCTTCGGCGATCCGGTCCCCGCAAGGTTCCCGAGAACAGCCAAATCCCGGGCATCAACGGTACTTTCAGGCCAGGTAGTCTGACATCGAGAGCTACGGGACAATCTCATGCAAAGGTGAGGCCGCCCAGAGAGGCATCGCTCAGTCGTCGTGCGATGGCATCGAATAGAACAGTCCCATTTTTCCTTGGTATACAACGGCCCGAGCACCTCGTGTCTCGTGGCCGGTTCATCTATTAACAGACGCGAAAACCTCACCACAAACCTCTCACATGGGAGGCGTCACTTCATATTTCGATCCCTGATCGGCCACCTGCAGCTGCTGGACACCATCCTGCCCGCACGCACGCGCCAATTCCAACCCTCATCGGACAACTCACCATCATCATCGAGTGCCTTCACCTACTTCCCGCATACACCCCCGCAGACCCCTTATTCGCCAAGGGCGCCACTCTCCATGAGGCTCTGGTAGAACTCTGGCTCCAGGAAGGTCGCCACGCTCACGTCTTCGCTCAGACCCTTTCTCCTCCTCGTCTTCAACACAAAGTCCCTGGCCGTAGCCTGCGCGCTAGCCGGCTGCAGCGGTCGGATGATGACCTCCTTGTCGAGCGGGTCGCCAGGTACGATGCTCCAGCTGTCAAAAGTCAGACTGACCATGGCCATGCCCTTCGTCTTGATGCGCAGGTCCGTCTCGAAACCAAAGGAGTCGATGACGGGGATGAGGCCATTGACACGGTAGAGGGGAGTACCCGCCACCGGTCCGTCCTGGAGAACATGACCGCGGCGTCTAGCCAGCGTCGTGTAAACCTCCGTGGCAGAGTCTTCCGGTCCCGTCACCGAGACGGAGTACAGGGGCTCCATCAGTCGAGGCGAGGCCATCAGGAAGGAAGAATAGCAAGCCCTGCGGGAGGTGGGGATGATCTGACCGCCTCCGCGGAAGATTGCTTCCGACGCCAACGACACATCCGTGATCCTGAACTTTGTATTTCGAATAGCTGTGAAGATATGGAGTTAGCGGATGGTCACCGGTGAGCTCGTGGAGGCTGGGGAGTGGCCTGATGTGGGGACAGAATTTCTGCTGAGGGCCGTGCCCCCATCCCGGTCAACCACAGCCCCTAGAGGCATGGTCGTAGGAAATAGGTCTCGTGCGCAGAAGCAGGTTTTGGTCTGACAGCTTGGGGTACTGAGGGGATACCGGCTTCGCTGCTAATGCAAGCCATGCCCAGGAAACCCAACCCCAACCCCCGTTCCATGTGTTGGACCCTCCCGGGAGCTAGTCCCGCCTGGTTGGGGACCAATGGCGGCTGTGGAGGAAGGTTTTCGTGGACAATACGAAAACAGGAGGCGAGAGTGGACAGGGGAAAGAAAACAATAGACTTACGCTCCTCGCACAGGGGCCCTTCTCTGGTTGCCCAGCTAAACCCTTGGCGGATGGTCTCCTTGACCGTGGTCAGGAGTTTCTTGTCGACCTGCAGGTTGTTAGCTTGTTGGTTACTTGAACGGGGTCGGTGACAAGGCCTTACCTCGGAGGGTAACGTGTCGTCTTGGAGGATGTTGGGGCCCATCTCGTCAGGACCGAATGCCCAGATGCTTCTTGCTGCCAGCTTGTCCCAGCCGTAAGTCTCCTCAAAGTAGCTGGCCGTTTTGCGAATGGGGTCCCGGATCTTGACCTTGCCCGACTCGATGTCTTCCGAAATGCCCTTGTCCAGCTGCTCGGCGACCATGGTGATTTTGTTCTTCTTGTTTGGCGTGATGGCATAGCATTTGGTTGCCGACTGCTCCACCACCGTTTCGCAGAACCGAGTGACGGGATCAGAGATCTTGATTTCCATGTCGGCATAGAGTCGTCTCAAGTCGTGCAGAACACAGTCCATGTAAAGCTCGCCTGTGCCGAGAACAATGTGCTCTCCAGACTCCTCGACCTTGGTTGTGATCAACGGATAACTCTTTTGGATTTTGCGTAATCCGTCCAGCATCTTGGGCAGTTCTGAAGGGTTGATAGGTTCGACAGCAACCTTCAGCACCGACTCTGTGAAATGTGTGACGGGCTTGAAGATGTAGGCATCCTCGTCGTCCTCCAGCTTTGGCGGAACAAGGGTAGCCGTCTTGACGATAGAGTTGTCCACTCCGCTGAGAAGCACGTAGTTGCCTGCCGGCACTCCGTCGGTCGGAATGTTGTACCTCGATTCACCGATGAAGACGTCGGATATCGTTGCCATCGCCATGTCTTCGTCGTCGTCTGTCGAGTAGCCTTCTCCAAGGACTCTGACCTGCGTTCCTGGCTTCGCTGTACCGCTCAAGACACGACCAAAGGAGTAGAAGCTCTTGGCATCTGCTGTGCTGAAGAGCTTGGAGACATGGACCACGAGCGGCCCGTCCTGGTCGCAGGCCTTCATGGACCCGGCAATCTTAGTGTCGAGCGGTCCTGTGTAGTACTTCTCCAGGTATCGCTCAGCAGCCTCGTTTGGTGAGGGAATGTGGCGCACAATCATGTCAACGAAACCGTTGGAGGGGCCGAAGAACTGCTCGCAGACCAGCTTCAGTAGAACTTTGGCGTCGGACTTGTACTGAGAGGGCTTCAGCGTGATGCCCAAAGTGCTTAACACCCTCTTCAACTCTTCGGGGGTGTCGCTGATAGTATGTGTGAAGATCTTGTAGATTGGCTCCAGGACGAACTTGACGAACGAGCGGCTCGAGTGAGTCTCGGTCGGTTTCCTTGTGAAGTTGCGCTTCTCGGGGTTGAAGTAGATGTCTCCCCATAACCTCTTGGCGAAGTCCTCCGTGTTGACACCGCCGTAGGTATCGGTGTACATCTTGGAGAACGACTGCAGAGTGAAGCACCAACCCATATCTGTGCATGCGAACAAGACGTTGCCCTTCTCGGGGCTTATCCTCTTAGCCTCGCCCTTGCCTGGGATCGTGTTTTCGATGACGGTGTTGACCTCCTCCACGACATGCTTCAGCTTGAAGTACGCGTCCTTGGGGGGCAGCTTCAACTCCAAGATGAGACGGTCCATCTTGTTGATGATGAGTGTGATGGGTATGTCCTCCAAGACCGCGTGCTTGATAATCTGCTCCGTGTTGACCTGAACGCCCTCGACCACATCGACGACCAAGCAGACACCGTCGGCAAGTCGCAAGCTGGCTGCGACCTCGTCGACGAAGTTGACGTGGCCGGGAGTATCAAGAATGTTGACCAGATGCGACTTTCCCTTTGTGCTCTGCAGGACCAAGCTCATAGGCGACGCTTTGATCGAGACTCCCCTCTCCCTCTCGACAACGTGCACGTCGGTGTATCTGAGTTGTTCGTCTCGGTTCTTGCCGACCCGGCGCTCGAGTCTGTCGGTGATGTCGTGGGTTTCGAGGACCAGCATGTCCATGAAAGCAGTCTTTCCGTGGTGGAGGTGACCTGCCAGTGCGACGTTGCGTATTTGCTCGGGGAAGTTCATGAGGTCTGTCATGAAGCTGCGTTCGAAGAAAACGGGAGGGAGGTCGGTCTCCTCAATGTTGAACTTCTTCTGCTCGACGGGAGCAATGATGGGTTGCGTAAGGAGCTGCTCGTCCTCCTCCCGAACCAGGACCTCAACCTCATCTCCATATACTTGTTGCGCCGTGGGATAGTATTGCTTGTCTTCGTGAAGGATGATCGCGTTCGATGGGCCGTCGTCTGGTCTAGTGTCAGTAGGAACCCCCCAACAGCGTCGCATGATAACTGACCATCGATTTCCATCAGCTCCTGGCCCGTGGGCGCAGGCGCTTCGCTGGCGTCATCGCCATAGTAGTCCGCATCCACTCCCCGTTCAGACGCCTCTTCAGACCCGACGTCTTCACCGATAAAGTTGCCGAACCTGTTCAAAGAAGTCAATTTAAAACCAAGGACATTTGAAACAGAGGAGACTCACTCGTCATAAAGATCATCCATCGTGACGTCCAAAAGTGAAGATGTGGAATTGGTTGCGGTTTGCCGATGGACGATGCAGATTCTCACCAGCCCCAGGCGCGTCTCGAATGACGCCCTGCCTGGCAAAGTTTCTTGCAAGGCTACAGTGTGGCTGGTGTGGGCGAGTGGCTGCGAGCCGAGGCTGAAGCTCAACAAGATTACTCATTGGTTGCACGGTCAACGCTAGAGAAGCAGGTACGTAGGGGTATGACAGGGGGTCAATGCTCCCAAAGCAAAGCTGCTGCGCCACAGGTCCCGGGAGTCCAGCTGTGCTAGGGTCGGAGCAACCCCACCAAACACCAAAAGGCGGCGAGGAGGGGTGGAGGATCGAGGAGCACGTCTTCCTAATAAGTGAGCCAGCGCCCAACAAAATTGTTTGTTTGCTTCCGTTCTTCCTCAGGTCACACAAAACCACACGACGGTCCTCCGGTTCTGCTCTCGACACCATCCTTCGTACCACAAACTCCCCGAGTCTCACACCACGAAACATTCACAATGGCCAACCTTCCCCCCGTCTACATTGTTTCTGCCGCCAGAACCCCCGTTGGTTCTTTCCTTGGGTACGTAGGAGTCTGCTCCGACGATTGAATTCTTGACCGCGTCGACCAAGAAGCTAACACGTCTTGCCCGGTATAGCTCTTTGTCTAGCCTGAGCGCCACGCAATTGGGCTCTCACGCCATCAAGGGTATGCAGATATCTTATCAACGGTCCGAACCGCGGGGCAGCCCACCGCTAACCCCTCCACAGCCGCCGTTGAGCGTGTTCCCCAGATCAAGCCCGAGGATGTCGAGGAGGTCATTTACGGCAACGTCCTGTCCGCCAAGTATGTCTCAAACCAGGATCATCTAAAAAAGCAAACATGTTTGCTGACTCTTCTCTAGCCTCGGACAGGCCCCCGCCCGCCAGTGCGCCCTCGGAGCCGGCCTCTCTCAGGGAGTCGCCGCCACGACTGTCAACAAGGTCTGCGCCTCCGGTATGAAGGCCATCATCCTCGGTGCCCAGACCATCCTTACCGGCACCGCCGACATCGTCGTCGCCGGTGGCACCGAGTCCATGACCAACACCCCCCACTACCTCCCCGTCCTCCGCAACGGCGCCAAGTACGGCAACCAGACCCTCGTCGACGGTGTCCTCCAGGACGGTCTCACCGACGCCTACGGCAAGAAGGAGCACATGGGCATGGCCGCCGAGCTTTGCGCCAAGGACCACGACATCACCCGCGAGCAGCAGGACGAGTACGCCATCAACACCTACAAGAAGGCCCAGGCCGCCACTGAGGCCGGCATCTTCGCCAAGGAGATTGCTCCCATCGAGGTCTCTGGCGGCCGCGGCAAGCCCGCCGTCAAGGTCGACCGCGACGACGAGGTCAAGAACCTGAACGAGGAGAAGCTCAAGGCCATGCGCCCTGCTTTCATCCCCAACGGCGGCACCGTCACCGCCCCCAACGCCGCTCCCCTCAACGACGGCGCCGCTGCCGTTGTCCTCATGTCCGAGGCCAAGGTCAAGGAGCTCGGCGTCACCCCCATCGCCAAGATCCGCGGCTGGGCCGACGCCGCCCGCGAGCCTGAGCGCTTCACCATCGCCCCCGCGCTGGCCATCCCCAAGGCCATCAAGCACGCCGGCCTCACCGAGAAGGACGTTAACTTTTACGAGATCAACGAGGCCTTCTCCGTCGTTGCCCTCGCCAACATCAAGCTCCTGAACCTCGACCCCGAGACCGTCAACGTCTTTGGTGGCTCCGTCGCCATCGGCCACCCCCTGGGCTGCTCCGGCGCCCGTATCGTCACCACCCTCACCACCGTCCTCCGCGAGAAGAAGGCCAAGATCGGTGTCGCCGGTATCTGCAACGGCGGCGGCGGCGCCTCCGCCATCGTCATTGAGAGCCTGCAATAAGCGCGCTGCTGCCAAAGCACATGCTTTCATCCAGATTTCTCGGAGCTCCGAGCTGGTGCGGGTCTGAGCTGAGCAGAAACTAAAGGCAACTCACTCGGAGGGCGTGGTGGGGGAATGAATGGGCCTGGCGGCGGGGGGAACCCGAACATGCATCAAGGGGAAAAAAAAGGCCGTGGCCCCATCGGCGAGCAATACCGGCGGCAGATGCGCGCCGCGCGGGACGCACCTCTGTGTCTTATTTTTCTACATCTGCAGATATTTGACGCAAAAAAGTAGATCGTCACATACCGGTATCACCCGTTCCCACCCCACGGAACTCGCCAGGAAAAGAGAAGGATGAAAAAAAAGAGACTATACCAGCGTTTTAGATATAGCGCAAGCAGACATATTCTTTACCTAATATCACGAATCAGACGACTGCAACCTCTGTTCTTCAACACCGAGTGACCACTGACATCTTCGCATCCGCCGTGATCTGCGCCTTTTTTTGGTTTCTCCTTCGGCTAGTTCCTGTCGTGAAACTCCACACACGTTGCATCGTTCTGGGCTGTGGCTGTGCTGTCTGGTTATCAGATTTTTTCGATAATCTAGGTTCCCACTTGGCTCCAAAAACAACCGGCCTTGTTTTGGTGGTGAGTCGCAGTAAAACTGGCCATTTTACCTTTGGAACCCGATTAGTTGTGGTTCCCACATTGGGGTGTGTCAACAGCACACTGACTGTCAGCCATCGCGATATCGGCCGAAGTGGACCACATAGTCAAGGATCACTAATCCCAAGTATTCACCTATCCGAAGCAAGCCATGAAGGCCATGGAGTCGTACGAACAAGCTCTTGTGCACAAGTTCTTGTGCTGCAACTATAACTATTGTACATACGTAGAGTGGTAGAAAAGGAAACAAAGAAAGAATCGAATTTGAGAACGCATTTCCAGACTCTTTCAACAAGCTCATGCGTGCTTCTACACAAACATCATCCCTCCCTCAAATGGAGAGAGCCTCCTCATTTTCCCTTCTTTTACCCCCGCCACTACAAGGCAAAACCATCCGAAATAGAAAGAAACGAAGCAACGCCAATTGCCCATCCCACGCCATCCATGCCAACCCCTCCCTCGTCAAATTAGGGACGAGGTCGGGATGTAAGAGACAAACCCATGTAAGTCCTGGGTAACATGGCAGCCATGCCAGTCTGCACCGCTATGCCGCCTGGTATCTTCGTAATAGTGAATTTCAGTCTTGAACCGCCTGTCTTTCAAGTGTAGCACACCTATTCTGCAGTGTCCATAGCGTCGCCGGCGTCCGAAGACGGAAGGACACCCTCTTTGAGCCAGTTAGACCAGCCTTCGTTGGACTTCTGGACATCTGCCTGGCTCATACCCTTCATCCAGGGACTGTTGAAGACAAACTTCTCGCGGAGCTTGGTGTCGCGCTTGTTGCTAGCGTTCTTGAGCCGCTCGAGATGACGCTCTTTTCCTTCTTTGTCTTTGGGGACATTGTCGTAGACGAAGTACTCAGAGGTTCCTGCCTTCCACACCATCTTACTGGAGTTGAGACAGATGCTGATCGAAAGGTCCTCATCATATGAGATTGGCTTTGGAATCTGGCTGTCGTCAAACTTCTCGTCACTCGCCGGCAGGTTGCGGGCCAGAACGGCCTTCTGAAGTTTGTGGCGCGGCACGCCCTCAGTGGGCTCAACCTGGATGAAGGACGAGATGTAGTATTGCCAGCGGTCCTTGGCCTTCATCTCATCCATGTAGAACGTCGTGTCCTCTCGCTGGAGCCAGCGCACCGTGGCTTCCGACTTTTGCGGGAACTGCCTCTTTGTTAGCCTGATACCTTGGGGGCGAATGCTTCGTTTAGTAAACTTACCCAGCAGATGACAAACATTTCGCCATCCTTCACACACTTTTCGGCGTATTTTCGTGCAGCAATCTCTGCCTGGTAGTTCGTCTCGTCCTTCTCACGATTGGTGAGATATTGTTGGATGAGGTCAGGAGTCTTCTCCTTCGAATCAGTGCTACTGCAGGTCAGGGCAAGTCGACAAAGAGTCTTCAACAGGTCCTGGATGGTGTACAGCTTCCAGCCGCTCTTGAGGTAGTAGTGGCGCAGAACATCCTGGTATCGGACTTCATCGATCTCGCCGGTGATGTACTCCTCGACAAGCTCAAGAGTCTTGGGCCAGAACGTAGATGTGGTGTCGTCAGGCGAAAAGTAGTTCAGAGTGTTGTCAGCCAAGCCAATCTCCTTGGCGGGGCGCGGGCGATTCACCCGGTTGATCTCCTCAATGACGCTGTCCTTACTCTCTTTTACATCCTTCAGACGGGTGTACACCGTCTGGAAGACGTTAAAGAAGACAAAGATTGACTGATTGCAGAAGAAGTTGTACCATGGGCGAGAGAAGAATCCATCAGCCTTCAGCTCACCATCCGCAGTCAGAAGCGTGTCGTCTCCCGTAGTGACGATGGGTTGCGGCACAATCGGCATCCAGCGCTCATTCGACACTTCAGGGCCGGCACCTTCTTCCGGAGCATCAGGCATTTCTTCCTCGTTGGCCGAACCGACTTCTGGCGTGGTTTCCTTGCTACCGGATGCAGCACTTCCCTCCTTTTGACCGCGGGGCTTGGATCCATTGCGACCAGGATCGAGGACACCACGTAGCAAGTCGCCCCTTCTACCGGTGCGGCGGCTACGGCCGTTGGTGAGCTCAGCTGGAATGGCTTCTTCGGTGTCGTCCTCTTCTGAAACGTCTTGGAGTCTGGGCAGGCGGCCCTCAATATCCTCCTCGGGGATGTCGAAGAAGGAGGGAACGAAGGTCTCATAAAACTCCGTGATGCGCTCCTTTTCCGGCACACTATGCTGGCCACTGCTCACAGTGTAGAGCATCATCAGACGGAGAAGCTCGACGATGACCTTCTTATCCGAGAAGTCCCAAACGAGCTGGTGACGGGGGGCCTTGCCTCTCAAGCTACGTTGACGTCTCTGCTCCTCGGCCTTCGTCTTGATGACGTCGACGAGGTGTTTGGCGGAAAGATTCCTCTTGTCATTCTGCTTCACCAAAATGCCCATGTGGTCGAGACTCTTCAGATGCATGTGTTCGACTTGTGCGTGCCACACCTTCTCCCACTCGCGCTGCGAGAAACGCCACTCTTCGTCCTTTTGCTTCATGCGAGTCAGGACGATAGGAACGACGTTAAGCGGGTTAGAAAACAAGTCGTTGACGACGTCGGGTCCTCTTTCGCCGTAGATCTTCTTGCAGACACGCTTGAAAACTGACGTGCTGTGGCCAGCAAGGGCTTGCGGCATCTGAAAGTGCTCACGCTCCATTGGCGACATGACGCTGATCTGCTGCGCAACAGGCTCCAAAAGCTGGATGCACTTGAGGTTGGCTTCGATGTTGAAGTCATAGTCATGACGTTCTTCCTCGATGCGGTGGAGGCCTTCCTCAAATCCATTCTTGCGATGCGCAACAAAACCGGAGTCCTCAGATGCCCAGGTCGGGTGAGATGCCCAGTCGTCATTGAGAACCGAGTTACACAGTTCGTCGCGACCACTGCAAGGCTTGAGGCGTTCCTGGATGACGGTCAGATGCGTTCAATATCGCAATGAAGTGGATTATACATACCCGTTTGGGAAGAAGGCGGTAGCTAGGGCCGTAGCCACGGCAATTGCTCAGTGATACCTTGCCACTAGGCGGGGCTGGGCGGTTATCGACAACCTCGTCATGTGGTTCGTATTTGAGGAACGCCTTCCAAAATCCCATGAGCTCAGGGTTCGCGGCGAAGAAGACGCTGCCCTTGTGGAAAACGGTGTTGCGATCGATGATGGACTGGCTGAACAGGTTGCAGACTTTGAGGAACTCATTGAACGCCGTCTTGTTGCTGAGGTACTTCTTGACCTTCTCGAAGAAGGCAATCTCATCGGAGTTTGACGTGGTAGATGCGGGAGGTCCCAAAGGCTCGGGCAGGATCGGGGTCAACGTCGGCTCGATCGCGGGCGCATCAGCAGCGAGACCCTTGTTGTGCGCCAACTTCGCTCGCTTGTTGACGCCGACGGCAGGAGGCGCGCCGGGGGCAGCTCTGTTTGCGGGAGGCGGCACTTCAGCGACAGCAGGCGGTGGAACAGGTGTCTGCTTGTCAGGTCTCGGTCGCTTCTTGTTGCTTTCCTTGGATGCGCTCGGAGGCGCAAAGCTCCCAAGGGGAGGCATCTTCTGGCCGCTCATCGGTTGAGGTGTTTGGTTAGGTCCAGGGCCAGGCGGCTGTTCGTCTCCAGGGCGGCCAGGCGTACCCTTGGATTGGCCGGCAGACTCTGGAAGGAACTGCTTGAAGTCCTCAAGCAAATCCGGCGCAGTGTGGAACAAGGTGGTGACTTGAGCGTACACGTCTTGAATGGGCTTTTGCTCCCGTTGGTAGGTTTGCAGGATTTCGAGAAATTGTTTGTAAATCTCAGGCTTATCCTGGAAGCGGTTCTGCAGCGTGGTTAGTGCGCGAGGTCTCAGACTAATTTTTTCCCTTTCGCAAGTTGCGCGGGTGAACTTGCCTTTATTTTGTTCACGTAGCTGATCGCGTGGTTGAACTCGACAGGTCCGCGGCGCTCCAAGTTTGCCTGCTGTTGTTGCTGGCTGGTGTTGCCGTTGACAGCTGTGGGTCCGGTGACGGGAGTTGGAGTGTGCGCGTTGCGAGGCGGCTGCTGCGCGTTGGCAGCGTTGGCAGCGTTCGCACCCTGAGGACCGCGCTGGCCAGCTCCGTGGGCTTCGAAGGCAGCAGCCAAAGTTTGCGCTGGACCAAAGGGTCCAGGACCGTTTTGCACGGGTGTACTAAAGTTGGCCTCAGGACTCTCGATGCTGTGTTGAGGCTGCTGTGGCTGTTGTTGCGGTTGCTGCTGCTGCTGTTGCTGTTGCCAATTGGGACCGCGCTGCTGAGGAAACAAAGGCTGCGAAGCACCACCTGGGTGCGGATGACCACCGTCGACTTGCGCGCCTCTCCCAGCGATGGACTGGACCGTTGTACCCATCGGCGTCGTAACTCTGATGGTGTTCGGATCGTTGCCGGCGCCGCACTCTATCCGGTACCCGGGCGGCAGGAAGGTATTGAAGCCCTGGATCAAGTTGGGATGCCCGGCGAATAGCTCCGATACACGGTTGATGACCCCGGGAGTGTCGATGCTACTTTTGGTCAGTCATGCCACGGCAAAGGGAGACATCCATTACACGTACGCTTGACTCTTGAAATCTTTCATGATATCAAGAAAGCGGTTATACACGTCCGGCTGGTCGTGGAACTGCACCTTGACCTGGTCCAGATACGTCAAGGCATCCTGTCACCCGTGGTCAGCTCAACATCTTAACCGCCAAGCACATCTCCAATTCCCAAGTTTTACTTGAACCATGCCAGGCGCGTCCGCCATCGCGCTTGATGCGTTGGAATGCCAGGCTACGCAGGAGTATGGATGAAATGACAACAATGGTTATGATCGGATGAAGTGAATACGGGAAGTGATGGAATACGAGCGAGACTCGGCGACATGGACAGTATATGCACGCGGGGCGCCCTGCATCCTACCTGCCTGACCTGCGCCGTATCGGCGCACCAGCCCACACTGGTTTCCACTTTGGGTGGTCAAGCCGCAGGCAAGAGCAGGCGCGCCAGTCCGGGGTGTTGTCTGGTTACGCGAATTTCGTAAGGCAAAATCCGACTTACGTTCAGAATTGGCTGCTGGCCATGGGCAATACCTTGCCCTTGCTGCTGCATCTGGCCTTGGCCACCAGGAGCGGCGCCGGCGCTGCTGGCATTATTTCCACCGCTACCTCCGTAGGGTCCTTGTTGCATCGGTTGGCTCTCGCGCTGCTGCAACGGCCCTCCAAAGATAGGAGGACCGCCGTTCGCGGCGCCGAGAGAGTTGTTGGGAGGGCCGGCCGTGTGAGGGATCGGAGCGAACATCTGGTGCTGGCCGGTCGGGTTATTCGGGCCACCATGCTGCGGTGGTCTATTGCTGTCGGGCTGAAGAGGGCCACCGAAGTTCGCGCCAGGCCCGGATGGAGCACCGAGAGGCATCGGGGGACCTGAAGAGCCAGATCCGTGGTTGGCGAGCAGACCGCCAGGGCTGTGGATCGCGCCCATCGCACGGGATGCGACGGGCTGGTGTATCGGAATCGAGCCGGCATTACTGTGGTGAGGAGGGCCCGGGGGATAGCCCTCGCGAAGGCGCCTTTCGGCTTGTTCTTGTTCGTGTCGTTGTTCCTGGTCACGTCGTTCTTTCTCGCGTCGGTCCATTCTGTCGGCCTCCATGGCCATGAGGCGACGGTTCTCCTCCATGGCGTCAAGTGAACGCTCGTCAGCGGGCTTCCCGCTCATCATCCTGAGATCGATCGTCTTCTGTAAGGCAGACATCAGCGACACGCATAAGAAGGAAAGGGCATGAGGAAGTCGGAGGGGTTGTGGGAGCTGGCGCAAGCGCCCAAAGAGGGGGGCTGGATATTCAACCGCGCAAGCTTTGCTTCGTCGCCAGAAGCTCAGGAGACAGGGGTTGCGAGGGAGTCGAACATGACTTACAGACTGATGATGCTACAACCGATCTTGTGTCTACATGAGGGGAACGGCGATGGGTCTGGAAACGCGGTATTGCAGGCTAACAATAACGTCACGCAGAGAAATTTCGTGATGGTATACGAGCTTGCAGCTGGTGCTCAAACCCCTTCCCGGCTGATTGGCACGAGAACCAGGCCGAGCGCGGAAATTGCCGTATCACGTGGAGATAGCGTCAAAACTCTTATCAGCAGGCCCACAAGTGATTTCATCCCATCTTCTAGTCCCGGTGTTTGTCCGGAAGCGCTGAAGAATGCGACAACAGCTTCACTATGCAAGAGAGGATCGAGTAATCAAGTAATGACGAGCGACTTGCTTCCTTCTTGCGTTGCTCTCAACTGTCTGAGTTGTATATCGGAGGTTTTCACGGAGTCAGAGGTCAAACAATGCAAAATCTGCAGCCACTGTGAGTGCCACTGGTATCTGCAGCGAAGATCGGCACAGCCCTACATTGGGTATTTGCAAAGTAGTATTTCTCGCTTTTGCTGAAGAAATGCGTGGGAAATCATGTCGTATTTCATGTGCTCTCTGCGGGTATCCGATACTAGCCTCATCACTCGTGACGACTCCTCACACTGGCCGAGCCCAGCGCTATCTAATGCCTTGCGCTTCATACGTAGTTGCGAACCTCCTTGATGATCCACTGCCAGCAGTTAGCTTTAGTCTCAAGCTCCGGAAGTACGCAGACTGCAGCTTTGCGTCTGCAATGGAAAACACCTACCACTTCGCCATTAGCGACGGTGCTTGCGACGCTGACCACCTCGATGTTTCCAGGCTGGATCTGCGCATCCTGTTAGCAAACGTCGCAAAGTCTCAAGAAACAAAATGCATCTTACAAACTTGGTGCCGTCCCTATTCTCCCACCAGACATCCCTATCGTCGCCGACCGTCTTGGCCTTGTGATTCTCGGGCCACGGGCTCACGGTAACCATGTGCGCCTCGACGAAGCGGCGAATGTTCCTCTGCGCCCTCTCCTGACCGTCGCCGCCCTCGTAGGCGCTCTCGCCAAAGTGTTGGTATTCCTTGGGGTCCTCCCAGGGCTTCCGGGGCAGGTTCTCGACGGCGGAGTTGAGCGGCGCCAGCACCGTTGTGTTCTGCGCCTTATCATCCAGGCGCCGCGACGCCGACTCGATGTCGCGGGTGAAGCTCGCGAAGACGTTGATGCTCCTGTCGCGGCCCATGACGTCGGACAACCTCACGCCGTCCTGAGCCGGAGGCCGTCCGGGGCCGGAGGGGTCTGATGGCGGAGGCATGGCTGGGCCGACGGGGTCCACGGGTGCGAGGGGCTTCTGACGGAGAATGCGCGGGGCGTACGAGCCGGAGCGTTCTACGGGCAGAGTATACAACTGCGCCGTCGCTACGGAGCAGGTGAGGAGAAGCAGGAGAGCGGTTGGCCGTTTCATGATGCTTCCAGGAATGTTTGTATAAGAGCCAGATCAAAAGCGTCGTCCTCTGCGGTTTGAGCCTCTGGTGGCGCGCGTCACTTCAGCGCACTTCAATTTGGCTGGCAGTCGGCTCTGCACCACGCAGGATGATGCGGTTGTGCGACAGCTGGATCCACGGGACCAGAATTCAGGAAATGCCATGACAATGATTGGACAGACGGTATCATGACATCATCCGTGCACCGCAGCGTGCAGTCTGTGGTGCCTTCCCGGCGGCAGCGGTACCTGTGACTTGCTGCGACCGACAATTGCAACACGAAGAGGACTGCGCATCGCGTCTCAACACGCGATACCGCATTTGTTCCAAGAATCGCAAAGCTTCCGAGAATGCAGTCACGATAATATGCCCACAGAAGCCATGTTTTTGCAGTTTTCTGAAAGATGAGCGCAGTCGCCGAGATGCACCGAGACAACGACAGTGTCTTGGAGACCGACGAGGATTTTCGGGGCCTTTTGACTTGCAGGACAGCAGCGACAGCGGAGACGGCTCGTTCGATTTCTTCTCCACAATGGCACTGCCATGCCGGCTGGAGAAACCTGGAAGTCACGACGCGCGAAGGGGAAAGCGGTCAGTCGGGATTTATTGCTGTATTCGAACACAAAGAGAAAGACCCCCAAAAACTGCAACACTGGCGACTGTCCCAGCAGTACCTAACGGCGTGGAAGCCGACAGTTGCACGGTGGCCGGACGGTAAAGTCATTTGCTTCTTCGATATCGAATTTTCCTTCTCATGAATCATGGAAAAGTCAATGAAACGAGCGAAAAGGTGGCAAAGTCGGTAAGGCTTGAGCACCTGACCACACCTATGCCCAAGCTGTTCGGCCGCACTGGTTCCCCAAGGTCCCTTTCACATGCAAGGACTTGACTCCATGCGTACGCAGTAGGTAGGCTTCGGAGCCTCGAAGGTACCTATTCTGTACTGCGCGGCTACTCCAGGCCCAACCCCCAACTGCCCCCCAAAGGCACCCCAGCCTTAGGTGGGAGGCAGGAAGATGAGGAGAAGTCGGAGAAAGCGACGGGAGGCGGAGGCGGAGGACCTGTTCACAAGTGTGGAGGAAAGGAGGAATGCGAAGACAATGGCCGAGACTGAGTGGTCGCCCAGCAGCAAGACATGGCCGAAAAGAGGGGACGGCAATGCAGGCTGGCCGGGCTGGGGAAAGTTGCAGTAGGAGATGTTCGGTCAGGTGCTAAAAGCTCCGGACCGGCATCATCTGACCTGTTTTGACTGAGCGATTGTGTGGGGGAAAACGGGACTAAGGTAGTACTCCGAGTAGGCGATGTCTTGCCGTTAGCCTGTGAAGCCGCCGCCGCGAGAAGACTAAGGTGCGAACAATGGATTTGCTGGGCTCGAATCCAGCCGCAAGGCGAAGGCGATTATCGCTAGTGCACTGTTCTTCAAGGAGGCTGGAGAAGAAGGGTTTTAGAATGCGTCCCATGGTGGCGTTGAAGGCCCGTGACGACTGGTTTTGCTTCACCGCAGACGCAGAGACACCTTCTTCTGCAGCTTGACACGAGGCATGACACCACGACCTCCCGGGGCGGTGGAGTCGGGAAAAGCCTGTGCTCGCTGTTAGAGGTGACGGACCTGACGGTGTGATGGGATCTTCCTCTTCGGTCCCCTTGTGATGGACGAATACACACAGACAGCGCAGCGGTACTCGCCTCAGCCTGAGAACGTGAGCATGACCATGAACGTGACCACGTCCTGGCAAGTGACCTTCACATGTCAGCGGAAGAGCCTGAAACTTCTCCCAAGAAAAAAAAAAATATGTCGTCTCGACGCCAGCGTGTCCCCAATTGCCTTGTGAAAGTCTCCAAGCAATAGTAAGTAGCCCATCAGAGCTAATTGGGGGTTGTAAGCCATCTGCCATCCAAACCTGTACCCTTCTCCAGATTTTGGGGAATGGTGCCGTTGGTGCCCACAGCAACAGGAACAGCACCAGCACCAGCACCAGCACCAGCAACAGTCCGAAGTACGGCTACGGCTTCATCGTGTCTCTCTTTCCAATCGCTCTCCTTCCGTTGGTCGTTTCGCTAGCAGCTTCCCCAGCAACAACTGGAACGGGGGAAGCTTTCAACAGTTTTGTTAGTCACCCCCCACACTTCCCCCGGTTTTGCATGTCGCGGTCCACCACCGAAGGAAGCGAAAGCAGGTCCAGCTCGGCCAGAATTGCTGCGAGAAGCAGAGAGACGGGGACCTGGCTGCAGCATCCTCGAAATATAAATATAAAACCTCCGTAGCCGGAGTCAATTGCCTCGTGTATCTCGTCGGGAATTCTCCTTGATTTTTTTCTTACTATTTCGTAAACGATTGCAGACAATTGGAAGTCCCTTTGTCCCAGCCTCAGGCACATCCAACCTTAGGTACCCTGTAAGTGTGAGGTGACTTACCAACTCGCGCATTCTTACTGGCACGTCGCTGTGGGTGACGCCAATCTGCCCCAGACCATCCTCCAACCCAGACCCAAACTGGCCCCAAAACCCGCTAGCACCACGGCGGGTGGCCCAGTTGCTGTCCCAATGCTAATTCCCCTGTTCCCTCCCAGTCTCCAGACGCTTCGACCTCGGCTCACGACTCGCCGTGTCAGCACTCAGCACCGCACCAGCACCAAATCCGACCCTTTGTGAGCCCAGCTGAGACTGAGAGGTACCTCGACTTGCCGTCTTCCTCGGCGTAGCTTAGACACGAAGCCGCCGCTCCTCTCACTCTCGCTCTCACTCTCACACCCCGGAGTCGTTTACTTCTTAAACCTCGACATCCATAAACTCTCTTCCTCCCCACCAACTTTTTCCCACCCATCTTCTTTGTTTGTTCTACATCCTATCTTCTGGAGCCCATCTGTACACATCATTCAATATGGCACCCAGAGTTATCGTCGTCGGTGGTGGTCGTAAGTAGCATCTCCTTCATGAGCCCACGCGCCTCACTCGCCGTCGTCACATGCTAACACGTCGCCCCCAGTGTCCGGTTTGAGTGCTGCGCACACCATCTACCTCGCCGGTGGAAACGTCGTCGTTCTCGACAAGCAGGGTAAGATACCATCCGCGCTGTCCTCTCAGTCGCATTACTGACGCTCTTGCGCGCAGGCTTCTTCGGAGGCAACTCCACAAAGGCCACTTCCGGCATCAACGGTGCCTTGACCAGGACACAGGTCGACCACAAGATCGCCGACAGCGTCAAGCAGTTCTACGATGATACCCTGAAGTCTGCCCGTGACAAGGCTCGCCCCGACCTCATCAAGGTCCTTACCTACAAGTCCGCCGCTGCCGTCGAGTGGCTCCAGGATGTCTTCAACCTGGACCTCACCCTCGTTTCGCGGTTAGGGTACGTTTGATCGCCTCCTCTGTCCAAACGAAAACGTCGGCTAATTCCCCATCCAGAGGTCACTCCCAGCCCCGTACGCACCGTGGTCACGATGCCAAGTTCCCCGGTATGGCCATCACATACGCTCTCATGCAGAGACTCGAGGAACTCGCCGAGACCGAGCCCCACCGAGTCGAGATCATCAAGAAGGCCCGCGTCACCGGTTTGAACAAGGATGGCAACACCGTCACTGGTGTCACCTATGAGTTTGGCGGAGAGGAGCAGTCTGTTGACGGCCCTGTGGTCCTCGCCACTGGTGGTTACGCCGCTGACTTCGGCGAGACCTCTCTGTTGAAGAAGCACCGTCCCGATACCTACGGCCTCGCCACCACCAACGGCACCCACGCCACTGGTGACGGTCAGAAGATGGTCATGGCCATCGGCGGTAACGGTATCGACATGGACAAGGTCCAGGTCCACCCCACTGGTCTGGTCGACCCCAAGGACCCCGGCTCCAAGTGGAAGTTCTTGGCTGCTGAGGCTCTTCGTGGTGAGGGTGGTCTGCTGCTCAACGCCGATGGTGACCGTTTCTGCGACGAGCTTGGTCACCGTGACTACGTCTCCGGTATGATGTGGAAGGAGAAGGACAAGAACAAGTTCCCCATCAGACTTGTTCTCAACTCCAAGGCCTCCAAGGTCCTTGACTTCCACACTCGTCACTACTCTGGCCGTGGCCTGATGAAGAAGATGACCGGTGAGCAGCTGGCCAAGGAGATTGGCTGCTCTCCCGACCACCTCCAGAAGTCTTTCCAGACTTACAACTCTATTGCCGACGGCAAGCAAAAGGACCCTTGGGGCAAGAAGTTCTTCCACAACTTGCCCTTTGACATCAACGACGACTTCCACGTCGCCCTGATGGAGCCTGTTCTCCACTTCACCATGGGAGGTATCGAGATTAACGACAAGGCCCAGGTCCTCAACTCAGAGCAGAAGCCCTTCGACGGTCTTTTCGCTTGCGGTGAGCTGGCTGGTGGTGTTCACGGTGCTAACCGTCTCGGTGGTTCTTCCTTGCTCGGCTGTGTTGTCTACGGCCGTGTTGCCGGTGACACTGCCAGCAACTACCTCTTCCAGCAGGCTCTTACCGGCTCAGGTGGCGCCGCTGCCCGTATGGGCCAGATCTCTCTGCACCTCGACCCTGCGCAGCCGGGCCGTGTCACCATCGACTGGAACAACGCCGGAGGTGCCAGCGGCGGCCAGGGCATCCCTGCCAACCAGACCACTTCCGCCGCCGGCCCCACACCCGTGCAGAACGGACAGAAGGCCGACAAGCCGAACGACCCCAAGAAGTTCACGATCCCCGAGAAGGAGTTCACCATGGAGGAGGTCGCTAAGCACAACACAAAGGAGGACTTGTGGGTCGTCGTTAAGGGCGTTGTGATGGACCTCTCCAACTGGCTCGAGGAGCACCCGGGTGGCCCCCAGGCCATCATGAACTTCATGGGCCGCGACGCGACCGAGGAGTTCGAGATGTTGCACGACGACGAGGTTATCCCCAAGTACGCACCACAGCAGGTGATTGGCCGCGTAAAGGGTCAGACGCCATCTTTGGAGCTCTAAATTATTGGATAATCGATGACACGACGACTTGGCTTGGGTAAAATAGTGATAACCGGAGTACTGGGTGCGCATTGGCGCACTTTTGATTTGGGCATTTCTTCATGAGTAGTCACTATCGGAATTGTATTCATAGATACACTGTTGTAGTCTCTTGGATCCAAAGGACCTCAATACTCTCTCTGTTCAACTTCTCTTCGCCTTTCGCCTTTTTTCGTGACGCATCACATGCCGAATAAGCTTCCACAAAACGCCGAGTCAGCTGATGACGCACGTGCGTGCACGACGCCGAATTCCGACATCCCGTCTGGGGTCCCCGCCATCCACAATGTTCCGCGGTCCCCTTCCATCTCCCCCACCAACGACCCGCGGCGCAAATTTCCCCGAACCACGTCACGTCCACGCCTCACCACCACCAGAACGCAGCAAACACCGCAAAAATGGGAAAGGTTCACGGAAGTCTCGCCCGCGCCGGTACGTCTCGCAGAGTACTTCTCTCGCAAGAATGCGCAGCCGCAGCAAACTAACCCAGCGACACAACAGGCAAGGTCAAGTCCCAGACCCCCAAGGTCGAGCCCGCCGAGAAGGCCAAGACGCCCAAGGGCCGCGCGCACAAGAGGGAGATTTACACGCGCCGCTTCGTCAACGTCGCCGTCACCGGCGGCGGCAAGCGCAAGGTATGCACACGGCAACGCGGCCGAGATCACAAGGGGCTGGCTGGGGTGAAGCTGACGATGATGTAGATGAACCCTAACCCCGGCAACTAAACCGGTGTCCTCTTTCGACTCACGATCCGATACGATGTTGCGAAGTTTAGGCGCGCATGGCTGCTTGTTGTTCGCCGTGGTCGGGAAATACCCGTGGGGTTAAGGGCGCGGATTGGAACTCGGTGGATTCGACATCAGCGGACTGGGCCAGCTCTCGGAACAAAAAGATACACGGAGGGAAGATACCCTATAAATAGAGGTCGGCCGCAAGGCTCTTCGTCTTATTTCCCCGATCCATGCTATCCTTTCGGGTTCTCAGGGAGAAAAAGCAGTGATTGCGTGCCTTATTCCCCTGGCAGACTCGAGGTGTGGCAACTTGTGGGTGTTGGTAGCGTAAACGGTTACGACGAAGAGGCAGGGAAAGAGACGCCAGGTGCAGATGAATTTGGACGCTCAAACTCTCAAACATTAATGGCATATCTTTTGATATTGTTGGGAGCTGCTGCTCTAGTGGCTCTTCTTCTCGTACTGTGAGAACATGTCACAGTGAGCAGGTTGAGCTACAGTTCTTATATGTTGTTGTTTGAAGCACGATCGAGGCGGATCGAGAGTGAAGCAAGCAAACTCTCCACGAGCGGTGGAAGGGGGGAAAGTTGGATCATAACTAGACCGACCGCACTCGCCTCTTCATCCGCTTCAAGAATCCAAAGTCCAGTACGAGGACTTTCCCCAACAACCTTCAAGCTCCAACCACCAAATGCTATTCCATCCTTAACCAGCACCGCACATCACCGTCATCGGTCCTGGTCTTAGAACGTCAGGACTCTGCTTGTCGTTGAGGGTTATCCACGGGTGCCATATCAGGCCAGACGAAGATGCTCAAGAACGAGAACGACCCGGCTTATCCATTCATCGCATTAGATGAAGATCAATGTCTCCATTGTACGACGTGAGACTCTACCTTGGACGACTTGACTTTCAAAATTCAAGAAGCTCCGTGGGCACCCAATACTCTCGTATTCACAGCGTCGTTGCTAAAAACGGATTACCTTGTCTTTGCAGCTTCCTCGTACATCTTGCGCAACGTCGCCGACATGTCGGATGACAACAACAGTCGCCGGACTTGCGGCTGGGAAGAAGAACCGAGAATACGCCAACCACTCCACGGATATTCACTCCTGGTCGAATACTCCAGGGGTACCGACGGATACCAAGGACAATAAGGACAATACTAGAGCTAACAGCAGCAAGGATGGGCATAAAGGTGGCGAGAAGTGTAGTTGCTCAGGGAAAACAACCGTGGAGGACTGTAGACGACAACAAGCTGTTAAAATCACGCTCGCGCGCTCGACGTTGAAGACAAAGATGCAGCCGACGGAGATTCGATGAACGATCGAAGAGAGCGGTGTCATCCTGATTAAGCGGAAGTGTGTCGATGGACGAGCATGACGTTCTTCATGATATCTCAAGAATCGTCGAAGAAACATGCGCACGAAAGTTGTTTATTGGGGTAGCGATCTCGTCGGCTTTGGAGCAACTAATAACGTATTTCTTTTGGTCAATCGAACAAACTGCGACCGCATCGGACTTGGCCACGTCATGCGTAGACGCTCCACCAACTTCCTTCTCTTCAGTGTCTCGCCGCCGAAGTTCAAGTATCAAAAAAAGGGGAAAACTGCAATTGAAAATCGTGCGTATCGGCTTGCTGTTCTAGTGGTATCATCTTCTGTGTGTAACAACCCGCAACGAAAAAGAAGAAGCCAGAAAGGTATTATCGACTAAGTACTGAAGAGACTAGATCCGGCCAGGGACCCGGTGAAAGTCGGAGACGTCTTGGTTCATCTCGAAGAATTAGAGACCGGAGAAGATGGCGCTTTTTTCTTGTGATGACGATGATGAGGCGGGAATCATTCAAACAAACGTAGTAAACTGGGAATCAAATCGATCGACCCAAATTGACCCATGAATCAATCTAGCGGCGGATCGGGGGAGGAGTTCGAACATCCGGGCTGGTCGAGTTCTCCATGTTGCCCGTGAGCTCGGCAACACGCGCCTTGATGCGGGCTACGCGAGATTCAATTGCTGCTGCTTGTTAATTTCCAATCCCCTAGTTGTGAGAGTGAAGTCACACTTACTCTCCTCTCCACTCGTGTCGTCATCACCATCGGTGGTCTTGCTGTATCCACCACGGCTCTGCTCTTCGCTTTGTCGCTGAGCTGCACGCTCGGCAGCGTTCTTACGGATCTGAGCCCAACGATCCTGTGCCTGGGGGCTTCGGGAACCGTCCGTTGGGGAAACCGGGGACGTCTTCGCGGGCGGCTCGGGCGTCTTGTGTCTCGCGATCGGGGGAGGGACCGCGTCTTCGGACGAATCGTCGGGCACGAACGCGGGTTGCTCCTGCAGAGGGCCTTGGTCGAACCGGGAGAACTCGTTGTTAGCCTCGTGGGCATCCTCGGTGTCGATGCGAGAAAGCGATTCATCAACCGACGGCTCGTACTGCGGCTCGTGAGCTTGGGTCTCAACAGGGGCTGGCTGAGGCGTCTCCATTGGCGTGGTGAAAGTCTCGATGGGCGTTGGTGTAGGAAGGTTGGACTCAGAGGCAATGGGCTGGGGAACAGGAGACGGTGCATGTCTTGGCGGCTCAGGAGTTGCTGTATCGCGCTGGAGCATACCGTTCACATCTGCGGCGGCATTCTCGGGGAGCTTCGAGTTCCGGTTCTTATTGCGGCCAAACAACTTGCGGAGACCGCCACCGCCGGTCTTCTCCTTGTGGAGCTTCTTCTGCTTCTTGTCCTTCGGGCTGGTATCCGGCTCCGGGGTAAACATGTTCTCACGAGCCTCGTCGCGAGAATCCTTCGGCGGTGGCATTGGGGAGCTGCGTCCGCCCGATTCGAACCTCTCGGCAGGTTGGAGGCCGCTTGGGGTTTCTGTCCTTTCGGAAGGGGCCGAGATCTCGTCGGTCTGTTGAGGCGGCTGCGGAGACGGCGATCGGGGGAAGCCTGTTGAGTTCTGGGTCAATGGTGAAGGTTGGGGTTGCAGAGACGGAGACTTTGCGGGGGGCTCAGGACGCAGTTCCTCGTCGTCCTCCTCCTCGAGGCCGTTCATGTGCTCATTGTTGCCGTAGCTTCCGTTTCTTTGCATGGTGGAGACCCCAATGCCGCGTCCAGCTGTGTTGTTTGCAAGGTACGCCTCCCGGATAGCCTCCTTGTCGTACTTGTTTGCCCACTTCATTGCGGGAGATGCCTGTCGCAGGATGTCGGGCTGGAGAGTCATGACACTATTCGTCTTCTCGAACGCCGATGCATCATTGCGTCCTCTGCGGGCAGCAAGAATTTGCTGCTGCTTCATCTGTTGCTCCTGGTGATGTCGTGCCTGAAGTTGTGCAGCGGCAGCCTGAATCCGTGCTTGTTGGTCTGGACCGATGCTCGACTTGCTGATGTTCGGATCGTCTTTCTTGCTTCCCTTCTCCAAAGTGTGTTTTCCAGTAGACTTGCGGCGGTTAACTCCCTTGTTGCGACGCGTCCAACTAAAGAAGCCCTTCTTCTCGGCGATGTAGGCGCCTTCCTGGGGTTCAGGCGCCGCTCCGGCCACCATTTCCTCCATTACCAGCCATCGCCCAGACCTGATGGCCGTCTCGATCACGGCACAGCGACCAAAGGCGGACTTCCTCTCCGGTGTCTCTTCAGGAGCAAGACTGCTCATCCAAACCCACCAGAAGGCCTCATCGAGGTCGAAACGGGCAATGCTGGCCAATTCACCGGGCTCCAGGCGATCGGACTCGAGTCTGGGGTTGTGTGACTGAGAGCTTTTCTGGCGAATAGCCGTCTCAATGGGCGGAAGGACCTTGTCGGGAGGCAACAACATGTTCGGGTTGTTAGGATTGTCGTCAACAAAACCAGACGACAAGAAGTCGGCCCAAGAAGGCGTAGTAGGCCGTCCGAGGCCAACATTGCCTGCTGCTGGCGTGGTTCTCAACCCCTGTGGCTTTCGAGCCGCTGCGGCAGCTTCTTCCTCTTCGTCTTCGTCCTCGAGTGCACTGGTGAAGCCGATGTCTTCGAAGCGCGACCACGAAGCATCTCTCAAGCTGGTCGAGTGCTTGGAGCTAGAGACTTGGGATTGGTTGGCAGAAGAGATTGCCTTGAGCACGCGACGGCACTCTTCAGTCAGCGCTTTAACGGGATCTTCGTACTCGGAAAACTCTCGCAGAGCCCGGTCCTCGTCACGATATTGGAAGTGATTTGCCCTCCTCAACAACGCGAAGGGAGTAGGGGATACTGTGTCAACAATCATGACGACCTTGTAGGTCGAAGACTGCATCAATGAGGGCTTCTGAGGAGGGTACTCAGTCTCTTGCAAAAGCTTCTGGAGAGACATGGGCAGCATGGAAATGCTTCCCTGAGTCTGTTTCTGGGGCGCCAAAGATCGAAGGTAGGCGAAGAACAAATGGCTCGTAGCGTCGGCAGCACTGCATCTTGTTAGCATTGACCATTCGCCTGGGCATTTTGACTCACCTTGCCCACGACTTGTAACCACCTTCGAAGCCGCTACCCGTGTCCTTCTGTTCAAACGCCCACCATGCAGCCATCCGAGAGAGCTTGCGTCCGCCCAGACCGTTCATTTTGCCATGGGCGGCAATCGCGGACAACAGATCAAAGTAGTCGAAAATGATGCATGATCGAGCTCCGTTGTCAACACTGAGAGGGATAAATGTCTTGAACGAGTCCCTCGCCATGTTTGAATCTGAGAAGCGCATAAGCCACAATTTCATGCGATGCGAGGTCATTACTGCATATGTGCCACTCACCTTGCTCTCCGACCTTGAATAGCTCATATGCATCCCAGCCAACAACGCCGCCTTGAAGTCTGCTCCAGCACCATTTTACTACGCCGGCAAGGACCTTATGGTGTCAGCATGGGATATGTGAGAATCAATTAGGAATCAAATACCATAGGCTCAGTCATGCGAAGCTCTTGCGACAAGAACTCGCCGCGCAAAGGTTGGCTGCCATCGAAGAAATGGCGGATGAAGGTACGGACAGCACTAGGGTCCGAGGTGGGACGGAAAGGAAGGAGGAGGAAGGGGTGGTCCAAAGCTAGATAGGAGCAACCATGTCAGTGATCACAAGGACGATAAATCGCTTTGGCAGATGTCACGGAGCAGCCACAATGCGCGGTAGAGTCGTACCTCGTGCCTTGAGCTCCTCAGTGCAACGTCTGATCAGGTCTTGGATTTCTTCGGGTTCGACCGTTTTTCTCGTGTAAGCGTCGTCCCATCGTGGCTTCGCGGGCTGTTGGTCTGCAGCATCGAAGTTGGCGCCCTTCTTCTTTTTGGTTGAACCGTCCTTGCCCTTCAAACGGGAGAAGAGGCTAGGCATTTTGGCGGTGAGAAATCGCCTTTAAGCGGGCGATTGCTGGTCGAAAAGGAGGAAAGCGCGCGGCATTCGAAGAGCGGACGAAAGTGAAATGGAGTGGCCGTGACTGGCTCGACGAGGGGTAGGTCGCAAGTCGTTCGAGAGATCTGAGACACTGCAGGCCGATGTACTCGAGATTGCGGATTCGATTCGCTTCGCGTTCGGGGGGTTTGGAATTGGTGGGGGGATCGCGAAAGATACGCGATAGGGGAAGGTATCGTCAACGAGAGAATGCGTTGCGCGTTTGTCGAAAGTCAATAATACGGCGGCGATGTTGGAACTGTGCCCGAAAGCATTCCACTAGGAAATTGCGGGGAAGAGGAAAAAAGAGTCGAGGGTATCGGGAAAATGTTGGGGATTCAAGAAACGAAAGTAAGTCTCCAGCAAGGGAAAGCGAGAGGAGGAAAGTTGTGTCGGTTGATGTGGTGGTGATGGTCCGGAGTCTTGGGCAAGAACCGAAAGAGAGGCAGCTTCACTTTCCCTCTTGCAGTTCAGGGGCGAGCGAACAAGCGGCGGGCTATTAATTGGAGAAGAGGGAAATGGTAATATTTGGGGGGGTCCCCTGGAGGCTTGGCTGCCGGGTGCTTGCTTGTCTCTTTGATTTTTTTTCTGCTTCTTTTCTTTTTTTTTGCTCTTCTGTTTTTGATCCGTCTCCCCTGTCTGTCTGTATTTTGGAGTTGAATACAAGTACCTTTTGTGTGACAGGCACAGCAGTCGGGTACCCGAGAGCGACCCTGATGCAGCAACCCGATGGGGAATAGCGGGACGGGAAATGCAGCGCGTTAGGAGAGGCTTCCAGGTTCCAGTCCGTGGGTCGTGGCTCCGTGCAGTGTGCAGGATGCAGTAGGCAGGGCAGCAGCGTCTATCCGTAGGTGTTTTTGCCTTGGTCCTTGGATGGGCTTTTGGCGGCTTGTGGTAGGCTCGTAAGTTCTCTGGGCCGTCGTTTGACTTCTCGACCGTAGGCGGGTTTTCGAGTGATGCTAGTGGCACCTGAGCATCAGGCACGACAGACAAAGGTGGGAGGGAGGAGGGGCATGCAGGCCCTGAAATGAAATTAGATCGCTGGATAGAGGACCCCGGCCCAGTGCCACAGGCCGCAAGGCCGCCGCCAACGCTCGCGGGTGACCTTGGATAAGGTAGTCGAGACTCGAACCTCGATCTCGACTCGGTGGACTTGGACCTGACTTGTTGCCGACTTTGGACTCACCTCAGGTCGGTCCAGACAAGGCGCGCAGGTACCTCGACCAGTCGATGGAGTCCGATGAGTTGTTGGCGGAGCTGCGGCAGTGGAACTAAAAGGCTTAGGGCCAGGCCTTAAGCTACAGACTAAGATCTCAGGCGACGACGTTAGTATGGGTACGGAAAACGGTGGGAAGCCCTGCGGCGCACCGGACGACTCACACGAAGCAAGGCGACCGAAGCAGTGATGACGATGACGATGAGACGTCGAAACAGAGAGACAGACAGAGGGTGTCGGGGATGAAGAAATGCGAGAGACAAGACGAGAAGAGAAGGGCAGCCGGGTCAGAACAAGGACGACGCGCAAGATCTCAGCAGCAAGCTTCCATGCATCTACCTAGGATAAGGTGTCTGCAATGCGAAGAGCGTGTACTGCGGTACTCGGTACTGCGCGCGGTACGAATACCGCAGAATGCAATCAATGCCAATGCCAATGCCGCCAGCAAGGAAAACCTCAGACGAATAAAAGACGATGCAGCAACTTCCGGCGTCAGTGTCAGCCTCGGCGGACAGACGAGACGGGGTGACGGTCTGGAAGCGAAGGGAAACTCTGGGTGCTTATCAACGGCACGAGACGACGGGAACGTAGAACCCTTCATCTCTCGTGGGCATGCTGTCATTGACAAGGTTGAGCAAAGTTGACAAGCGGTAAAGTCGGGTATCTGTACAGATGATACTTTGGCCATTCATCTCATTCAGCTCACCAGGTCCCAAAAGCAAATGCCGGACCTCATGCTGGGTACGGGTGCCCGAAGGTTGGTTAAGCTACCTAGGTAAGGTATCTATCTGTAAGATGCATGGCATTCCTCCTGCACGAGGTGAGGTGAGGTTAAGTCCACCATGCCTTGCTCTAGTATTGTCCATGGATGGCTTGAGACAGTTTGTCTCTGCTACTGGTTGCTTGGTATGGGCAAGCGTGGACACCCCATCTGTCTACCGCACCTTAATTGAGCCCCGGGTATCCGCTAGATCCGACCGTTGTTAGGTGTCTGGCGGGCTCAGCTGAACGAAGTGTTTCTAGGCTGCTTTGCTCCGGTGAGATTGAAGATATTTCGACTCATGTGGACAGCCAATATGGAAGGTGACTTATCTTGTGGATAAAAAGAGAGATCAGTCGAATGACTGAATTGTAGTAAAATGGAAAGCGCGTGTTCTACCTTAGTGCACCCTGTTGGTCCGGGTCCGTCCTCTTACTTTCCCCGTAAGGCACCGCACCGCCCACTACCTAGGACCACCACGGCACCACCACGACCACGACGACACCCACTTTCAAGTGGTGCATTGTGCCTGCTCCTCTTCTGCCGCCGCTCATCATCTCTGGGCCCTTACCTCACTTTAACCCAGCCGGTCTGGCTGTCCAGTGGGGGTGGACCCTGTCTTGTCTCGGAGCTTCTTTGACTCGTTCTGCCTGGCACCTGGCTTTCGGCAGACTAGCAGAAAAAAAAAAAGATTTACCAGCAACGTTACGACTTCGGATTACATCTGCAAGAGCAAATCAACGGCTTCTTTCCTCCACCGTCATTCCAGTATACAATATACACCTCGTCTTGCAGGCACCGCGTTGGAGAACCAAGGAACACCGCCTTGCTTCACCGCGACAATTCGCACTTCTCCCTTTCGCTGACGTACTCGGTTCAGCACTAACACGACCTCAATTCCGTTTCGTGAGACGGTCTACTTTCCCAGCACTTTATCTTCATGCCGTTCCAGCTACCAGTGGCAAGCTTTCGTCAACATCGCGTTCTCAACGTGAAGTCATTAAGGACTTCAGGCACGATTTGCACGTCCACTTATCACGGCGCATATTCTCCAACATTCTTGTAGGATGTATCACCCTCGCCGAAGTCGTGTCTCGCAGCATCCCCCGGCCGGAAAGCAACAAGGCATAGCATAACGACCACTTAGACACGGCGAGACGCGTCTCGAACCTGTCACTTGGGTACTTCAGTCTTCCGGCGCCCGCCTGCCCGCCCCACTCCCGGCTCGACACGACGCGGTACGGATACCACGCTCACGTCAATTGCCTCGCAGGAATTCGATTGACCCAGAAGAAATAGCAAAAAACCTCAGCTACATCCGAGAAACAAACCAGATTCAGGCGCCGCCCGAGTCGCCCCCGCCGGGAGATCCAGTTCAAGCGCCGCCAACGACGGCCCGGATAGGACGCCACTTCGGCCGCCCAGAAAAGCCTCCTATGAGGCTCAGCGCAATCTGCCTCCGACATCCAATCTAAACCGAATCATCAGCTTCCCACCTCGCCAGGATTTGTCAACAATAGGTCGAGCATATTCCTGTGTGAGGAAGTCGCTTCGCCGTGCATGAGTTGGCCGTTGCCAGCACATCCCCGTCGTCACTCCGTCCGCCACTCACAACCGGGCCCTCCTGCATCCACTGACCCGAGTACCCCGTCGGGACAAGTCATTGGTTGTGTCCTGTGCGCTTGATCGGCGTGTGCTGGCATCCACCTCAGAGTGCTGTCATTGTCAAGCCTGACGCACAGCAACCTTCTGGTCACTTGCATTGGGCATCGTGCGCGTCACTGATCTCCTAACCCCCAGCAAATGTCGCGCCGATGGAATCTCGCTACCGTTATTCTCTGCGTGTGGATGCTTCTTCTCGGCGAATACAATCGGCACCGTTGGTCGTGACAGATCAGAATGATGCCACCGGAAAAACATGGCTTGGAAGCGAGCTTCCCGCTGGCAGGGCACGGAATGGCAACCTTCCATGGGCTCCCTCAAACCAATTCATCGGCGAATGCGACGGCGCTCGAGCCTCCCGTTGCATCCTGCCCATCTCTTCCCGCACATTGAGGATTAGTCGTGCCAGATTCGCATGAACGCATCTTCAAGGGGCTCAAGGACCTGCTTGTCTCTGCGCGTCTGTTCCCCGTTTCCTGACTGGCCAGATCGAATGCGAAACTCCCATCTGGGCCTGTCTCGTGGGAAAAATGGCTGCGCTACCGATCGATCAACGTCAGAAATGTCTGTCCATACTCCACCGAATGACCAACTTAATTATCGGACGATGTCTTCCAGGGGCCTTGGCTCTAATTGGGGGGACGAGCCGCCGTTGTCTTACACAGAAACGTCGCCAAACCGCCATCTTTCAAGCCCTCGGTCGGCGAACGCGAACCCTTCGACTGCGCTACCCGGGTCTCAGCATGCCAATCGCCGCTGCATGTCTCTATTTTGGCTTGCCGGCATAAAGTAAGATGACAAGACCCCTAAATTCCCTTTGAATGACATAAGCAAGTGCCGATGACATGTGACCCGCTGAGACGCGGTTCGAGACTTTGGGGAAGACACAGCAAAATCGCCGTCCGGTGTTGCTACAATAGCTTTGGGGGAATGCAATTAAAAAAAGGGTTCAAACACGCATGCCAAATCGAAATGAGTTCAGCTGCGCAGGACGCGCATGCGCGAAGATGTCACGGCCGCATAGTTCGCTTCCGTAATCGGCTGCGGGCTCCGTCACTCTGCCGGGTTTTCCTGCCCCGATCGGCCTCGGAACCGAATCCGTAGTGGACCCACTTGTGAGGTCCCGATCGGAGCCGGCTCCGGCCCCTCCAAGGGAGCGGGCATCGACGCCGTCCTGTTGCCGTTGTTTTCTCTTTCAAAGCGCCCATGTTACATGTTATGCCTGAATAATGGTCTTGTAAGTTCTTGAATGCTTTGAGCCGAGCTGCATACAACACGTCGATGTCGGTCCAACGTATCCCGTGCCGAAACAAAGAACAGACCTGGCAGAGCACCGATGATAACACTGCTTGTCCGAATTGAACTGTACGGTAGGAAGAGATAGTCATAGAAGAACATTGCCGACGGCATTAAAAGGTTACCCGCCGCGCAACCTTCCTCCGTTATCTTTTCCTCGCAGAGGCGTCAGGCATGTGTGCGTACATATCGGCCGGCATGTCGACCGACACTGAATGTCCGTGACGGGAAATCTCGTTTGACTTGGGCAATTCACCCGTGTCCACTGCCTCATTGAACCAACACGTCTTTGATGAATCGCATCTCATCTATTTTCCCCGAACCCAACTCATACCCTGGCCAGTGCCGTCATGCATCTATACGTGGTCCCTCATATGCCCTCAGCAGGCTGTATCGTCTAATAAAACAAGTCATGATCCAGGCCGATTCCTAGTAGATGGTCCACACATCAAGAGAAAAAAAAACAGCACACTTCATCGAACACCCAATCATGTTCAAAGTCAGTCAACTCGCTCATACTCGGCCGTCCTGCACATTACTCCTCCTCTTCGTCCTCCTCATCCTCCAGCGGCAAAGTCTTGACCTCAGCCAGGGCCTTGGTCTCAACGTTCTCCTTGGCATCCTCGCCGGTCACGACAGCCTTGGTCTCGACGACGGCGGCCTCGACCTTCTTCGCCCCGCTCAGGTCCCAATCGATCTCGGCGCCAGCGCCGTACCGGGAGACGAGCCAGTCGTTGGCCTTGCGGAAGTGGCCGCAGTCGAAGAAGCCCCTGGACGCGCTCAGCGGGCTGGGGTGGACGCTCTTGAGGACGAGGTGCTTCTTCTGGTCGACCTTGACGACGCGCTTGCCGGCGGGGGTGCCCCAGGCGACGAAGACGACGCCGCGGGTGCGCTTGGCGGCGACGAGGTCGATGACCTTCTGCGTGAAGCGCTCCCAGCCGCGGTTCGAGTGCGAGTTGGCCTCGTGGGCGCGCACCGTCAGGCACGTGTTGAGGAGGAGCACGCCGCGGTCGGCCCAGGGCGTGAGGAGGCCGCCGTTCTTGGGGGGCGGGGCGAAGGTCGGGTAGTCCTTCTTGAGGGCGATGTACATGTTCTTGAGGGAGGGCGGCGCCGGGGTCGGGGGCCGGACGGAGAAGGCGAGGCCGTGGGCCTGGTTGTGGTTGTGGTAGGGGTCCTGGCCGACGACGACGACCTTGACGGTGTTGAAGGGGGTGTGGCGGGACCTGTGGGAAAGAGTTAGAGAGATGATTCGCAAAAGACGTCGGATATCCAGGGAAGAGGAGGAAATAGAATGTGAAGTAGAGGGGTGACGAACCAGGAGTAGACGTCCTCCTTGGGAGGAAACCACTTCCTTCCGGCATCCGTCTCTCTGTTCAGGAACCTCTTGAGGTCGAGGAACTCCTTGGTCGTGATCTCGTCCTTGAGGTACGCCAGCCAGCTCTCGTGCAGCGTCTCGATCTCGAGCTGCAGCAGCTCCTTCTGCTCGGCCGTCAGCCCGGCGACCCACTTCTCCTTGTCGAACTTGGGAGCCGGCGTCTCGGTGGCGTCGGCGCTGCCACCGCTCCCTGCGGTGGAACCCTTGGCGGCGGTTGCCGCCGCCGCCACTGGTTTCGGGGCGGTGCCGAAGAAGGACATGATGCTGCCGTCCTGTTTGGGCTTCTTACTGTCTCCGGACGACAGCGTGCCGGCCTTCCTCTTCAGGGTCGACATGTTGGAATATGTGCGGAGGAGGTACGGCTGGTTGTGACGGTGAGGGCGTAGGACGTTGGACGTCGTCCCTTGGTCTGGCCGGCGGCGGGAACGGAGGACGAGCTGGCAAGGGCGGCGTAGGCGTTGAATTGTGTGCTTTTTGATGGCGTTGCAAGGTCGTGAAGGCGTCAATTGGTCGTCAATGGAGGTGTTCGTAAGTTCAGGTTCAAAATCAAAGATGTTGAAGTACAATAGAAAGAAAAACCAGAAAGTAAGCGTCGAAGGTGAGGAGAAGAAGGAGGTTGGCGTCGAAGGGTCGTAGTCGAGAATTCTTAGCCCGGTTGCCAGTGCCGGTCTACGGACCGTCGCGCGTGGAGCGACGCGCTAGGATGGAAGGGAAAAAAAAAGTCATTTACGCGAACCCGCTATTCCAGGCGCGTTCTGACGAGTTTCAGTGGTTGGTTCGGGCGGGGGAGCTGCCTGGAAGCTGCAGCCCTGCGGCGCCCCCAGCTGGCTTGGCCGTTTCCGCGCTTCCCCTGAGATTGGCGTCGTTTGGGACGAAAGTGATGACTTCATCCGGGCGTCTGAGGCGTCTCCGGGAGGCGTCATTGGACGGTGCATCCTGTCATATCACGAAAGCTCTATCAAAACTTGGCATCGAAAGTTTACGTAGCAAAAAAGACGAAAGACCACGTTGTGGGGGAGGTATCATTACATCTTGGCTACATAGTACAATACAAGCTTTGTGGTTTTCCCAATGTCTAATAAAACCAACCACGACGTTGTGTCGTTTGGCGTGCAAACTCCGAGCCCGGGTTCTTTTCCGACCGGTTCATTAATAGCAGCCCGCCCTCTCAACGCCCAGCAATGCTAGAAAACAAGAAAAAGAAAAAAGGACGAGTGGTGATGATGTGCTTTTAGTCCGTTTCCTGCCTGGACTTCTCGTTGACGCTCCTGAACACCCGCTTGCCGACTTCGTAGCTGCTGATCATGATGGCGCATGCCGGAGCGACCTTGAGCGTGCGAGGAATCCAGCCCTTCCACAAGCCTGAGATTCCCTCGGTGGAAAAGATGTGGTAGAGTAAGCGCATCATGGAGCCTTGCTCTGCAGCGGCCGCTTTGGCGGCATTGGGGGAGTCGCGGTAGACCTGAGTCCTGGTCTTGCCGACGTCAAACGGCATCGTTACTATCGATGCAAATCCGCCGGAAACGGCGCCGGCGATGAAGCTGTCGGTCAATGTTTCCGAATGGTTCTCCCGGCTCTGCGATCTCCGGCGCGACTGTGTCCGGGAGCCTCTAACATCCAGGGTCCGGCCGCGGCGGGTCTCACGCAGGTCCGTCAACTTTCCCCGGATCGTCTCGTATCCCCACCAGTAGATACCCGAGAAGGGCACATCCCTCCACAGAGTCAGGGTCAGACCCCTCCATAGAGCACTGTAACCGCTCGTGTTGACCATTTCCTTGATGCCTCTGAAGGTGTTGGCGAGGTGGCCTGTTGCAGAGTTGCCGGACGTGGCTTGCATTCTCGTGCGGAACAACTCGATCGGGCTGACGGCGGCGGCGGCGAGAATGCGGGCTCCGGAGCCGGCGACGAGGGGGGCAGTGTCGTCGTTGAGCCTTTGAGCAATCGGGCTCTTTCTGTTGTATCGCAGCCAGTCGTAGCCGGTGAAGTAGATGATGTTGCCGGGGATTGTCATTAATAATGTGGGAGACAGACCCCGCCAGAGGCTGGTGAACCCCTCATTGCGCGCGATCTTTCTCAGTCCGTCCATGGTCGAGCTGATGGTCTTTCGTTCCACCTCCTCGACAGCGCATTCAGCCGCTGCGGCGGTCGCCGCGCCCTCCGCCCTGGGCATCGCTATGCACAGCTCGGAAGAGTTGTTCATGAAGAAGACCTCTCTGCAGCATGCCGTAACTCCGAGGTTCTCCGTGTTGAACGCCTTCAGGTTGCTGGTCGTCATCGCGAGCTTGGAGAAGTCCACCGAGGGCGGGGTAACAGTTTGGGATTGCCATCGGACTCTCACGACATCGAGGGGTGTCACTGCAGACTACTGCGTTAGCAAGCGACCGGTTAATCAGAGTGCGACAAGATGCTCACCGAGAAGCGAGGTGAGTAGACTGCCGGACATGGCCGATATCATCTTTTGCGGTGCACTAATGTCGTCGTCGCCTGTCGCCGGACCGCCGCCGTCTTTTGCTGGAATCATGCGGGCCATGGCGAAGGAGTCGTCGGGATCGAATCTGTCATGGTCTTGGCCGGCGGACGTCTGGTTTATCGTAGTCATCTCGGTCCACTTGGCATGGTCGGAGGGATCGGAGCTGAACAATGGTTCGGATCCCATTCCGAGTCTGTAAAACGTGGTGCAAAAAGAGCAAGCTGTGGGACGAGGAAGTGAGATGATGAGGGGAGGACAAGCTTTCACGAGCTTTTCTCGCAGAGCAGGGGAGCAGGGGACGTGAAGGGCGAAATTGACCTTACCCCGTTTGACAGAGTCCGGCCGTCATGACTGCGACATCGCGCTCCTTCTCACACCCCCAAATTTTTCTGCCGGAGATAGTGATATGGGTGGCGCTGGGCCCGGGTGCACTTTTCGCTTTCGCTGGCCGAGCCGAGCTCTCTCCATGTCACGAACGTGCGATTTCATTGGTCGAAACTCTGGTGGGTCCTCTGATGCGCCACGCCCACCCACACGGTGCCTGCACCCACTGCACGAGCCCGCTAAATGTCACCGATAAGGCCGGTGGACCAGACGCCGAATGACTCCAGTTCGGCGTGCTTGCTTACAACGCATGGTCGATGATGAGTGGCCAGCTTCAACTACATCTCATCGCTGAAATCCATCTTTAAACGCCACCTAGAACAGCTTGAGTTCCCACTCATCTGTGCATTCGTTGACACTTTTGAAGCCATTCCTCATGTCGTTATCATAGTGGTTCCTATACTTCACAGCTCAGGTCTTTCCTTGAGCCGTTCCATCCCACGTCATGGAAGAAAACCCGCCAAATGATTCCGAGTTGGAATCTTTCCGACAAAAATGGCGAACTGAACTGCAGTCTAAGAGGCCACCCCAAGAGTCTCGCGGAGCACGGAAGAATGCCGGACCCTCATCATCCAAGGCACCCGCGCCTCCCGAACACTCCAGTACTACTTCAGCAACTAAGAGGTCTCAAATAGAAGAAGACGAGGAATACGCCCGGGCCTTGACTTTCGATGAACCGCCACCTCTATCGTCAGGGAGGACCTTGGAGAATGCTGCAGGACCAACAAAGGCCGAGGAAAAGGAGCTGGTCTCGGCCCTGGACCATTTTGAAGAGGCAGTAGAGAAGGAAGCCATCGGCAACCTCGGCGACAGCTTGAAGCTCTATCGCAAGGCCTTCAGGGTAAGTAGAAATCGCATCCTTACCACCGGAGAGTACTCCAGTTCTAACTCTTTCTCCAGCTCGACCACCGTGTGGACTTGGCTTACAGAAAGAAACACTTTCCAGCAGCAGTGGGGAAGCCTGCGCAGCCCAGCACATCAGCTACGTCGGCAGCTACCCCGGCCGTGGCGGGCAAGTCCGTAGAGACGCAGCAGCAAACAATTAGCGAGCTCATCACAAGCTTCTCCGGACTCTCTGTTGCAGCTGCGCCCCCTCCGGTAGAAGGCGATCCGGCACCGCCTTGTCCGATAGCTGAGGTGCCAGAGGAAATTCTGCTCCACATCTTCAAAGAAGTAGCTATCCTCGATGTAGGGGACTACGTGCGTTTGTCCCTCGTGTGCAAACGCTTTGCCTACATAGTTGCCACAGAAGAGTCCATCTGGCGGCGCGTCGCTCTCGGCACCGAGTTCGGTTTCGCCGGCATGCACCATCACTGGCAAAGGGGCATCTACTGGGAGCCCCTGGAGGAGGAAGAAGAGATAGAGGACACCGAGTTCGTCAGCATGCGGGAGCTCGCGCAACACCGTGAGGAGGAGAAGGAAGTAAACACCCTCGCCCTGTTCAGCGAGCTCTACTCCTCCTCGTGGCGGAAGCTGTGGCGACACCGTCCCCGCGTACGCTTCAACGGCTGCTACATCTCCACCGTCAACTACGTTCGATCCGGAGGCGCCAACGCGAACCAGATCACCTGGAACACCCCCGTCCACATCGTAACGTACTACCGGTACCTCCGCTTCTTCCGCGACGGCACCGTAATCAGCCTCCTGACTACCTCTGAGCCGGCCAACGTCGTGCACTACATGACCAAGGAGCACCTCGAACAGCACAAAGACGGCGCAGCCCCCTACCTGCCGTCCATCGTTATGCGGGACGGATTGAAAGGGCGTTGGCGGTTGTCTTCAGTCCTGGACTACCCAGACGCGCCCCTGGGCGAGGCGGAGGGGGATTTGATCATTGAGACCGAGGGCGTCGCGTCCAGGTACATATACCGAATGGATCTATCGATGCAGAATGTGGGAAAGCGCGCTCGGAACACGAAGTTGGTGTGGAAGAGCTTCTCCAGCTACAACAAGCTGACGGACGACTGGGGCGAGTTTGGACTGAAGAACGACAAGCCCTTCCATTTTAGTAGAGTCAAGAGTTACGGCGTCGGTGCGTGAGTTGAGGCACTCAATAGACGAGGACAGCCTTGTCCTTACCCAATAATTCGCATTACCGAATAGTGCGTTTCAATGTGTCTAAAGGTGCGTTGTGAGATGTTCACAGCAATGAGGCCGACAGCGATCTGCGTTGTCTTCTTATTCTCGTGCCAACAATGAAAACTAATCTTTACAACCAACACTTCCCCCATTTCTCCGTACCCTCACCAATCCGTACTCCTCGCAACGTCCTCCCACTCCTTGCAAACCTCTAAAACCCCCTCGCACTTCCCCTTGATCCTCTCCAACCCGTCCGTCCCCAACGGCACCCTCAACGGCACCTCCCTCCCCTCCGCCATCCCCGTGCCCCGGACGAGCTCCACCATCCTCTCCACCGCCTTGGCCGGGTCGCCCGGCTCCGTCCCGTGGATCTGGCTCTCGCCCGCCCTCACGGCCTCGTCGAACGCCGTCAACGCCGCGTCCGTCGCCCGCGGCGGCGGGTGCGGGTGCGTGATCTTGACGAACACCTCGGTCCGGAAGTACCCCGGCTCCAGAATCAGCACCTTCAGGCCCGGGGCCACGAAGGCGAGCTCCTTCGAGAGGCATTCGACGGCCACTGTAGCATTCTTTAGCATGAGAAACAGTAAGGGGAAGGCGGGAGAAACGAACTGGATAAGGCGGCTTTGCTGGCGCAGTACGCCCCCGCGGACGGATCCGCGTGCCACGCGGCCTGCGACCCGAGATACAACAGGGTCCCCGTCCCCTTCTTCCTCAGGAACGGCAAGAACGCGCGGGTGATATTCATCGGGCCGTGGAAATTCGTCCGAAAACTCTCCTCCGTCTTCTCCTGTCTGTGTCACGTCTCGTCCCGTCAGTCACGAGAATCCCCGATTCCGATACCACCACCCTTCTTCACCAGATAGTCCGAGAGAAAAAGGGGGGGAGGGAGAGGGAGAGAGCTCACGTCAAATCCTCCGTCAGCGCAGAAAGCACGTAACCCGCATTATTCACAACGACGTCCACGCCCCCCGGGAACACCCCCCACGCCTCCTCGACCTTGGCCCGGATCACGGCCTCGGGCGCCGAGACGTCGAGGTCCATGACCCGCGCCCCCGTGTCCCGCAGGTGCGCGAGCCTGACGTCGGCCTGCCGTCCCGTCGCGATCACGTTGTCGCCCTCGGCGCGCAGCCTCCTCACGAGCGCCTCGCCGAAGCCGCTCGAGCACCCCGTGATGAACCACGTCTTGGGCTGTCTGGCTGCGTCTTGTGCCATGGCTGCGGTAGTGCGGTAATTCGGTATTTGGGAAACTGTCCTTCGAATCCTAGATGAAGAGGCAATTTGTATGAGAGAAAAGTAAGAATGTCTAGGCTATATAATCTTGAAGATATGTCGGTGTGCGCTTTTATTTCTTTTCTCTTCTTATACAGCTTCCTTATGCGGCCCCTCCCTGGGTCTCACGTAAGACGGATCGTTGCAGAAAACGCATCTATCCCGGATTTGAGTATTTCTTCCGAGTAGTTTGCATACGATACCCATTAAAAACTAAGGGACTTCGGAAAATGGACCACATTAAATCGTCCGTTATGTCTGCAGACCTTAACTACCGATTGGCATCACGGAATCCCGAACCTCGGTTGTTATTAACCGCAGCAGGGTCGCCATGTGGACCTACCAGAAGAAACCGATTCGAGTTAACGAAGACCACTTATAACAGGAAATAATAATCAGTATCTGAATCGGTAACTATCTAGGAGTTTTGGGCGCGTACGACGTAGTATTGGTGTCGTCTTACATAGGTCAACTTCGTATGCAGAGGTTGGACGTTCCAAAGGCCAAGATACCAGGAATACGCCGAAGATTTAGACCTTGTGTGGTTGGTAGGTAGATCTGTGAAGTCACGAGCGAGGAATTTAATTATACGAGCTTCTCGAAAAAAAAAAAAAAAAAAAAAAAACCTTTAGGGAAGGTGATACTTAATCTATATTTTGCCATACATGGTTGGCCGTTATTCTTTCTGATTCTCGTCGAATCATACATTACGACCCGACAAACGGGCAGAGTAGGCAGACAAGACCTGTAAATGCATGAAACAGAATGACAAATCGCTACATTGTTACAAAACGCCCCAACACCTAGCAGGATGATGGTGTTCAGTGTTTCCTCTCCCAAGTTGCAAGTTCCTTTTCCCAGAAAAAACAAATATGAGTGTGCTAAAAAACATGCTATATGCTGGGAAAATCTTGCAATAGACAAGGATGCCATTGGGCCTTTGTCTTAGACGCACACAAATATGGAAATGAAATATCAGTGTACGCCTGGGGTATCAGTGTGGCACTTTCGTGCCCAAAGCCAGGATAAATACGCGCAATAGAGCGGGTTAAGAAATGCTTCGGAGATCGGCATGCGTTTCGATGAAGCGAGTTTCCGGGTCCCGGTAGGACCGAGAACCTGTCGACCTGCAGATCGACGTGAATACCGAGTCCGCGGTCATGGTATGACGAATCGGGAGACCGTCTTAGCGTGGTGTGACTCTCTTGCCGTCCAAGAATTTGGGGCTCCTGGCATCGTAGTACATGTTGGGCGTTTGCTGCTGTCTGCGTTGCTCGTATGCCATTCGCTCCTCCTCGTCGAGAGAGAAAGCCTTCTTCAGCCAGCCAAATGCGCTGCGCTTCTTCTTGAGCCGTTTTTCTCCACTTGCCGTCGCCTGAGAGTCGTATGTCATGGTCGTGACAGTACTCAACATACTTGCTCCTCCTAAGCGGGAAGGTGCATTCCTTTGATGAGACGGGTAGTACCCTGACTGAGCATACGGAGACCTGGGTTGGGCACCAGCCGTGAGTGGTCGTTGCTGAAGAGGAGAGTGCGGGCTTGCTTGAACAGGACGATAGAATTGGTGCTCCGACCGAGGAGAAGGCAGCACTGGAGGCTGCACCTGCGGAGATAGTTCGTTGGTGGTATGATATCGTGGTCGTTGATCAACGTCTGAGCCGTATGCCGAGTCGGGAGTCTGATACTGCCGGGGTGACTCTCGCCCAGCATGGGAATGCTGAAGATCTGTAGCTGGAGGAGGAATCAGAATTGACTCGGGAGGGGTCGTCTTGAGCGAGACTCGTTGCCGAAGCGAAGTCTTCTTCGTGGGTACGGGCGCCTCTGTTGGCGGCTCATATTTGGACGATTCAGTGGCCACTGGCGATGAAGACTCTGGTGGTTGTGGCGTGTACGTCCGAGGTTGTAGAAGGAAAAGCGGCGCGTCATCCACGTCATCAGACACAATCGGCCCCGAGCCGGCATCGGGAGTTTCCAAAGTCAGCTTCGGCGTCGTAGTGTGCGTGCTGTGAACTGAGCTCTGAGCGGAGTGTGTGCTGTGAGTTGTGTGTCCGCTATGAGCTGTACGCCCGCTGTTCGTCGTGTGGAAGCTCCCAGTTGTGCGAGAGCTGCTTGTAGTGTGGTTGCTCCTGCTCGTATGCGTGCTTCTCGCCGTGTGGGCACTTCTGCTCGTGTGCGCCGTTTGAGCAGTAAGCGTGGATTGTCGGTCCGGTGAAGCCGCCGGTGACGGTCTCTGAACCGGTATCTCAAAATAACTCGTACTCGAGCTTGACCTGCCTGTAGATATAGACCCACCGCTCACACTGTTTGCGCGTAGGGTCGATCGCCTGGCGCTTCTCAGTGAAGGTGGTGAAGCAGGTGGGGATTTGAGCGAGGCTTCGTCAGTTCGAGGACCTTGAATGGGCAAGGTGAATGGCGGAATGCTTGCCTGCTTCACATTAGCGCCGAAATCAGTCTTGAAGCACCCAGCATCTACTCACCCAGGTTCTCCGGCTGACTTCACCAGCCTTCTTACTCATTTCCGCCACCATCTTGCCAAGCTTGATGACGAGAGCGTTCAAGTCTTTTCCCTGAGCCTGCAGCTCAACAAATGCGTTGTACCAGCCTTCGGTATTGCCCTTCATGGCGGCGTATATGTCAACGACATCTGGGCGGTCCTGGCGCCAAGTGCCGCCGTTTTGCTGGGCCAGGTAAATCGCAAATTCCTTGGTCGCGGCCAGGCCGTGCTGCACATCCTTGTCGTACTGCTCCAACAGAATGTTTGTGCGGGCAACAATGTGTTCGATCTTCTCGTTTCCCTGGACGATTTCCATTCGAAAGTTACGATCCTCCAAAAGTTTCTCGAATACCTCCAGATTCTCCATTGGCAAGCGCAGGTAGTCTATCCTCTCCTTGAGGTCCTTGGACGCTTGTTCAAAGTCTTCCATGACCACCTCGAGAAACTCGTCCACCTCGTCAATATGTCCCTGGAGAATGCTGACAACCTGGGCTGCGCTGTTGGCCATGCCGTTTAGCAATAAGTAGACGCCGAATGAGATCTGGGCCATGAGCTTATGGAGCTCGTGCTGCTGCTGCCCAGGACGATAGCGCCAGAGCATGTCTGGTAGATCATCCTCCCGTTCTTGGCTGATAAGCTCTTCACGACGCGCTTTCGCATCAGCAGACTTGAGCTTCGGCTTTTCGGCGGGGTTACCATCGGCGACCTCGAGAAACGACTCGGAGAAGGCAGCCTGCATGAAAGGAATAGGATGGAGGGGGACTTTGGGACTGCCCAGCGTTGGGGACTCATTGTGGGCTCGGCGTGTGCTCCGCTCGGGGATTTGTGGAATATTTGCGGTAGTGGGCGTTCTCTGGGCATCCTCGTCGTCACTGTCGTAGTCGAATGAGGATGGCAGGTCGTCGTTTGGAGGTAGCAGGACGATGGGCAGATCCAGACTCAGGTCGAGAGTTTTGCTCGCCCCGAAGGACATACGCGGTAATCCGGTCGAGGTAGCCATGGTGTACAACGATCGTGTCTCAGTAGCTACGAGCGGACTGCAGAGATCATCTGGGGTGTGACGACCACCGCAGCCGTTTGAGTGAAGGTTCCTGATCGGAATCGGTGGGTGCGACGGGCGACGGGCGGCAGGCGAGTAGGTGAGTCGGCTGTGAAAGGTTGTGCGACGCTGGCGCTTAAGAAGAGCACCACTGCGACTGCGACTGCGACTGCGACTGCTGGTCTCACAAGACGGTGGTTGTTGGGATTGGTGGTGGGCGAAAGAAGAGGAGAGTCGTTGGTAGGGCGGGAGCCGCGTTGAAAAAGGACCGGGTCGTGTTTAACAGTGGCAGATAGACATGACAGGCAGGACGGTCCCTGGTTGATGAGGGGGGTCGCGAGAGAAGCGAATAAAGATAGATCCGGGGTCGTCGTTGTGGTGAAAAGGACTGGACGGGTGAATAAGGAGGGAGGGCGAAGCCAGGTAAGGCCAGACAGGGTAAGGTATAGATTATAGTGAGGTGGGATAATATTAGTATTACGAATAAAGGGTTAGGTTGGGGAGAGCGAAAAGTAGAATCGGCCAGGCCAACGGATGACGGGGACGGCGACGGTAACGGGACGGAGGGTCAGCCGAAGGAGACAATGGCGGGGAGGGCAGAGAAGAGCATTCCAGACAAGAGGGCGAAGGTTTTTGTCGAGAAGCACAAGGACAGAGTTTTCGAGGGAGCGAGAGAAGGTGAGGAGAGGAAAAGATTGAGGCGAAGTGAGATGCGCAATCCTAATCCTCCTGTCTGTAGAAGAAAGAAGCTGAGGTGGAAGAATGGCACGAAGAAGAAGAAGACGACGACGACGACTACGATAACGGGAGGAAAGAAAGGGCGACAGGTCACCTTGTCTGTCACCTTGACCTTGGGCTTGTCACCTTGTCCAGGGCGGGATGGCTGAAGAGTGAAGGAAGGATGGAGGGGACTGGAGGTGGATGGGATGTTCCATGTCCAGGTGCCAGCCAGGGCAGATGGACCTCCACTGAATTGAATGAAAGAATGGTCTGAATGCCGGGAGCTACTCGGTACGTATCTTTTCGCTCAGCACCCAGGGCAGGTAAGGTATCCGTACCTACTCCAGTCCGTATTCCTACTCCGTAAGGTAGGTACATGAACATGGACCATCGATGCAGACGCACTTACGATTTCATTTCTATATTTTATTTTCTACAAAGCTCCCTTCCTACCTGCTGCAAAGCACGAATGCCGCGGTTCTACGGCTTCCAATGCCACAAAAAAGTGCCGACTGTACTACCTTGTCTTATGCAAGGCTGTGTGCTTCGTCCCAGTCGGGAATGGCGGCTGCTGCTGCTGTCTGTCGCCTGTCGCTTGTCGCTGTCTCGCATTCCCATTTGGATCGGAGAAAAAGGAAGCAAAATTCGAGGTTTCTGTCCGCGCTGTCTCTCTATTCGTACTCCGTACTCTGTACTAAAAAGCACCTCATGTAAGGCATGCAGCAACGGATGGAGCCCAACTGTCGGATTGCAGTGACACCTGTGACCACCTACCGCTAGGACTGTGGGGGGCCCAAGAGGACGTGGAATTGTCCAGTTGCGTTGCTGTGCAGAAACCTCCTTGCTTTGTTCGTCTGTTCGTTTCTTCCCTGTCCTCTTTTTTTTTCGCATGTCACTTTCTTTTGGTGTGTTTCCTGTCTTTTGCGCCTACGGTACTCTGTACCTTACCTAATCTAATGTATGTAATGCCAACAGCCTGAGGTACGAACACATCAATATTTTCCAACGTCTTCTTTACTGCCCAACTCCATCAATATCCCATCAACTAATTCGTTTAATATCAGACCATCGAATTCGCAATTCGCCCCTCCTCCATCTCTGTTCATGGTTCTCCTCCTGGCCGCGCATGGCTCCCCAAAAAAGCGCTGAACAGCAGGAAAGGAAGGACCCAGCAGCACCAGCCCGAACCCCCTTGAATCGTCTTCTCGACCCCCTGTCGCCATTGCTCTTTTCAACCTTAGCGTCTCTTCTTTTCTCGAACCCCTGAACAAAACGGGGAAAGACATGGCGAAAGGGAAAGGGCCCAGAACCACCCGATCCTCACTCTGTTGCAGGGTCCCCTCGACTAAGAATTGCGTCCCTGGTCTTCGCCCCGTCAAAACCAAACCACTCCACGCCCAGGGTGCCACGCCCCCGAACAAGACTCTCAGGTCGAGCTCGAGTGCCTCAGAGGAGGGGGAGAGATGGCCACCATCCACGGGACCCCGATCCGATTTTCTGCAGAGTACCGACTACGGATGCGCTCTACAGAGGACGCTGCAAAGAAATCCAACGCTCACCAACCTTCCGGAGCACCTGGACCGTTGATGATAGACGGACTATCAAACTGGCCATGGCTCTGCTTAGTTTGAACGCTTGTCGTTGATACCTCAATTGTCACTCTCCCGCGCCCAGAAATGTCCGCCCACTTTCCTTTCCCCCTACATCCCGTCCTGCAGAGTACATTGATCATTGCGCAGCAGCCCTCTCCATCTCCGTACCGACATGTCTACGAATACCAGTTCCGGTTCTAGCTGCAGTCCTGGGACAGGGACAGCGGCCCCGATGGACGCCCGTGGGATGCCCGTCGAAGCGTCTTCTGCTTGAGCATGCACCCATCGAGCCATCGACGCTCATGTAGCTCGCCTCCGTACCGGCCCCGAGAGTTGACGCCGAATGTGCAGGTACAAGTACGCACGCGGTCTTGTTGGCTCGCCCACGCGCGTCCTCTTCGGCCGGCCAGCAACAACACTGCATCATACATCATGGCATGAGGAGTGCAAACCGGAGCTACAAAACCAGAAGCGCGAATACGTATCATCACACGGCCGGCTGGAAATCATCACCACGGTGGCATGGCTGCTACCAGAAGGCCCAAAACTCAACTGATGGCAACTCTAGCGTTGCATTCACGTCTACCACGTCAGACAACACAAATGGCCGCCATTGACGCAATATTGTATTAATCCCCAGCTGCGTCTTCTTGCATGCTCGCCAAGTAAACCGGCTCAGGCGGTCGTCAGCCACCAACCGCGGCACAACGCACCGGCGCGACAGATGGCGGTTGATGGCCGCACGAGTTGCCAAACACTTCAGCATCCTCGCTTTTGCAATCACAAACCCGCTTTCTCACCTCATGTCACCCTCACACCAGACGAGAGATAAGGTACCTTGCCTTAGGGCCATCGAACTATTCATTTTGTGCAGGAACGAGTCTCAATCGGGTCTGAACCCCTGCTGTTGGCAACCAGCCTGGGACTCCTTCTGTTGTCGTCACCCAAAAAGTGCGGACACTTGGATCGCAATTATTAGTCGTCACCTACCACGCCCATCTGCAAATACGCGACCCATTCCAGCAACAGTTGTTGGTCCGCGTATCAATGGCTTCTCTGCCTCCAAGCCGGTTTCTCGAGAGGCAAGATGGGCACACAATGCTGCAATAACCGTCAAAATCCTCCTTAATGGAATGGCCGTTATGTTCCATCGGGCATGCCATTGGCTGCCCACACGAGATGAAAATGGTACCGCAACGTGCGACCTACAACCTCCATCTCCAAATGTGCCAACGGAACCAAACATGTCTCTTCCGTGGCAGCAGCGGCAGGGTCTGCAAAAAAGCACAGGCGCTGTTTGTTTGTTGTTTGCCTGCTTCGCCGCCTTCAACCTTGCTTACCTCACGCCAAAGCACTTAAACCGGCACGCAAAGGATGGCGGCCGACATGTACAGAGTACCAACTCAGGCTTCCGTGCCGATGCAGGAGCATACGGTTGTGCAAGATGTGCCTCGGACTCTTCTCTGGCCGTAAGTACCGACTCGAAAAACAGTTCACGATCTCGCAGAGGTGATCAGCATTGCCCCTCCAACAAGTCTCGTGCGCAGCCGGGTGGTTCGCCATCGCTAGCAACATTGGATGGGCACGATTCAACGAGTGGCTTGTGCTCCAGCGACCTCTCGACTATTTACAGCACCTACGGTTCTCCCTCTGTGCACTGTCGTCGGGGTGGCAGCTGCTGACGGGACATGACTTGTCGCCAACCGCACGGTCTGTGGAGGTTGAAGCCGCGAAGCTACTCCTGAGTCTCAAACCGCCGACTGTGTCGCTCAACGAGCCATGATGCTGACCGTCTCTTGATCGTTGCTTTATCCATACAACCCATGGCTCCCCTCTCCGGCTTCATTTCTATCTGCGGACATAGGCTCACTGGCCCGATCGATCGGCTTCGACTCCCGTCTACGGAGCCCGCTTACGTCCCTTGAACCACCCCTGCGTGCCACGGCGCCTTCTGGATTCATCAAATTGGCTATTTGCCCCCCCGTTGTCGACGACCAGTTTTGGTCCTTGGCCTTGCTTCTCCAGCCGTTCACCGCTTTTCAAAGTTTGGTTACGGCATCCTTTACGTGGCTGGAACAGGGGAGATGAGGAGAGACGAAGAACAAGTAACATGAGATGAACGAGGGAGCCTCGTACGGTTCATTCCCACGCTTTTGACTTTGGCATCGGGATCGAGTCTGTGCGGGCAACCACTTCAGTGCCAACGACGATGACAGCAGTCATCTCGAGAGATACTAATAGCGACCTCTGCTAAACAGCAATATCACTCCAGATCAAGTTACTCAGGCGCAGGCAAGCTCCCGGCCTTGACATAGATTGCCCACTGCCTATGTCTAAATTATCCGTTGGCATAGGGTCTAGCCTCCACGGACCAACGACAGCACCACAGACATAAGCTTCGTGGGAACCAATAATTGACCCAAAATGGACGCTGACAACATCTGCTGACCCGATGACCGAGGCGAGTCAGATTACCGCAACCCATACATACGATGGCTTTCATGATCCCCAATGGAAATTGCTGATATTCGCTGGCGAAATATTGGATTTTAGTCCACCTCTGGAGATCTGGATACGACATTATTAGCCACACGAGAAGTCTCCATGCGCCTCCTCTGGACGGAGCAAGGCCAGGCAGAATGACGAGCATGAAATCACAACGGTTATTGGCAACAGCGTGCAAGTGTTGAAGGTGGGCTGTGGGACCAGCCGTAGCTCTATGGATCCTCTGGATCGATTGTGATTTCGCGTTACCGTTATTACCGTTGCCAAGGAGGTTTATTCGTTGAACGATGACCACCATGTGGTTCTTGTGGGCGGAGAGTCGTCGTCTTCTCGAATTCTTCCCCTCGGCCCATGGCTACCCTCGCAGCGACCCGCCCGCCGTCCATGCTGGCTTGCCGCGGCTTTCCCAGGGGTTGGGAACTGGCGGTCACAATTGTATCGCGCTTCTCCGTCACAACGCAAGCGCGGAGATGAGCATCCAGTATCCACGATTCAGCCGTCTTGCACGACAAGCGCGGTTGGCACTCGCACAGGTGCAAGGCCTGTCCCAGTTTCGGTCCCGTCGTACAAGTGGTTCTTTGTGGCACGTTCGCCCTGGGCCGACCGACCGCCGCGTCGCTGATCGACGGACGGTTCATCTGGGGATCGATCTGCAATCTGCTTACCCAAGATGATAGAGCCTTTTCTCTCCCATCCGCGCTGCATCAGCCTCAACCCCGCAACATGCACACTTTCCGAGGGTGAAGTGGAAGATGCAGCATTGCTGTGGATGGGAATGATGAGATATGGTCGAGCAACTGCGAATCTCAGCCCCGATGGATTGGGTACGCTATCAAAATCGGCGGCTGTTTCTTCTCCTCACGAGTCTCTTTGCCTCCTCCATCGCTCAAGCCATTTTCAGTTGATTCGCCGGATGAACGTGTACAAGCCACGCTTGATGATATCAGACATTCCTTTTCGCAGCCCAGTTCAGAGATGCCACGTGCAAAACGCACCACCAGTGCTGACCGGCGTGAGCGAAACTCAGCCAACTTGCACCTAATTAAAAGTCGGACTCAGGGCCAAGGCTGAGCTCTTCTCTTCGCTGAACGCAGCTGGACGCCCGCAGGAATACTGTCAACCATGGAGCCGTGAAAGGCTGCTCGAATATGTCACAAATGGGGCTTCTCGGCTCATATTGAAAAGAGGAAAACGAGCCCCTCGTCATCCCTTTCCAGCACTGACCAAGATCCGTATCCATTTGCACCTCTCAGCACCCCACATCATCTCCGTTGCCTCCCAGCAGGCGGCCTTGTCTTGTTAGCTGCAGCAACGGTCAAGACCCTCTTTCTGCATCAGGTCCCTGGCCCCGATATTCGAAAAGGGAAGCAGGCAAGGAACACGGCTCCTCCCATCGGCATCAGCCACAACACCGGGGCCGTGTCTTGATTGCGACGCCGCCGCCGAGGTCCAGTCGAGTGTGCCGTTGCTGTTGCTATTGTTATTATCGCCGTTCTCGTCCAGCAGCATCGGTCAGCATTGTCAATTGGGCGCTGTTGGAGTAAGGGGACTGGCTCAAGACACGCATGCATATCTTCGAGTACACGCGCTCCTCCAAATTCCTACACTGGACAACATTCATCGCGCAACATTACGCCATACACAAAGATATAAACATAGTATCGACCACCGAGTGATAGCACACGACATCGCACAGAGACAGGCCAGGCCACCCCGGTAGAGACGTAATTGCGCTTCTTCGGCGACGGAGCACACCCCTGCTACCCAACGACCCGCGCCGAAAGCCAAGGCCCACGTTCAAAAACCTCTTGGGTCTCGATTCTCCCACTCCCGGCTCAACTCCAAAACCTGAACATCGTCAAGCGAAAAAAAAGGGACGAAGGGATTTTCATTTTCGCGCCTCGTTAGCGGAAATTTTCTCCCCAGGGCAGATAGATCATCATGTTCGCTGCCTTCCGCTTCGGGTCGGATCTCTGGGATCCTTCCTATCGGTTCGAGACCTCGTGGCTCCTGCCTCCCTACCTGTTGGCCGCTTGTCGCGCCCTGATCGTGAGTTTTGCCCCTATTCCCAATCTCGCTCGTCGCGTCGTCGCATCCCATCTTCGCCCAGACCCGCCCAAAAACTCAAAACTAACGATGCGATATCTTCTCCACACAGAGTCTCTACATCTTCGTCGTCCGTTTCTTCTCAATCGGCTGGGCATGCTCTCACGAAGAGGACGGCGGCTGCGCTGACGCCCGCGCCAGCTTCTCCTTCTTCACCGTCCTCACCTACTGGGGTCTAGGCTTCTACTTCCTCGTCTCCGCCGTCCACACCTTCACCTACGCGCACTCCGGCTCCCCGCTCCTCGACCGCTTCCCGCGCCCCCTCCAGGCCCTCCACGCCTTCTTCTACACCACGATCACCACCTTCCCCTTCATCGTCACCATCGTCTACTGGGCCATCATCTTCCCGGGCACCTGGTACACGGAGCAGTACGACGCCTGGAGCAACATCTCCCAGCACGCCATGAACACGGCCTTCGCCCTCTTCGAGATCGTCATCCCCCGCACCAGCGCCGCCCAGCTCGAGTGGGTACACATGCTGTGGCTCATCATCGTCCTCGCGCTTTACCTCGCCCTCGCGTACGTGACGCACGCCACCCAGGGCTTCTACCCGTACACCTTCCTCGACATCCAGAAGACGGGCAGCGGCAAGGTCGCCGCCTACATCGTCGGCATCGCCGTCGCCGGCATCGTCTTCTTCCTCATCGTCAAGGGTCTCGTCTGGCTGAGGGAGTGGGTGACGGAGCGGAAGCTGGGCATGGACGGCAAGTTCGCCAAGCAGCGTTTCCGCAACTACGACACGGAGCTCGGTACTATCAACAGCAAGCATTGAGAAAAAGTGTCAATGGTTCCGCTGTGTACATTTCCTTCGTCCGCGTCGCATTACACGGCCTGCGCGTCCGGACTCGTTCAAAATGTCTTGGGAGTATGGGAGGTTGGAGCGGTAGCATCGGTTCATTATACCCCGAGGGACGCTGTTGGAAATGAGTCCCCGTCATGATGTACAGAACGGCATGAAGAACAGACGTAGAAGCCGGCACGGCTAGCATAATTGTCTAGTATGGTAATACAAGTAATCGTTTCAAACATGGTACGCTCTACGGTCTATCAGCATTTCAGTGAGATGCCTCTCCTCATCTCGGACTCGCGTATCTCAAACATGACTTGTACGCCGACGTATAATGCCGAGCAAGCCGTCACGAAGAACATGACGCCTATATGTGATGTTAGAATGCGCTCGAGCTCAGATTATAGGAGGAAGGGGGAGCCAAAAGCAACTTACCTGACCAATCATGCAGAATGCCGTGCAGAATGCTCTGCAGACCGTCTAAGCCGACCGCGAAACCGACGAGGTTGGCAGTCATCATCATGAGCACGTTCGCGACGGCGCCGGCGCCGCAGAGCCAGCGGTACTGGTTCGGCCTGTTCTCCCACTTCCTGGCGGGGAAGAGCATCTGGGCAAAGGCCTCGGGGAGGAGGAAGAGGACGATGAGCCAGCCCCAGATGAGCAGGCGCAGGCGGATGTCGTGCCAGAGGGCGACGAAGGTGAAGACGAGGAGGTAGGTGGCGATGGAACGGACGGTGGAGGCCCAGGAGCGGAAGTTTGCGCCACCGAGGGGGATGTAGATGTAGCGGATAAGCCAGCGGTTGTAGGACCTGTGCCAGGCCTTCCAGAAGGACTTGGGGGACCAGTTGTTAGAGACGCAGCGCAGCATGTTCTCCGGGGGGTCGACGCCGTCGAGGAGGGCCCAGAGGCGGAAGAGGCGCCAGGGGAGGAGGAGCTTGAGCCAGATGATGTGGAGGTTGAAGTAGGACAGCAGGGAGAGCTGGGCGGGGGTGTAGGTTGACCAGTTGGGGCCGGCCTTTGAGATGGCGCAGACGTAGTCGTAGTGGAGGACGAGCTCCATGGCGAGAAGAACGAGGACGAAGCGGATGGCGTAGCGGAGAGTGCGGCCGGTCTCGACAGAGGCCGGGGGGTGGCGGAGCTGGGAGACGAAGTCGTTGAAAGTCATGATGGGGCCGACGAGGTAGAGGGGCGCGTAGATTGCGTAGGCAAGGTAGTTGCGGAAGGAGTAGTCCTCGGGGGCGGCGGAGATGGCGAGTCGGTCTCGTTCGGAGAGATTGGCGGGGTCGAGTTGCTTCTTCTTAAGGACGTCAGCGCCGAAGAGGGCACGCGAGGAGGGAAAGGAGGGAACAAGGTGGTCTTACCTCTAGAGCGCTGCCGCCGCGCTGTTCAAGGCTGAAGTAGTAATCCAGGTTGAAGCTGATGAGACGCAGGACGGTGATGTTGAACAGGATCTCCCAGCGACCCATCAAACCGCCGTAGGAGTCCATCCAGTCACCCCATCGGACGAGGAATGGGTCTTCTGTCAGGAGGTCCCTATGGACGGGAGGCGGCGTGATGTGCCGCGCCATGGCGCCGAACTTGTAGCCCTGGGCGAGCTCGTTGGCAAAGAGCATGCAGACATTGAAGATCCAAGTGGCTGCGGGGACGTAGCGGCGCGGCAGGCGGGTCGCGAGCATGTAGTTGAGGCGGAGGATGGCGAGGACCTTGAGCGCGGAGAAGCCGTGCAGGGCGACGAGGAAGACGAGAGCGAAGCGATAGTCGAAGGAGGCTCGTTGCTCGAGGCGGGCGTCGCCTTGTTCTGTCGCGGACTTCTTATGTAGGTCTGACGGGATCGGGAAGGCGGCGTTCCAGAGCTTTCGGAGGAGGGGGTGGAAGGTCAGGAGGAGGGCCATGTAGGGGAGGTTCTGGCGGAAGGTATGGTATTGCGAGTCGGAGACATCCTGGAAGTGGTCTTGTGTTAGTCGTGGAGAAGGAGGAGGAGAGAGGAGGGAATATGAGGCTCACGATCTTGCGCCCTGGGATCCAGCCGTCGGAGAGGAAGTGCTCATAGTTGTGGTATCTGTAGTCGGCAGCTGTGAGAACGGAACGTCAGTACTGGGGCCCAAGGCGATTGAATCTAGAGCAGCTGCTTACGCTTCGATACATCATAGGCGACCCAGAACATGTATGGGACAATGCCTGCGATGTATATCACATAGACCCAGTACTCTGGAGTGTTCCATTTTGAGGGCTGCGAGCGGGCGCGGATTTTGCTCGACGATTCTTTGCCCAGCGCGGGATCGCTTCGTGCCTCTATAACGGTCTTGTAGGGAACGGAGGAAGAGTTTGTGAAGCGCGTATCGAGATTGTCGAGGTCGTAGATGCTCCTCAGGAACTGGAGGGGACCACCCATGGCGGGCGGGCTTGGAGTTGCTGCTGCTTGAAGCTTGACGCGCGTGGGAGCTAAGAGAGGAACGGCGCCAGTCTGAAGGTTTCTAGATCATTGTTGTCGATTGGGAATGTCGAAAACGGGAGAGTCTCCGGGACTTGGTGTGGTTTGAGAGAGAGAAGGAGAGGAATTGGGATTTGGCGAGACGTTGGAACCGAAGTCTGGGAAATTGGGGGGCATGAGGTCTCGTGTCCGTGGATCGCATTTCCGTCCCATGTGTCCAATTGACGGGACGGTTATTTTCGTGACGCAAGCCCAATAAGCCTCCTCCACTGCTAAGCTAAGCTCAGACAAGCTGCTGCCCGTTCCCCCTGTAACCCGCTGCGACCTGCCTGCACCTTCAGCCAGTTGCAGTTGCACCGCCCGCAAAGTCGGGGCGTTTTCTTTTCTTTCCTCCTAGAGCGTGCCCCCAATTGGCGGGGATGATCGACAAATACCCCTTTTCCTGCGCTGGGGTTGGATTCAGGGTCGCCTTTGCCTCGGTACCTACCTGGATATTGCTTGGGGGCATGCAGCTGCATGGTCAGTTGTAGAAGTCTCAGCCAATGAGGTGAAAGCATTGACAATCTTCAGACGAAGACTCGAGAACAAGCAACTTCAACTGCTCAGCTCGAGTATTTAACTCATAAACATGTCAACCACGACATCAAACATGTGTTTTCTTGGCCTTCGCTCGTCAGACGACTCACATTACAGGCTGCTGAGATTCAGATTCGTGGCTATGCGGTGACAAGTCCGGCTACGAACACAGATTCATCCGCATATAATCAACTTGGCATCGCGCAACTATCACATACGACCATACCCACTGGAGAACTCGGGATCCCGTCCGCTCTCCCTTAGATAAGCCAGTGAGGGCCGGATTAGTAGTTGGGTCGGTGACGACCAGCGAATACCTGGTGTTGTATGTTTTTTGCGTGTGGAAACAATTCCAGCGACATGGTTTTTGCTTCAGCAGTCCTTATTGCTTGACCTCAAAACATGTGCTACTTGACGAGGATGCTTAAGCAATTACTGAATATATAGCATGTGTCCTGGGGCCAGACCTTACTGTTTAGCCTGCCAGGTTGAATTGGTTATCTGTATGATTCACAACCTATTTCCGCCCGAGACGACTGAGATGGTCTCAACCACAAGAAATTAGTCATCGCGGAAGTTCGTTCACATAGAGCTAAAGGTTTCCGGCTCTCCTTTTGAGGTAGCGCCTATAGATAGAAAGTTGTTGGAACAAACGGGTCACCAGCATCATCGTCATACGCATATGAAGGTGATCATGGATTCTCTATAGATATAGACATAACAAGCAGGTAAGCTTCAGGGTGGCTGAGAATTGAGTTTATCAACGCAAAGCGCATTCATCTCTGGCCTGTCTTACTACTTACTCAGCTATCTATTTGGTCTTTATGCCCAAGGGCAGCTGAGATGTTTCTAGGTGATATATACTGCCAGCCGGCTCCCGTATGTGTTACCCTTGTCAATGTGGGCATCCTTGGGGTGGAAGTCGTGCAACATCAACCAACACACCATGCGGACAATCAACGCGCACCATATGTCATTGATCTGCTGATCGTGTTGTCCCTTCATTAGCTCTAGCATCTCCTTCGTCTCAGCTTGCTCTAACGGATCTTCTTCTCGGGCCACTTCGCTTTTCAGCTGGTTGTAAACGACCTCAATCACCCTCTTCCGAACCGCTACGAGGTTAATTTGAGATAATAGACCATGCTTCTCCCTCGAAGATGCCGAATCAAGCTGTTGAAGCAGTGACATTTCCTTCTTGGTCGCGGCAGCCTCCAACTGTATCTCGGGGATGAATAGCGTTTTTGGCACAGTCAAGTGGCGTCCATCTTCTGTTTCCGCCGCGTTTGCAGCTCCACGACTGGTGCCGGCTGGCTCACGAAGGCCATCCTTCTCGTTCAGAATGCGAAGGGTTTCTTGGAAGTGAATTTGCAGAACGGACTGAACCAGCCCACGTCGCTCCATGCTGCCGAGATACTCATCGCAGATACGAATGGCAACGTGGAGAGATTGAAAAAGAGCCATGATGTATAAAGTTTTGTCCGTCTTTCTGCTTTGCACGAATTACATGGCTGTGACGGGTGGGTTGTCCTTCTCGGCCTGCCTGAACTCGTACGAAACATGGTTCGCACCCTCGAGGATATTGGACGTGCAAGAGCCCTCCCTATCCTGAAGCAATGTATCCGAACGAGAAAGCTCCGTGATACCACGAGCTAAATCACGCAGGAGAGCTTGGAACATGGCGGTAAAGAAGGCGAGGACGGAGATAACAAGGGCGGTTATTGCCACCAAAAGTTCGATGTTGCCGTCCTTGTCGTCGTCGCCGCTTCCCCCGCTCCCCCCACCCGTCGAGTTACTCGAGTTAGAGGCCATTTTGAGCCTTGAGATGAGTCTGTATATGCCAAGTGACGGAAGGTATTCACAGTTTGGCCATGCGAGGGCTTTTGCGTGTTGTCGCTATCGTAACACGGTCTACAACTCGACCAACCCTGACCAGAGGGACAGGTTTATTTGGGACGAGGAGAAAACTTCATCTCCGAGTCGGAAAACCGCTTTGCTGAAATGGAACACCAAACTTGCAGCTTACCTGCATTACCCCCGGCAACCGTTCGCCAATCACCTGCAACCCTTTGGGACTGACATCAGCTCGATGCTACTTAGGTCAGGCCATGTTATTCTACAGGGCAGTTTGTTCCATCCAGGCATCAGATAAGGTCTTCAAGGGCTGGATCAGTTGTTGGGTTGGTAAAGACCAGCGAATACTTGGTGTTATACGTTTTATTACGTTTGGATGTGATCCCGAAGAGTTGACATTGTTTCATTCGTCATTCTGACTGCAGTTTTACAACCGACCAGGTTTGACAAGACTATGAGATTTTCATGTCTCTGTCTTTTGAACTGCGGCCAATGGCCTGTTCACCACCTACCGTTACCATCTCCCAAGACCAATAGGACCAACACAAGACCAGTGCTTATAGACCAGGTTATTGCTCTCAACTTCATCGACGATAGCTACAGCCATGTCTTCATTGTATATGCCTCCGTAGATGGCCTGATAGCCAGGCCGATCAGGTTCGTCCACGAAGATCTCATACTTGCCGGTACGGACACCTGAAGGAGTTAACGTCACAAATCTAACAGATGACGGTCGCTTGTGACTACCTTTATCTCTCAGTAGCCACGGAGGTGAGAGAAATGACCATCGCTTGCCACTGACGCCCTCCCATAAATGAAAGGCCACGCGAGAACCGGTGATCAGGCCTCTTGCGCCTTGAGATGTCATGAAAACCTTCGCTCGCCATAGAAATACTCTAGCAAATGGACGAAGCGCCCAAGAAAACCCTAGCACGTCCGCGATCAGTTCCTGGCTTCTATTTCGAGTAAGAAAACTGCAAGGGGATCTTACAGCCGGGGGTTTCAACATTGTTACGCGCCCACTTAAAAAGGCCGGTAAAGATTGCGAGGCCTATCGAGCGATGGTCCCACGCCCGACAACTCATGTAATCGAGGTGTTCGTTCGGCCATTTGTACCTCACTTACTATCAGCAGGAAGTACACAGCGTGCTTGTGAACGTTTTTATGGGAAGTACCAAGCACCGTAAGCAAAGTCAGGCTCGTCAGCGAATGACGACCCGTCCTTGTGATGGAGAGAACCAGCGCCCCCTGGAAACAAAGTCAGCCCCTCAGAAACGGCCTCATCCAACAGGAGAAGACTGGCAGTTGCGTACCGATGATAACAAAAGAGCCTTGGTGAGAGGATCTCAGCAGAGCAGACTTGATTCTTGCGTGTGTTTCCACACACTCATAGTAGACGGTCTGCAGGTTCGACAATGACGGTCCATATGCACATACGACAGCATCGTAGCCTTGAGAAAGGGTTGCAGATAGGCCTTTGATGCTGTTGAAGTCGACCGCTTCTGCTCGGTAGTCACCTTCTGTCTGCCATTTAAGGGGCGGGTTACGGGAAAGGCCAACTACTGAGTGCCCGCGAGAGAGGAGCTCGTCGACTACGCAGGAGCCGCATTGGCCTTTGGGCCCAAGAACAGCAACGCGGAGCTTTTTGGGAGGGCCTTGAGAAGGTGGCATGATTCAAGTCTGGGAAGCTTGAAAGGTGAGGTTCAGATGATTTGTGTGGGGGTGAGAAAACGGAGAGTTAGACTCATTTACGTGGGCTCTGGGTTGCTCGGTCAAATTACACGAACATTTATACTTAATCATCACCGTGTAATAATCATGTTTCGGCTTCTAAAATGTGAGTAGCCGATTCGAATCATGACGTCTTCGCGCTTGAAAGTCGGACATCGGGTTGAAGATGTTTGTCCGATTTGTCCGAAGTGAGTTGTCGGCCTCCAGCTACTCGTTTCAGTATCTTTCTACCGAAGGCCGGGATCAGTTGCCGGACCTGAGACAGACAAAACCCTCTACCTCTACCCATCACACTTATTCCAGCATATGGAATGGAAAACACATGCACTAGCTCATAGTTAAGTAACCAGAGTTGGTATAGATATTACGCACTGCTGGACGCAGAACGTCCAATTGAGCACCTCATGTTACGGTTAGTTGCCGGTATGCAACTTGGTTATGCTCGCAATAGAAAGGCAAAGGGACAGACTGAATCACACGCGAATACTCAGCAGACGACAACGACGACGACGACGACGATGAGTGATCAACTTGTTTAGGGGTGGGTGTGGTTTGATGATCTAGGATTGAAGGTTTTCATCAAAACGATGTGAAGAAACAAGAACTACTGATTCACAGCCCGACGGCAAGACATCTCGGTCTTCATCCAGAAAACAACATAACAAGACTGGGCAACGGGTCAAGCGCGATCCCCAATATGCCGACCGCCGTCCTTTGCTTCCGGCCCCGCACTCCGTAACTTCAGCCGTTGTCTGAGCTTGGTCTCGGCACACTGGCGCTACCTACTTCGGAATTGTCGATCTTATAAAGAAGGAAAAGGCTTGTGGCACACCTCCACACTTGGATAGTGAGCGTAGAGCTCCTCGGCTGGTCCGAAAACGCCGGGAGTTTGGCCGCCAAGTCCGCACCATCTCCGGAGCAAGTCCGCCTCAAACCCTGTTCCGTGGCCCGGGCTCAACTACCATCTCCGCCGACCACAATGCTTGTCCACTTTCGTAGCCCGTTTCTTCAATTTTCATCTCCCGAACATACCAGCTCACAATGGGTAGACGTTCCAAACAGAAGTCCTGCTTCCAGTGCGTCGAGTCTAAGAGACGATGCGACCGCTCCCTTCCTTTCTGCTCCCGGTGCATCGATAGGGAGGTCGAATGCACTTACGTGCCGGCTAGACGAACTCCTCGTCTCCCAGCACTTGCCGGTCCTTCGGAAGTGATCCCAGGACTCGGCAGTCTTTGGGATCCACTGGGTGCTCAGCATGTCGTCAATGATATCGTGCTATCTGAGCAGGATATGGAGGGGTTGAGGGAGAGCCTTTTTAACCCGGATACCTTGAGCAACATCCGCGCCCCTATTCATAGAGCAGAGGAGGTTACAACGTCTTCTACATCACCTTTCTCCTCAAATCCACATGCCGCAAGCGTAGAAAGCGATTTACGGGTTCGGCAGTTGATACCCAGCATAGAACGGCTCTGCTGGTTCCTGCTCACCACATCCTGGAACATCGAGTACCAGAATAATCCGCCATCGGCGATCCCTCCAGCCGCGGTCTTTACCAACTTCGTCCGCGGTCTCCAGTCTTGGCTTACCTGCTACCTCCGTAAGGGCCACAACCCCTTCATCCATAGACACCTATACTCGGACGAAAACATTCCTCGCTGCATGCAAGACGCATACGCCGCCATCGCCGTCTCACAGACTATCACACCGGATAACGAGCATGTCGTTGACACAGCATCCTCGACCTACGTCCTGGACTTACTCGCGAGTCACTCCGCATCAGGCCAGTCCTTCCCTCTATTCAGCACGAGAGACCACCTCGCCCGCACCCAAGCTCTCCTGATCCACCTCCTTCTATCCCTATTCTCCCCGTCTATCCCCCGCCGAGCCAAGGCCGAGAGTCTGATCGACACGCTCCGCCTTTGGGCCCGTCAGCTATGGGAATCTGCTGCTCTGGACGCCACTTCTTCCGCCTTCCACCCCAATACTCTATCAATAGCAGAGCCCAATAATGAGGATGCCGAGGAGGCTGTTGCAAGCTTGTACCGTGCGTTTGTTCTCTCGGAGTCCGTAAGGCGCACGTTTCTCCTGACCAGTATTGCCACTGGCGTGTATAGTAGTCTTCAACAGACATGGAAACATGCCTGTCACGGTGATGTATGCATCACGGCCAGGGCAGAGCTGTGGGATGCTAACTCGTCGGCGCGGTGGGCGGCTGTGGCTAGGAAGGAAGATCCGTTGTTTTTGCAAAGTCTCAATGGGTATTCCTTGGTTGAACGCGGAGTACCTGCAGCGAGCGTTGACGAGTTTGCAAGGCTGTTATTCACGGTCATGTGGGGACTGGAGAAGGTTGAAAGTTGGGTGATTAGTACTGGAGACTCAGTATCTGTAATGTACTGATGCTACAATTCGATCATTACTCTGACCATCTCACTCAAGTCGAGGTGCTTGTGCCACACTGGTCGAGTCTCTAACAGCAGCATAACGAACTTGGACATTCTACAATATAAGGAGTATCATCTTAACGTCTTATGTTACCATGGCTGCAAGCTCGGAAGACCTTCCTTCAGCAGCTGCCTGTTCACCTCAGCCGTCGTATGTTGCCACAGACCCTGAACCTGAGCACTGTCTGAAGCCGCGGGACTGACCTTCCCTATTTTTCCCACCGGAACCAAAAACTTCCCCTTAAACCTCGCGGGATCCTTCCTCACATCCTTGGAAGCAGCAGCAAAAGCCGGACTAGCAGCACCCTGTTCCGGTGTCAAGAACGACAACTTAGCAATCGTCCTCACCATCATGTTGTTGATCGAGAACAAGCCTTCCGTAGCCACTTCTCCAGGGTGCACGGCGAGTGAAATGATGGAAGATCCCTGCCCGTCAAGCTGTCGCTGCAGTTCCTGCGCGAAAACGAAGTTGGCGGCCTTGGAGACCGAGTAGCGGACCATATCAAAGCCGAAAAACCTGCCAAAAAGATGAGACTTCCAAGGGTGCGATGGCACGGGGTTGCTGAGGCAGTCGGGAGAGTCGAAGGGGAACTTGAAATCGCTGGGAAGCATGGCGACCTGGGCTGTTGAGCTGATGGTGAGGATCCTGACGTCCGAGTCTTTCTCTGCAGCTGCGCTTTTGAGGAGGGAAAGGAGACGGTTTGTGAGCAGGAAGGGTCCGACCAGACTGACATGTCAGCAAATGAGGCAATGGTCATTCTCTAAGAAACGAGACATACTTGACAGCCATATGAATTTCCCATCCGCCGGCGACTGGTTCAGTAGACCAGGTGTTGGCTGCAGCGTTGTTGACTGGAGATCTGTCAGTCATGGAGACATTGCATTAAAGTTGATGCAGAAGTTGTACGTACTGAGGATGTCAACTTTTCTTTCTCGCCTCTTCAAGTCGTCGACCGCAGTTGTGATGCTGCTCAGTTCGGAAAGATCCATCTTCATCCACTGGATGTTCGAAGGATCAATGCCGAAGTCTGACTCCAACAGGCGCTTTTGCGTTTCTACTCCCTTCGCCTCTGATCGCACGGTGAAGTGTACTTTTGCGCCGTGGGATGCGAGGAGCTTGATTGTTTCACGGCCAATATCGCTGCTGTAAGTTGAATCGTAGTTAGAGTGGCCCGGGAACACCCTTATGGTTCAACAAGAGCGGGAAGAATTCTCAATGACTTACTTGCCGCCTGTAACAACTGCAACCTTGCCTGTGAGGTCGGGCATGTCCCTTCGCGGATTCCATTGGTCGGTCATGCTGAAGTTGTGTACTCTATTGCGTGTTCTGGAGCTAAAGCCGAACCATGTGACTATGATGCGGGCTCGGGGCAGTCCAACTTTTGTTACTACAGTGGTGTATCTGAAGGCGTGACTGCAGTGTTTGATAACCATCATGTAAGGATTCCATTTTGGTGGCAGCAGTCTGGCCGTATATTTAAAGACGCGCACGAAGGTCTAAGAGGCTATCAGAAAATGCTTAATCAAATGGAATTAGTAAAAGTCAATCGATATTGTACAACCGGCCTCCAGTCGTCCCTAAAAGATACCGGCGTTCTCCCACGCGGAGTTCGGGCGGAGGACCGGCGGTGATGTGCGGAGCAAAGTGGGGCTCAGTTCGGCCGTCCCGGCCTGCTCGGTCCTGATACTCCTGTCTAATCTCCATGCACGGAAAAATGCTTGTTAGCAAGGGAAGTGATTTGATATGACGTTGCTGATCTTGGTGTAGACGGCGGTTCTGCCGGCCCATGTCGAATAGGGGTCCAGAACTTCATATCAAATACCATGAAAGGGGCGCCTAGACCCATCCATGCCATCATCTATTAGAACAAACTAAACTGAAATGAACCATCTGTTTTAATCGTAGAAGTGAAGTCATTGAGTCGTCGACTAGTTTGGCTAAATCTGAGATTGTCTTTCAAGTGAACGGGTAAGTTGCCGAAAAGCCTAGCTTGCCACTGGCCTCTCTCGGATACCTTTTGAGTTAGATCAGCCACAATGACGGAGTTGCTCGCACCTTAATCACAGCGCGTAATAAGGTTGCTACGCAGGAGGGCGGTGGTGGATGCCAACGTCTTCTTGATCTCCGCCTGTTCCATGCCTTTTGGGACCTGGTGCGGACTTCACAACTATATTGAAAGCATTTTGGCGAAGCGATTCCTTGTTAGTCAATTTATCAAGCTAAGAATAAAAGTTGTAGCATTCCCGTTCCACACAAAGACCTTGGAGTGAGCGTTCCACTGACCATTATCTCATCAACTCAAAATCCAAACACACCTTTCTGTCGACACCTTTACATCCCCCAAACCCTACAGCCATGACTACCCAGACCAACATAGAGCAACCTTGGTCCCTGGCCGGCAAGGCTGCCATCGTCACGGGCGCCTCCCGAGGTATCGGAAAAGCCATCGCCATCCACTTGGCCCGCAAGGGTCTCACCAACATAGCCATCACATACGCCAATAATCAGGCAGCCGCCGAAGATACGCTGGAAAAGGTTCGGGCTCTCGGTGTGAAGAACGCGATTGCCCTGAAAGCAGATGCTGCTGAACCTGAAGCCTGGCCCACGGTCGTCAAAGACTCCTTGGCCGGCCTTGGTGTTTCGACCATCGACATCCTCATCAACAATGCCGTGTGGGGATCGATCAAGGAATACCTCCCAGTCGCGCAAACCACGCCAGAAGACTTCATCAAATGTATGGTTGGCAACGTCTACTCACCAGTCGCAACCATTGTCGCCTTCCTGGAGCACGCAGCGCCGAAGCAGGGCGGGCGCGTCATCAACATTTCGAGCGTGTCCGGAAGAATCGCCAACGCCGAGCCGACGATGAGCTACGGCGCCAGCAAAGCTGCGCTTGATAGCTACACACGCTCGTTCGCGGGTCACTACGCCCTGGAACGCGGTGTCACTTTCAATAGTGTTCTCGTGGGACCGACGGATACCGATGCACTGAGGGGTACTCTGGAGGCTGTGGGTGGTGACTTTGAGAAGCACCTGGTTTCCGAGGTGACTGCCGCCCCTCGTCTTGGTCAAGTCGAGGATATTGCGTACATTGTTGGATTTCTTGCCAGTGAAGAGGGACGATGGGTCAACGGGGCGGCTGTAAGTGCCAACGGCGGGTTCAAGTCTACCATCGCCGCTCTGGGTTGAGTAGTTACCGGAAGTAGGCTTGAATATTCAAACACCTTTCATGTAATCACGATTTTAAGCTTCGTGTCTTAGAAGGAGCCGACAATAGCGATAACCTTGAGACTACGATCACGTTAAACTTTTCTTGATGTGCTTCGCTGGAGCAAAGCGGTGTCTAGGACTTTACCCAGAAAGTATCTAGAGTCTATCTCCGTAAGGCTTGAACATTGCTACAAGTTCCTCTCCAGTCTCTGATCCGATGAAATGTATTCCTCCTCGCAACATCAACCGCACCCATTCCTCGCACCCATTCCTCTTCGCTGATAACCGAACCCAGTCACCATGTGCACTATTCACATTTGGATCTGCAGAAGATGCGGCTTCCCCTCCCGGCGCGTTATCGATCCGTGTCGGGAAGTCAAGAAGATAGACCCAAGCCAGAAACAGATCATACACATCGGCCGCAACCTCCCGCCGTTTAACCCTGAGCCCGGATGCGAGAAGCTCAAAGCCGGACTCAGAGAGTGGGATGACGGCCCTTGCCAGGAGTGCATAAGAGGAGCACCCCCTCCTCCCAGAAGCGTCTGGGCGCGTCCCGACTATCTCGTTCACGGCCCTGCATGGATACAAAGACGACCGCGTCCGACACCGTTTACGCCACGCCACCCACAAGGCGCGTATCCCAGAGGCTGCCGTTGAACCAAGTCGCAAACCATGGCTTGGAGGCCGCATATCATACGGCACGGCCATCGCCACAAGCTTTGCAAGAGATAGGCATGTTGGCTGCCCAACTTGATCGACTTCGCGAACAATCACATCGAAAACAACAATCATATCGAAAACGACAAGATCAACTTATCGCGGGAGCCACCTAAACATCTTCGAGGCCAAAAGACTACGAATACCGATCTAGCAACCACTCTGGCTCTGCTTTCAGTGGCGCAGAAGAAATTGCTGGTGATATCAAGGCATAAGAAATCTCAACTTTGCCATGTACGGCCATACATTCGTCTCTTAGGGCTGCAAAGGTCGTAAGGGGATAGCTGCCTTGGTTCTGATGGTTGGAGAGCAAGTATGATGGCAAGGACGTAATTATTGCATTGTTAACATGTACATTATCTTATTCGATTTGAAGAAGACACTTTGGACTACGGCTTGCGGTGGCACACAGTATGTAGTTCGCAATTGCGTTATACAGATCGGGAATGAGAATGGGTGAAGCTCCGCTTACCTTACCATGAATGGCTTCAAGGAACCTCTGTAGAGCAGCTAGTCGGAGTTACCGTTGACATCTAAAACCTTATATCCTGATAGACGAGCTACCTTCTGGTACGTTTACATGTGGGAATTTGTAGCAAAGTCTACCCTTCCACGGAATGATTTCGCGTACGACTTCTTCCTCGTTGTGTGCACCGGCTATAACATTGACAGCGGCAGCAATAGGAACAAAATAAGACGCCAGAAGCAGACAGAAGACAGCGACCGTTGCTAGAAAGGCGAAGACGGCAAGGGAGACGCCGACGAACGGAATAAGGGGGGAAAGCAAAAAGAACGACGAAGGCCGAGTACCTCCCGCAAACACCCAATTTCGCCGCCGTCCTCCTTGGAGAGAGCGCCGCGACCAATACAGTGCAGCCCCAAACTCAAACTTTTCACATATGCTTCGTCACTAACGACCCTCAGATATCATCCAGAGCTCAACATCGAAATCCACGCTGTCGTCGGAGGAGCAAAGAGGATGTGCATATTCAAGCAGTACGTGTGCGTCTTCTGCGGCCGACTGGCTTGCGTCGAAATCGACCGCTGCAGAGAGGTCGTTCGATGGCACCGAATTCCCAACCGAACGGTCAGGATTGACATCGAGGACGTAGAGGAGCAGTTCTTGTGGCCTCCTCCGTTGGAGGGCTGCGAAGGGCTTATCTTCGAGAGGTCCACAGTCAGCGTCATCTGCCGTGAACACCCTCGAGGAAGCCTCATGTATGAGATGTTTGGCCACTATCGTCGTTTAACAAGGATGCTTCGGATGACTCGTCGGCGTCGGAGGCGTTGATCCATTTGGGCTCGGCTCTGTACCGGAACCTCTTCAGCGGCGGTGCCTTCGGCTCCGTTTCAGACGATCAGAGCTGAGAGCAGCAGATTTGGGCCGGCGAAGTCATTCTATGGGTGCAAATGGGTTCTTGAGGCACGAGATACGTTTGTAAGTATGCTCGAAAGCTATGCCGTTTTCTATGTACGGTTTAAGCATAGGTTTATGCTAATATATGTGCAAGAAGATAAATTTTCCTGAGTGGAGAAACAAGAAAGCTAAGTGACGGACGTTCCGAAGACCGTGGCGTGCTTTTAGGCAAGGAGTTCGACAACGTCAAACGAGACGCCAGGACTGAGGAACTTGGCTCCAGAACTGCCAGAAATACTGTCTCGGGAGTTAGAAATCTTCACACGCGCAGGGGGACAGGGGCACAAACATATTGAGAGTAAGGATCTGCCACTCGCTAGTGCTCTGGATCCAAGCGGTTTGGGGAACGGCGTAGGTGAGCTTCACGTTGTTTCCCCTGTATGTGCCGACTTAAGTCCCAGTTAGCGTCCAAGTCACTCGATCATCCAGGACGTTTCTATGCTTACCAGTGAGTGAGCGCGTGCTGGCCTGAGTGGTCGCAGCCGGTAGCGCAGAGGCCCACGCGTTGACGTTGATGGACGGGCGACCACCAATGTAAGCTTCGGTAAGACCGATGCGGACAGTGTGGCCAGTCTTGAGTTGCTCGGCGGTAAGCTTGAAGTAGATGAGATAGCCGCTGTTGACCTCTTTCCACATGTAACCCGGGAAGCGGTTGTTGCTGTGAGTGCCGATGATGAAGTTGCCGGCGTTCCAGGTAGAAATTCGGGTGTCTGAGGGATGCATGTAGGTGGGCTTCAGAGGGGTGTCCTCGAAGTTAAGAAAGCCCTTGGGAGTTCCTATCGTAGATGTTCAGATCTTATCTTCAACGCTTCCAGGACCCTCTACTCACCGTCCCACTCGCCAATGCGCCAGATGGTAGCATCATCTTGCGGGTCGACGCAGGTAATCGTGTTCACGGCAGTGCCCTTGCCGGCGGCGATCGTGACGCTGGATGTGGCGACCTCGAGCTCGTCCTTGTACACGGTCAGGGTGTAGGTGCCGGGGATGACCTTGGTGATGGACCAGGCGCCGCCAGCACCAGCAGTGCCCCAGTACTGAGCGTTGGAGTTGCTGAGGCCGACGACGTAAGTCTTGCCGCTCTTCATATTGCTCAGACCAACACCGCTAGCGTATCCGCGACCGGAGGCGGGGACCCAGCCGTCGATCTACGGAAGTTATGAGAACTTGAACTCTTTCTCTCTATGTGCAGGTATTTTCGGGGATTTACTCACGCCCTTGTCATCGAACCACGACCAGTCGGCCTTGCGGGCGAAGAGGTTGGAATTGGGGTCCTCGCCATTAGTGAAGGACAGCACGGAAGGACCCTGGAGACCGGTGCGCATAGGGTCGGTGTGGCCCATGTTGTAGTAGTAGATGTCGTACAAGTCCTCCCCGGTGGGATCGGCGCGACGCAGAAGGGAGCGGAAGAAGGGACCACCGGAAGCCTTTTCGTGGTTGCTCTTGAATGTCGTGTAAGTCCAGTTTCGCCAACACAAACAACTGCTCGATGACTTACTCGGATCATGTACAGACCGACGCCACTCTTCTTGCGGCCGACATAATCGTCTGCTATAGATCAGTATTACTTGAAAAAAACGATTTTCTGATGGGGATTCTCACAGTCGATGGTTCGTCCGTAGTTAGAGCCCTGGTAGTGCTTGCTCTTGGTCAGACCAGCGCCGTTGACGTTGACTATGGATGTTAGCGAAGCCAGATATGGTACAGATTGTGTTCACGAACTATCCTGTGCCTCAATGATGCTGCTGCCGCCATCGTAGAAGTCGCTCTCGGTCGAATCGTGGCTGAAGATCCCACCCTGCGCCCCTGAGTTAGAACGATTTCACACGGGCTCAACAGCGTTCCGTCTAACCTTGATTCGGACAATGTACCGCATGGCCGAGACGGAGTCATCCGCCTTGTTGGTGAAAAGGTATACGTTGTTGTTGCCATACCGCACAAAGATCCAGTGCTTGAGAGTGCCGTGGACGACAGAGACCTTGATGACGTTCGAATAGCTCGCGATGCTGACCGTGCTGGTGCCCAGACCGGACTCGACGTGTGAGTTCTTGCCGCCCCAGCCGTTGTACTCGACGCCCTTGTAGTTGAGCGAGGAAATGTCACCGCAGCACTTGGTGACCTTGATGACGAGGTCGGAGCCGGAGTCGATGACATACTCGCTGCCGTTGTCCGTCCAGCCGAAAGCCGCGAGGACGACCGACGGCAGGAGGAAGAACGAGAAGAAGAGCGAGAGCAGCAACATCGTGGTTCCTATCGTTTCGTCGTCTCCCAGGGAACAGAAGTGAAAGAAGATCCACTGAGGTGGTGCAATCTTGCTGAAAGAGTAACAGATAAAGACGAAAGGAACGACGAAAAAGCAGATCCCATCACCTCAAAGGGATGGTAGCGCAGCGGTATTCCAATATATCAGCATTTCCTACCGAGTCCCTGTCCGCCCACATGTCCGCTCCGCCCTGTCCTCCTCCAAGCTCGAAGACAATGCCGTCCCGGCCGAGAGCACCCTCCTTAAGCTTCTTCATTTGATGCAACGCCTGCTGCGAATGGTGGAATAGATTGGGTGTCGCAGTGTAAACGGATATGGTGTGGTGCGTGCTGAAGCTGCCCTTGTCAGCCATGGTGTTGTCGGAGTTGCTCGCCCTACCAGGCTTCTGGCCCGCGGTCCTGTGGTCCACTTTCATATCCGGCATACACCCATGACCCCGGTTTCCAGGTCTGATAAGCGCCTCTTACACCAGCCCTTTTCGCATGCTCTAGGGATCTTCTGGTTGTTCGAATAGGAATCGTGGAACAACAATGGCCGATTCGTGCGGGTGAGGGGTGCCAGCGGGTTGGTGGAATTGGAGGGAGCCTTGCCCAACCGTCCAGCACAAGTCAGTTGATCGAGGAGTCGGGGCGCCCTTGTACTTGACTCGTTTGAGGTAGCATTGGACATATTGTTTATTAGAACGACTTCGCGGCCGTCCTACAATCTTCTTTGAGTTCGTCCCTGCTGCGATCGAGGTCTCGGCTTGACTACCGACGAGCCCTTGGCTCAACGTCGCATCCGCCCGATGGTCAAAACTGCTTGTGGTGCCGTTAGAACGTCTGGTCGGTAAGCGGCCTTTGGCATCACTGTGCCGGCCGTTGTAAGTGACCAGATCTCGGCTTTCACGTGCTGTGATAAAATAATTACCTTGTGTAAGGATGAAATACTCCGTCCCCCTACCGGCAGAACACCCACATGTTCCAGGGCGCCCCAGCGCGGAGAACGCGGCTCCACTTGTACCCTCGCGAGTTCCAAAGGGCTGGGCCACGATGCGCGGCACTGGGTCCTTATTCGGTGGCTTCGGCAATTCGAGTCGCTAGCTGCGGCATGCCTCGAAGGGCGAGCAGAAAAATCAGTGGGCTTCATCAAAAGGCAAGGCCCACTGTCGATTCCCATTCCGTAACTGAATTTGAGTAGAAACTCTTGGTCGATTTCTTTGGGAAGAGGCTCATATTACAGGGCGCCTCCCAAGCCAGCTGATCCACTGAAGAGACTCTTCTGGTTAAACCGTGAGGCCTGCTTCAAGATCTGCTTCGATGTCCCGAGTCAGCTCCAAATAGATTGTTGTCAGACGGCGCAATTGACACGGGAATCCGCGAGGTCGACCAAACATCGAACATTGATAATCATGGTCCATGTGATGTCAGGGGGGTTTTCGTCCGATCTCTCGGAGCCACTTCCGCCGCCCCACGCGCCGACGATCTCACGGACCTGGGCCGGACATCGTTGTCGATATATCCAACCACCTATTCCAATCACTGTTCACTAACAACCAGCCGCAAGAGATCCGAACAGCTTGTTCGTTGGTTTCCGGGTAAACGTGATCGACGCCCAGTGTTCGAGCCAAGACCTGCCATCGACGGGACAATGTAACGGTCTAGTCCTCTGTCGGGGAGCCGCAGCCTTGGCGTCTGCGCGATGACAGGACGTCACATAAGACAATGCGATGCAAGACACTTTTTTGGCCCGATTGTCCAACCCCAGCTGGTAAAAGGTCATCGGCGCCAGAGTCGAGGTACATATGTACTCAATCAAGTGTCATGAATTCGTGAAAATTTGTACATAGTACACAGAAGATATAACTCGTCTCTATCCATCAATCGGACACCTGTACTCCCTCGCATGGCTCTCGATCCTGCGCGTCTGTCCCTCGACGTCCAGTCTTGCCTGATAAGCATCCAGACAGCTCTGGTGGTAAATGTGTCTGCAAGCCAGCACGACCAGCGGGCCGAGCGGCTGTTCTCCGGGTCTTCCCACGGCATCCCGCTGGCCGTCCGCGTCACCTTCTGCACCCGCGCCCCCTCCTCCTGCTTCTCCACCAACCGGGCCCGGCACACCGGCCGCCGCTTTGCCCTTGCCCTTGGAATCGTACACGGCTTGGGACGCCTCGGAGTCCGGAGACGCCTTGCCCTTGCCGCGTTTATCCGTCGAGGCGATCTGCGCCTTCTTCTCTGTTCTAAGCTGCTCATCGCGCGCCTGCTTTTCTTCCCACGCCTCAAAGACGTTGCCGGAGACGCCGGGGCCCCAGATGCGGCGGCCACAGGCTTCGCATGTGGAACCCCTGGGACGCCAACCGCGTTGTCGGAGGTCGACCGCTTGCTTGACGTTGACGAACAAGCTGCGCTCGAGGAGACGGTTCGAAAGTCGCAAGATGGACTCTTCGTAGGCGTATGCCGAGAATATCGACGCCAACACCGAGCGCAGGTCTGCTAGGTTGGGCGAAGATGCTGCTGCTCGCGTTAGGAAGGCGCGGAGGATGCGGAGGAAGGATAGGTTGTTCCCCGCATTGCTCAGAAGCCTGTTGCTGGCCTGGGCTCCGGTGGGACTTGAGGTTGTCGTCAGAAGAGCTGTGAAGGTATGCTGCACCAGCGACCGCAAAAGCGTCAAGAGCTTCTCTTTGTCCAAAATGTCCGGGATCTCGTGATGAGCCTCGTCTGCAGCGATACCGTTTGGCATGCTGCTGGACGACTCAATCGTCGAGGAAATTGATCTCGTCGTCTGTACCGCGGCTTCAATCAGACTAAGCCAAAGCTCCTCATCTGGTGACAGGACCTCCGTCGTTGACTTTGACTTCTTGGACTGAACACCGTTCGCCTTCCTGGATGACTTCGTTTGACCCTGGCAAAGCCAGATGCCCACATGAACGTACTTCTGAAGCGCCCGTAGAGTTTCTTCGGCGCCCGACTGCATGTCGATCGACGTATTCTTCTGAGCGCTGGTCAGGATGGCTTGTAATGCCGACTCCAAGGTACCAAGATGCTTCACGAGCCTGTCCATTGCATCCTTGACTTGACCTTCTCGTGCCATCAGAACAACGGCTGCATCAATCACACCGGTCTCCTCCATAGCAGGAAGCAAGACATCAAGTCTGAGGTTGACAGACTGGACCAACCCGATGTAGTCTGAGACGTGAGACGGATCGTACTTGCACATGAGCCGGACGTAGCGTTCGATGAGGGCGCGGTCTGGGTTCGCGGGAGCATCTCCGTCTCGCTTCTCCGGCTCGAGCAGCGTGCGCAAGTAGAAAAACTGTAGCTCCGGTGCGTCTTCGGCAGAATCGAGAACGTGTTGAAGGATGTCCACAGATTGCGCTGCCAAGACTCTCGCCGCTTCGGGAGGGTTGGTCCCGAGAAGTTCCCTGGCGTTACTCTTGATTGCTTCGAGGACCTCTTGCACCTGTCGGCGATTCAGGCCACTATGTGGCCGAAGACAGTCCCCGATGCATTCAAAGACGGCATCCCGGTCAGCGGGGTCTTCGAAGTAAGTCTGGACCAGCTTGCCATACTGTTTGTCAACCTTGTATTGCCTCTTCAATATCCGATAGAAGCCTGCTTTCTTGAACATCGGGATCAGCTCGCTTGTATCGGGCGGTTGGTATATCGAAAGCAAGTACTCGGCACTGAGTTGTGCGTCTTCGGCTAGGTCAGCTCCCGGGTAGTTGCAGAGCCCGGTCAACACCTTCGTGAGAGTCGAGCCGGGGAAAAGCAAGTACTGAGGGAACTTGGGCAAGTTGCGAGCGATGAACATGTCGAGATAGATGGTGTCCTCTGCCGCGAAGTCCGCCGGATTCATGATCTCCAGTAGGATGGAGACAATGTACTGACGATCGACCGTGAGCCCAAATATTTGCTCTTCAGGGACGTCGCCTCTAATGCCGCCGTTAACTTGTTTCTCGGGAGAATCGTTCAAAAACGAGTCTTCGAAGGCCTCATTGACGGCACTCAGAAAACTTGGAGCATCGAACTTCAGAATCAACCTGAGATACGGGAATGATGGCTCGGTGTGCTGATCCGGCCGTGTGAGAAACCGCCGACTGCTGCCCTTGGGCCACGTAACGCTGTTTCCTGAAAACAGAAACCAGTAAATCTCAGCTTTAGCTTTTGAGGCAACTGCATCATCCATGGTCTCGCCTGTTGGGTACACTCTGCCAGTCAAAGTATACGAGAGATAGGGAAACATCTTCAAGGCGTTCACACCATATATCTCGTCATCCATATTCCCGGAGGACATGTAGTCGCCGTTGCTCATGAGAGGTACCAGAAGGGTTAGTAGGTCGATCAATGGTGTGATGTAGTCGTTTAATGCCTGGTTCCAGACATATATCAGGGCGTCGTAGAGGCTGTGCTGCTTACACAGTAGTGTGATCTGATCCAGGTCTAACGTCATGGTGTCCATGTGAACAATCATTTCCTCGAGTCGGCTTTCCCAGCCCTTTGTGACGTAGTGCGTGACAGTCGATTTGACCACAGTCGGCGGTACGGTCGTAATGCTCTTCTCGAGGATGTAAGGCTCCATGGTCTCGAGGAAGATGCCTTCCACGCTGGCCTCCTCGTACCACTCGTACATTTCGTCGAAGAGAAAGTCTTTGTCGCCAACACTGTTGCAAGCCGCAAAACATGTCTCAGTCAACTCGCGGAGATGAGCGTCATCCTCAGATCTGTGAGTGAAGGCATATTTTAGAGATGCTCTCATAATCTCCATCAGCTTGTCGCGCACCATCGAATGGCGCAGCTCGGTGTCTTCAGGTAGGCCGATTGTGAGCTTGTCAGCGTCGCCCGTGTAGTATGATGTCCCAAGCTGGATGGCACCGACGTAGTCCCCGTTCTCCATAAGAGCGATGATGCGGTCGGCCCAGTTCGACAAAGAGCCAATGGACACATCGTTGAAGCCGAGCAGGAAAATTTTGCCCTTGTACGTCTTGAAGCTCATGTAAAAGGCGTCAGCTACGACACCGTGCATAGACGTATCGTCCTCGTCCAGTTGCTCCACCAGGTTGTGTAGCTGCTTCGAAAACAGGTCGGAATGATAGATGAACTTATTGATGAGATCGAAGCCCTCAGTCATACGCATGCTCCGGTCCTCAACCACAATCAAGCGCTGTGTTATAGTCAAGACGGTGAGAACGGAACGACTAAGCCATTGGACTGCGACAATGGCCTCTTCGCACTTCCACCTACTGCGTGCCTTGAACTTGAGTGTCGGCGGCTTGTCCTTGTTTTCTGCCGGTACTTCGTCGACGTCCAGAACTGTTAGAACGTTGGACCAGCAGTACACCAATTTGACTTTGGAAATGTCGCTGCCTGTAACGGGATCTGGAACCTTAAGCTTCACCGCGGGGAACCACGCCAAGCATCCGGTCATCGCGCTATGATGGGCGACGTCTTTGGGTCTCGCTGATTTGTGCTGCGTTTGAGCAACTGGCGTTGTAGATACAATCACCAACAAATAGGGCGTCAGCATAGCCGTCAGGCCCATCGTGTCTGTGGCACGCTCTGTGTTACCAAGAGGCAAGGGACTGAAAGCCAGCACAGTGCTAGGCTTGAGCGGCTTGCCAGTGGGAGGCGCTGCGTTCGGGTATCGTCCAAGAATCCTTGTTGTCTTGACGGTGCGGCCTAGAGAGCCGGTTCCTCTCGTTGCAAGATGGGAGAAGGCCATACCGCGGTCATCCGCCGACACGAGTGCAGTGTGCCTGGTTCCAAGAAATCCGAGGTGAGTGACCGCGACGCCGGGAAGATGCCCATCCGCAGTTCGATTCTGCAGTTGTGACTGATCCAGATGCGGTATGGACAGGAACGGCCTAGACGCGCGGTGGGCTTCCCAAGTGAATATGCTTCCGTCCGCGTGTCCTCCTGCGATGGTGGTATGATCTGCCGACACAGCGATCGCCGTGATGGCGCCCGACTCCACGGCCTTGGTACCTGGCCCAATGATGGTCTTCAGGATCTGATTGTAATCAAACATTAATATTATTCCCTTGCTGGTCCCCAGCACAATCGAGGCGGAGACGGCGATGCAAGTCGGGGTGCCGAAGTTGCGTTTCCCGGCCTCGGAGAAGGCTTGGCCATTGAGTTTCTTCAATCTCGTCCATCGGACAACCTCCCAGGGTGGTGATGGAGTATCGGTATCGTCGCGATCGAGTAGCCCGGAGCTCAAGGATGCGGATCGGCTGTGGCCGGAGAGGAAGGCGGGTGAGGAGGATCTCGGACTGTTGATGAAGCTGGCGGAGGATATGCGGGACTGAAAGCGGCGGTCGAATGGTCGGAACGAGGGACTGGGACTGCTAAGACCTGGCCGCGAGGCCACGGATGGAAGTACGCTGCTGCTAGGAGAAGAGATCACAGAACCCTTGGGTCGCTGGTTAGCTTAGGCATCACCAAACCGAGAGCTTCACTTGCCTGGACGGACGGCGAATCGTCAGGTACAGACATCAGAGAATCGATCGGACTTCCCACGCGCTTTGGCGCCGCATCCACTGATCCCTCTTCGGAGACATCATCGGCTTGCTCTCGGAGGATCTGGCGGTAGCGATTTGATATAGCGCCGTTCCCGATTGCTGGGGAGGCTTCGTCGGTCGTAGTTTCTTCGTCGTCCAAAAGGCCGACGATGCCGTCTTCCTCCCTCTCGGCCTTCACGGTTTCCTCATCGCTGGAAGCTTGCACGTCCGCGGAGGACCGGTCGTCTGGATCTGCCATTGTGTCTCCAGGTCCATCATCTCTCTCCGTCGGTGGTGGGGTCATCAATGGCGGTTCATCAGGCACATGTCTTCCGGTCGGGCCAGAGAGTTCGTTCTGCGTTCACAAGCTAGCCCAGTGCTCTCGGCTTAGAGGAACAGAGGTAGGGCCTGGCTGGATCAGGAAAGAGTCGGAGAACCTGAAGAAGCTGATGGGAGGATACGGAGAACCTATGCGAAGCGATTCTGTTTTCAAGCTCCTATCGGACGAAGAGAAGCTGGAATGTCAATGGTTGCTCAGTTGCAATCCGTAGGAGCGCATTACGCAGTTGGACGCGCACAGCCCACACACCTAAGTTCCAGGTTCCAGGTTCCAGCCACCCAGAGCTCCAGCGACGGACCGGGGTTTCTCCGGTGGGCTGGGCCGTGATCACCCAGCACCTTGAATGCGCTGCAGGTCGTGCTGCCTGGTTACATCACAGCTTCAGCTCTTAAATGCGACGAGACCCCACACGCGTCGCGAACCAGCACGACAACATCTTCCCGAGATTCGGAGATACAACACTACCACTTGGCCTCCCAGCTACTTCCGGCACTTCAGACCTTGTGCCATGTCTTCAATTGGCCCCCAAATGCCGCCGCACCTCACAAAGAGAAAGCGCACTCCAGACGACGAAGACGCAGATACACCACGCGCAAAGCAAACCCGCAACACCGATGAGATAGACCTGGAGGACGAGTCCGATGACGATGGCTTCGGCCCCAGCGCCCCTACCACAACAACACAAGAAACAAAGCCAACGCAGAAGTCATCCATCGGTCCTACGATGCCTCCGTCAAATACCAACGAAATCAGCCTCGACGACTCCGATTCCGACGATGGCTATGGGCCACCCGCTCCTCGCGCCGCAGAAAAGCCAGCAGCTCCCGTGTCCAAGCCGTCGATAGGCCCTACCATGCCTCCGAAGCAACCGATCGGCCCCTCGCTACCACCAGCAGGCGCCCAAGCAGACGCGAATGACTCCTCAGATTCCGATGACGATGACGACTACGGCCCGGCCCTTCCCTCCTCAGCGGCATCCGCGCAACGAACACAAGCGGCGGCCGTCGCGGCGGCGGCGGCGGCAGCAGCAGCAGGTCCTGCAGCGCCCCAGCGCGATGACTGGATGCTTGCACCACCAACACAGTCGGGTTACCAGGAACGGGACCCGACGAAGCTCAAAAGCCGCAAGTTCGCAAGCGGCAAGTCGTCCTCTGCCGCTGGTGGCGGCGGCGGCGGTGGCATCAGCAGCATCTGGACGGAGACGCCAGAACAGAAGCGCAAGCGTCTCGAAGATGCTGTCCTTGGTCGTGGAGACCCAGCAGCCGGCGCCGAGCAGCAGAAGCCACGCCGTACAAGAGAAGAAGAGGAACGCGACAGACGCATCAGCGAAAACATTGCAGCGTCCCGGGGTAAAAGTATGTATGAAGAGCATCAAAAAGAGAAGAGGAGAAGTGGAAAGGATGAAGAGGAGGAGGATGACCCCAGCAAGCGAGCATTTGATAGAGAGAAGGACATGGCGCTTGGGGGCAAGATCAATACGGCACAGAGGAGGGAAATGCTTAACCGTGCCAAAGATTTTGGTGGCCGGTTTCAGAAGGGATCCTACCTTTGATCTTACAAGATTCCATATACGCCTCTCAGCGTGAACAGTTTCACAATTGGTCAGAATCAAGCATCAAGCAATCGATATTTATCAACATTGTGAATTGTCATTATTCCATATCGGTAAATGCCTATGTCGCCGCAACTCCGCCGCTCTCCTTTAATTCCAGAGAAAGCAAACCGAACCAAACCAGGCCACCTTGTAATGCAACTCCCGCGCTGCATGACGGCAGCCGAATCCTCTGTCCCCCTTTTACTCCTTGGGGTCATTGCTCTTCCTCCAGACACACGTTGTATGTAAAGTCGGGTATGAAAAGCGGCGTCTTGAGCATGTGTAGATGCAGTCAACATCGCACTCTATGCTGAGATCTGCAAACTGGTCTCTTGGGTATGATGTACATAAGTAGCACAGCAGAAAAATCGAAGTCGTTTTGTTGGACGACACTGTTAATGTGTTGGTGGTCACCTGGTCTCCGTCGTGACAGCCGGGGCTGGTGCGGTCTGGGCACCAGCTTCAAGCTGGGACGGGGTGACATTGGCACCAGATGCCGTGGGCGAGTCAGACTGCTGCTGATCGCCACGGCGGAGAGGGTTGCGGAAAGCAGGCATCCTAAGGCTGGAGAGTAGGCCACGAGATTCTTGATTCTCCGCAACGGGTGGTGACTGGGGCGTGCTCGGAGTCGGGTTCGAAGAGGCCTGTTGGCGGGCTCGGCGACGACGATTGGCACGGTCGTTGTTCTGCCGATTACCTCTGTTACGTCCGCCAAAGCCAAGTCGGGAACCGCTCAGGTTGTACCAAGCAGGAGGAGGGGCGTTTGGCATATTGGTACGCGAGGCCGTACGAGCCATGTCGCCGTTGGCATTGCCCTCGCCCTCAGGGGCCGGGCGAGGCTTAGGAGTGTAGTAGTCGGCCTTGCACAGAGGACAGCAGGCACGGCGGCTTGTAAGCCAAGGGTCAACGCAGACAGCGTGGAATGCGTGACCACAGGTGAGACCACGGATATCGTCGTCATCCTCCAATGTGTCGATGCAGATGGCGCAGGTGTCACCGCTAGTAGCCATCAGCTCAGGGGGAAGGGCGGCGTTAATGTGTTCATCGTCATCCTCGTCGTCTTCGCTGTGAACGCGCTGAAGAGGAGTGGCGGCCGTCGGAGACTGTACGGTCGACTCGGGATGGTTGGCGTTCGTAGTCGAGTCGCCTTCCCTCCTGGCTGCGTCCTCGGTTGGCTTTTCGGACGTAGTGGCTTTGTTACCGGTGCTAGTGGCGGGGCGATCCTCGGAATCTCGCTCCTTAGACGGCAGTTCGGGGACAATGCCATCGACGGATCTGAGGCTGTTGGCTCGACTCGGCGGGGCAGAGACGCCGCCAGTCGTAGGTAGACCCTCCCTCGCACGCTCCGAGACCCAGGCTTTGTACTTCATCATGGGGAACTTGTCATTGACTTCGTCCATCGTCATCAGCTTCTTCTCGCGGCGACGGCGATGAGGACGAGGCATGTTCTCAAGGTTGATGGGCTCGCCATCTTCGTTGAGACGCATGGCACGATTGCGAGCGTTGTAGCGGAAGCAGTACTTGACACCGACGATAATCCTGATGGAATGTTAGATTTTCGTTGGCACAAAAGCGACATGAGATGCCAGAACGGGCTCACCAGAGGTTAGTGAAGACGACACCAAAGCCAAGTGCAACGAAGAAGAGCAGAGGGGAGCTCGTGGAGCCGCCGCCTCCTCCTCCACCACCTCCGCCTCCATTGCCGCCGGGGTTGGTTGTCTGGGGATCGGTGGAAGTAGTCGGGCTCGCTGACGCAGTATCGGTCGAGACGACCGAAGCCGAGGATGTAGTCGAGGGAGAGAACGACGTCGAGGGGGCGAAAGAGGTCGCGGGATCTGTGGACGAAGCCTGCCTTACGACGAGACGTGCGACCTCGACGAGAACCTGATTGACGACAGCCATTTTGACGATGGGTTGATCGGATCCGATGGGTGAAGTCGTCGAAGTCGAGAAAATCGAGCACCAGAAGTGGGTGATGTCGCAGAGATAATCACGGTCGGAAGAGAGTCGAGATCATGGATGGATCGATTGAATGTCGCGGGCGGGCAAGAGCCCAGATGTGAAACCCAGAGGCCGAAAACAGCCTCTCTCGACGGAATTGGTCGACCTGATCCTCGATCGCATGCGGCCTGCAATCAACACAGTCGCAGTCAGGAAAGAAAAAAAATCTTTTCTTCCTTGGGAGTCGAAATTCCAATCCACTCAAGCTGTATGCACAGCTGTTCTGATGAGCAGACGGGATTGAAACGAGAGGAAAATCACGACTCGGAGCCGGATGGGGTTGGTTGAAGGTTGGCAAAAGCAGGCTGGGAGAGTGCGGAGTGAGGGAAAGTGCAGGTGGAGCGGGATAAGTATGGAACAGGACTGTGGAACTCTTGCTCTCTGACGGGCAGGAGCAGTCGCAGTAACACAGCCCGGTCGGGTCGACAGTGACTACGTAGGTACGTAGAAAAGTGGAAATGCGAGGCGGCGGGCGGGTAAAGATACACACCACGACTGCACACTGCACCAGTATGGACTGCATATGGAGTGAAGAGGGATAGAGGTCACGGTAGGAAGGAAGGAAGGACCCAGACGCCAGACAGACAACGGAACACCCAGACACACCCACCTACCAAGTACACACACACCCACAGATCACTAGGGACGGGTCTACCGCAGTAGGCTGGGAAGAGCAAGTTAGTACACTGTGGGCGATACAGCCTGTATCCGTATCAGCCATCCGACACTTTCTCATCCTCTAACAGTCTCACACTTTCACTCGGTGGAAGGAGGAAGGAAGGCACGAAAGTAAGGAAAACCGGGGGGCAGATGCAGCCAGGAGGGAAGGAAGACGGGGAAGGAGCGATGGGAACGGACTGCAAGATGGGATTGGACAAGGTTAGCCTGAGGTGCGAGACTGGGTGCTGGCTGTAAGGAGGTGGAGCAGCTGTGGATACCCCTGTCTTCCCCCGCCGCCGAGGGGAAGAACCTCTATGAAGGTACGTACTCTCTGAATGTGCTGGCTGCACTGTGCCACTGCGAGTCTACAATCGGATCCCTCAGACAATTAACATTTCAATTTGCGCACCATCGCACTGCACCTGCACCACCGCCTTGCTTGTTGCTTGCACCTCTGGCAACGCACCCTGCTCAAGCTGAGAAGAAGCCTGAGAGTGTGAGCTGAACACACACGACGGTGTCAGGGACATGAGACCACGTCCTGTCGCTGCAGGTCTGAACGGCCGTTTTCGCCGCAGCCTGCAATGCTTATGGCCTGTGTGGTCTGAATGATTTGACTGAGGGTACTTTGCGACCTTTCTGTCCCGTATGGACGTTACACTTTCCACGCCGAAAGACTTGACTGAAGGTACCGAAAAGATGAGGCACTGGACCTGACTTGTCTTCCACTCACCTACCCAACTAAGTAACCAACAAGGCGACTGACATGGACTCAGATCAACTCGAGAACAGCGCAACAGAGTCCGGGCGCGCAGTCAATCAGGGAGGGACATGGCAGTCGCTTCGATTCCAGTTCACGGAATGGCCGACCTAATCTCATTTGGGCAGGACAACGGCACGCCAGGCACATTGTGAATGGTGGGACGGGCACTCGGCCAGGCCACCATTCTCGTCTCGGTCTAGTGCCATCATTGCTGTACTGCGCTTGGGAAATGGACTGCGTTTCTACAGCCCACTCCCAAGTCTTGGCTGGGGAACCAAGAAAGAGGCGGGGGAACCAGACAAACCAAACCACACAGGGCCCGAGACTTGCTGAGAGCAGGGGTCAAACACTGAGCTGACAGCTGCGATGTGCCTCAGTGGCAGCCACTCCAGCACTCGCAACTACCTTGCGGATACCTCCAGTCTGGATCGATACGGATACTTTACCTGCCTCTGATACGCCATTTGGGTCAGCGGCTGCTTCGGTCTTCTCACCATCCTGCCTCTTGCATGGCCGCTTCTCAACAGTCCTCATGTCTCGACGGCATTCTACTTTTTCAATCGTCTTCGGGCTGACCGTTTCCTCTTTGTCGTCATTCTCCCGCTTTCCAGGCTGATACCGCCAGGACTCAACGAGTTTCTGATACCCCCTATCCTGGACGAAATCACGCCTCAAATCAAGGGGCCCGATGTGATGCCGATTTGATACCGACTCTCAGGCACGGGATCCCAGGTACGGGATACGGCATAATGGCGCCATTGATATAGGCAAAGCAGGTGTCTTATACCTATCTGCCTCCCGTGCCTAAGATTCCAAAAAGAAGGCCGTCGCGCACCAAGCACCCTTCCATGCCGATAGTACGGTGGATAAGATCCGTGCCATCGATTTGACTTCAATACCATGTCGGTGTCCCATACCAGTGGACAATGTCGAACATCCAGTTCGCGGCCAACCAACTCTGTCTTCACAAACAAAGACCTTTGTTCTCCTCATCGCCTCTGCCGTCAGCCCTCGATCCAAAGACGCTAGACACGGAGCCGCTGAGCCGCTGCTCCAACCTCCATCGTCGCCGTCGCAGCCAACCGCCCCGGCGCCCAGTCTGATGCGTTGGTGATCCCCCAAACCCCAAAGAACCAGTTCGGGAAAATGTGGAGTTCCCCCGACGGGTAGCGAGGCCGCGACACCATGCAGCATCCAGCAAAGAAGCAAGTTCGGCGCTCCAGCGAAATCCAACCCCAGAAGAAAAGATGACCAGGGTGGATTGGGACTGGGTAGAGCGGCATGTTTCGTCTGTCGTCAACTTCTCGCCCGGGTTCTGCATCATTGTGCCATCTCAAGACCATTCAATTTTCATACAACAGCATGGGACAACTCGGCGGCATCATCTCAGGGCCTAAGAATTAGCTGGGATCTAGATCGCATGCATGCACCGCTTGCAATGCTCCGCTGCAGCCCACGAGATTCTCGGCGCTGTAATACTCCAAGAACGACGGTGCAGAGTATCTGAGGTTCGCCCCAACCACGCTGGACGATTTATGCTTGCTTCTTCCAGTCGTGGCAGTTGTTTTGACTCTCTCAAATCTTCAAAAGCAATAAGCAATCTTGTGCCTCGTGTCTAGGTTATTTCAGGTCGAAGATGCTCCGCCAAAGACGATGTACCATGGTAAGTAGCCAAGCAAACAACAGTTCGAGAAGCTTGCGCCAAAATCCTATGCTGTTGAGATTGATTCACTTGCTTCGTCGGCAGCGTGTCGGAGAATCGACACTAGGCTCCCCGGGCCGGCCAGACCAACGCGACAAAGGCCCCTGTCTTCGTCTTCTTCAAATCCCAGGACAATGGCTCGTTGTCCCGCGTGAACGGCGACAACACCACGTATTTCCGCAATACGAAAAGAAGGAATATTACTCTCTCGCCTCGCACGGAATACGACGCTCAGAATGACGCCTCGCTCGAAGGCATCCGAAAACCTCAGACATGTTCGAATAAAATCTGCATCTCAGCGTCGCGCTACCATTGTTAACAGTCAGCCAGAAGATTAGAAAGGCAATCAGTAGCTATCGACTTCAGCCCATGACGAGCAACGCGCGTGCCGTTAACCGCTGCAGCCACTTGGAAGTTCAGATGGTCAAGCCCGGAACGCTGAGGCCGGAGGGCAACTGATTTCACCTCATCTTTTACAATGTTTCAGCATCACAGACAAAGACGACGCTTTTTCGCCACAATGTCTTCTTCAGCGGTGTACTGTGTATCGTGCTTGATTCAGGCACCGTCAATGCTACTCTTCTTTTGTCCGTCTCGACTCAACTCCTCGAGCCTTAGAGTCCTACCGCCGGCATTGCAAAAAGGCGCATCTGCATCTTTTCGGGGCGTTTGTCCGTTGGCTTGTCAGTGCCACTCAAGCAAGCCGAGTGTCGCGTGCTATTTTGGCAGCCGGTGTAACCCAGCTTGGCTCAGAGACTAGATGTCAGACACACAACAAAAAGTGCGATGGCGCTGCGCTGGCAATACCAACACCGCACACGCATGTCTCGAACGTGTCATCAGATGTCAAACCGCGACTATTTTATCATCGTTTGCCAAATCTCAAAGACAACCGCTCACCGTCTCAAGCCCCCAAACCCCTGGGAGGCGTCCAGACACCCTCTTCGCAAAGCTTGGCCTCCATCGGGGCCACTACCTTTCTAGGGGCGCCCAGCTAAGGCGCTTGGAAACCATCCGTCACCGTATAGCTCAACGGCTAGTATGCGTCAAAAGCTGAGCTGGCCTCTGCATCTAGACTTCGAGGTTCGTTCTGTCGAAAAGAAGGGTTCCAGACATGCAACAAACTGTTGTCACAAGTGGTAGGAACCAATGTCACGCTTCTTCGGAAAACGTAAGGTGAAAGCCGACTGATCCGCCATTAACAGTACAACAGTACGCAAATTTAGTCTTTCCACGGTGCGTCTGGGGGTCGACGCCCAGGGAGGCTGATTCGACTTATGACGCTGACCGAGGTGAGTGCCGCAAACTCCGGGCACACCACCACCAGCCTTCGGAGTCGATGACGGCGACGAGAGCGGCCTGGCTGCCGTTAATTCGGCCGTTGTTGTTATCGTTCTTGCCTCTATTCTCCGGTCAGTGTCCGTTGGCCAGACCTGCGCCTCCGTGGCAATCGTCATCAAACCCGCGTCTCCTACCTTTTGGCTTCAACATCCCTCGCATGCGATCTGGAAAAACGAATTTGGCAGGTCAGTCATCAATCATGCCACTCCACCGAAAATCCGATGAGGCAGTAGGCTTCGACGAGCATTACCGCGTAAAGCATGCCGCGATGGATGGATGGCTATTAAGAGGGTCCCTGGGTGCAGCTAGGATCATGCCATCATCGCCTTCACCGCAGCAGTGGTTCTTCTACGTCCAGTGGACCCTGAGAAGCTTCAAACGGACCATTAACGACCATATCCGTCGTCGGAGCAAACAGTCGCCGGATCAGTGGCTGGTACCAACCACACACGCCGGTTTGGCAACGGTGATGCCGGGAACCGGTGGTCAACTCTCGCAGCATTCCAGCAGCCGCATTCTTGTCAATATCTTCAACGCAATTTGGCCATTCCCGTGTGCGTCTTAGGGGCAAGCAAACATTTTTTGCCGTCGTCAAGACACTGGTAAAGTATACCAGGTGGTATGCGCCCAGCTTTAATCCCGGCGTCGTGATGTCAGGCCAGGACTCCGTGGGAGACTCAATAAACTCGACTCCATCGCAGGAATGGAGATGTCATCACATGCGCTCTTCCCAGTCTTCTACAGAATACGACTGGCGCAGGGCTATGCAGAGCAACCATCAGTTCGAGGTCAACACACAGCTCCCGATGTCGAATTGCAAATCATGCCTCCAAAATCACAAATCACGGATCTTGGCTGCCGCGACTACCGGTGCCGTCATCCAATAGACTCGTCGTGACTTTGCCTCCCGCCGCGGCACTTGGGCTTGACGCAACAGTGATCACCTCAACACACCACGCGCGCAGAACGACCTGTCAGTCCGACCAGGCGTGGATTAGGTGGGGGAACCGCGTTGAAACACACCCAACGGCGGCCCAGTTGTAAGAGCATCTGGATGCCATTATTGGGCATCTTCAACGCGGTAGCAAAAACAATAACTGGGTTGGACTCGGTTTACCCAACGCCAATTGGCCTGGAAGGAAGTGGATGAGATCATTTCGATGGGACCCCAAGTCCTTTGTGTTGCCCGGCCCCCCTCTCCCCTCTGTTTACCTGCTGGTGCTGTCGATCCTCGACGCCGCGCCATCCGGGGAGCGGCCTGGACTTTGTTCGGAACCAAGCTTCATCTTGAACTAGCCCTCTGCGATAACGGCGACGGACAAGACGGCTGAGGGAGACGTCTAAGCCCGTGCCCATCAGACTTTGCATTCCGCGCCGCCCGATGGGCGCTTGTTTCTTAAGTCAGAAGACCCCTTTTTCCTGTCATCTGGTAAAGGGCTTCTATCCGCAGCCGTGAGAATGGTGATGCTTTCCGGCCCTTCCAGATTACGGCAATATTTGATCGTGTGCGATGGAGTCGATGGTTGGTTCAGATGTGGAGGAGGGTATCTTGGCCCCCATCCCCAGCCTCTCTTGGCCGACCAAGGCTGGGGGAGTCAGCAATCAATCCGAAGTCCGGTTACGCGTCCGAATCCTGAGCCCCGTTCCCGTACTTTTCTCTTCTTCATGCTTCGCTTCCCACTGGCCAGCTGTCGCGGGGTTTATCACCTGTGCGAGAAGCCGGAGAGAAGTGCGGCATGCGACAAGGCGAGGGGAAAGCAGACAGACCACGCTACACGTGGGGCAGGCCAGCACGCGAGACCGCGTATCGTTCGCTTCTCTCAGGCATCCTTGCCGATAGCGTGTGTGTGGGTTGACAGGATCGTGAGGGGCTTCTTTTTTTCCTTTACGGATACGGTTGACTCTCATCGTTCGGAAGGGAGACCCCCTGGAACTCGAACGCCGACGAAAAATGTCTCTGGTCAAATGTCTTGCACGACGGCTTTTTTTTTTTAGTCTTTTCCTACTGCTGAAGGCAGTTGGCTCGTGTTTTAGCGCGAGGGTGGCTGATCTATTTGTTTCAATCCCAACACCAAGCTTTTCTCAGGTGAAGAAGCTTATGTACGATGACCCCTTACTTGCCCATGGGAACCCCGAGTTCGTGATGCGTGAGGGGAGGGAGGTCAGTGCTGCTGCTGGTTCGTATTCCCGAGGAGTCCACGGAGGCCTGTCAAGTGTCATGTTCATTACCCCCCTCCTTCGGCGGGAACGGCATGAACCTCTCTATTCCTCACAACCAACCCCCCGGTCCCGGAACGGAGGGTGTCCGTGCTGGGGAGGCCGGACGGATGAGGACCCTTCCGAGATTTCTTTCACCGGGCCCGGGACGGTGATCTTCTACTCTTTTGCGATTCTCTATTTCAGATATATTCAGCGTCGAGAACCTTGGCCGACCGCGACAGTTTGCGGATAAACGCCTGTACGAATGCTGCCGATCGCAGTTTCCGTGACTCGAGGGTTTGGGGTTAGCGCTCTTGGCAAACTACTCAACGACTTTCAAAGCCAAAGGTGTGCTGTGCTGACGGACATTATTACATCTAGAAAGCACCGGGGCGCTCCCTTCCACGGTTCTTAATTACACGGGGACTACGGGCGGCGTATCCCGCATGATCTTGAACCCGCCCGGTTCCAGCTTTTGGAAAACGCCTTCTGGGTCATACATGGCCGCAACGTCCCTGAGCCGCTGCTTGTTGCTCTCTCCGTATCCCGCGTACGGGTCCTGGAAGATGCTGGCGTAGTTCGTGTACTTGTACGGCACGTACAGGCCCCTTTCCGCAGCAGCCGCGTTGATCCTGTCCTCGGTGCGTTTCTGCGCCGCAAACGCCGCGCCGTCGTCGAGGGAATCTCTCCACTGAACGAGAATATTCAGAAAGCAAACGGCCTCCTTCTGCCCGGCCAGGCCGCTGGGGTTGCCGCCGCGCCGCTTCATCATCTCCATCTGCGGGACGGAGATGGTCTGGATCTGCAGCTGCTGAGACGCGGCAAACGGCGCGACGGACCTCGACTCCTCCTCCCAGATCCGGTACGCCTCCTGCACCATGTCGACGTCGACCAGGAACGAGGTCGTCCACATCGAGTTCCGCGTCACGCCGGCGGGGAAGACGAGGCTCTTTGCGATGTCGCTGTGGAACGCGTTGGAGGACGCGACGCTCGTCGCCAGCGAGTTGTCGAAGAAGTCGTCGAACGCGGCCGGGTGGGTGTCGTTGGTACTCTGCGGGTCTGCGTGAGCGAGGAGCGCGACGCCGGTGGGCGGTCCGCCGAGGTGAGCGTTCCAGCCGAGAGACGCGGTGCTGCGCCAGTCTCCCGAGTCCAGGTCCTTCGCCCATTTCGCGAACGCGCCGTTGAAGACCGCGCTCGCCGTGGAGTTGAAGCGCACCCTGCTGAACCATATCTTGCCTTGATCGTACAGGGCCATGGTGAACTTGGTCACGACGCCGTAGTTGCTCCCGCCGCCCCGGAGAGCCCAGTACAAGTCGGGATGTGACTCGTAAGTCACGTTGATGACTTCCCCGTTGGCCGTGACGAGCTCGTACTCCAAAACGTTGTCGCAGGTCCAGCCGTATATGCTGCTTAGCCATGATATGCCCCCTATCCCTTGCGTGTCAGAAACCAAAAACCAACGCAGTCTAGGAAAATATTATCTCAGCTTCACTCACCTCCCAAAGTCAACCCACCCACGCCGACCCCGAACATCCTCCCGCCGGGCACGATCTTGCCGCGCGCCTCGAGGACGGGGTACACCCGATCCCACGTGCCCCCCGGCCCGAGCGCGACGGACTTCTCGTCCTCGCTGACGGTGACCTCGTCCATGGCGACCAGGTCGATGACGAGGCCGCCCTCGATGACGGAGGAGACGTACGAGTTGTGTCCGCCGGCCTTCACGGCGAACTTGCACTGGGTCTCACGCGCCGTCGTGATCGCGGCCGATACGTCCGGCGTCGTGAGGGGCCGGAAGAAGCATGCTGGTTCCACCGCGCCTTGGACCGTCGACCAGAGCGCTGCGCGTGTCGTTGCGAAGTCGGTGCCGTTTCGTAGGAGATTTTGGGTTGGGTATTGTTCAGAGAGAAGGGCGCACTGTGAGATTTGGCTGCTGTTAGTTGACGGGCGTGGCTTGGGGTTTTCTCCTGTGTGGGAGAGCTTGGGCTTACGGCTTCCTCGCAGCCAGGTAGGACATCACTTCGTCTTGCGTGACTACCGAGGTTTTCGGCGATTGTGGGCGTCGCGAAGGTCGCGAACGCGGACCAGAGATAAAGAGCGGACGGAGACAACATCCTTGGTTTGGCGATTGGAATGCAACTTGCTCCTCTCAAGCCATCGCGTTGGGTTTATATGCTATTTAGAGGCGCTCGGGTTCGATGTCTCGGTGTCCGGCCAAACCATGAAGCTTGGCAACATTTGAACTTCTCTACCATCTTGGGCGCAAAGGATTGCTGGCAAGTAGTGCTTCCACTGAGGGTTTGGTCATCAAACGGCCTTTTTTTCACGATGTCCGGGCTCCGTGAAGGCCCCGCGAGATGAGTTCATTAAATAGAGTTCGTAGCGTTAAGGGGTTCCGACTTATAATTGACTCCGAAAAGGAGAGGCGGGTTTGATACCTCAGAAAAGAAGGTAATCACGCTCACGGACCGTAACACACAGAAAAGAAAAAAAGCCCGTCAGCCCTATGTGACTTCTTCTGAATGCACCATAAGCGAAGAGAGGGTCGTCTTGGTTCCTCAGAAAAAGGATATTCAAGTTCACAAACTAGAACACACATAGAAAAGCCCGCAGCCAAGCGAGTGGTTACAAGAGAGAAGATTATATCTGGAAACCATCTGAACCCCAACTCGTTTAGCGCTGCAGTTTATGTCAAGAGCTGTGAAGACGATTTGGTCCTGGTAGCACTGCACTTGCAGCATTGCTTCTCAGTGGTCCTCAGTCTGCTGGTTGAGGGAAGCGAGTGTTCCGCATCAAACAGCTAAAGGAACATCATTTTCCTCCAGGCAGCTCAAAGACAAACGATACCTTCCATATAGATCCCGTGACACTACTAGTTTCGCGAAGCCTAGTAAGCTAACAAGTACCCGCTAATACTATCTAAGTTGATCTCTACTGATCGGCAAAACAGAGATTAAAGCAAAAGAAAATACATCACACTAGGCATTTGCTGGTTGTTACCAAACTAACTACTACACTATAATGAGATTTTAAGGTGTGTGTGTGTGTCCAAAGAGATCAGGGTTTTGAAACGTGAAACCGATTAGGTATAAACCAACTGAAAAGATGGATAATGTAAGACAAAATCGAGAGCATAAATGAAGTTGATTTCTAAAGAGGTATAAAATCTAACCTCAAGCAGGCTCAAGCTTTTCCTACGTACAAGTCTGAATAGTCGCTCTGTCCTAGCTGTGTTGGCTATTTAAGACATCTAGTACATCCTTAGATAAACCAGACACCTCTTACATCCAATACGGCCATTTCTGTCCGTGCCATTCCCAAAGTTGCATAACTTGTACCATAATTTTTTCGTTCAAAAGGAACCCAGTTAAACACATGCCACCGCTCGCACGTATCCTGCGTCACCAAGGTCTGGCGGGGTCGTTGCAACAGTCGTGCTCAACGGGCCGCAACACTTGGGTTCCTCCATCTTCCCGAGGTTGTCGAGAAGTTTAGGGGTAGTAGCAGCCCCAGTCGTACTTCTTCTTGCCCTGGGGGTCAGCGTAGGCGCCGTTGCCGTATCTCCCGGCGCAGAAGGCACCGACGTCAATGTTCCTTCGCTCGCTACCGTTCGTGCAGTACCAGTTGTAGGCACTGTTGCTGTCATTGTCTCCCGAGTCGTTTGCAGCATGGAACGATACACCCCACTGGCTAGAGCAAGCTGCGTTCATGTCGACGCCGCCGGCCCAGGTGCGGGCGGCAGAGACGGGGGCCGCGATCATGGCGAGGCTGGCGACGACGCCAATGATGGTGTGGGAAGCGAACATGATGAATGGATTTTGGGTTTGTGCTGTTGAGTGTTAGGGATGACGGAAATAGAAAGTGCTTGCAGAAAGTCTTACGTAGAAGGTGGTGCAGAAGCAGAGGCAAGTTGTGAGTTGAGGTGTCAGGCAGATCTGTGAGTGTGTTGGTGAGTGATGAGAGAGAGTTGGAATCTTTGACACTGAGGCCGTATTTATAGATGAATCTTCAGTCGTAGAAGAGGTCTGCCGCAGTGTACAAGAAGCATCATACGAACTCCGAATGGATAATTGGCATCTAACCAATCTCCTTTGAGACTTTGGACACGAGGTTTTACAAGGCATGCAGTCTCTGCCCCTCGTTGTGGTTGAATATTATGCCCTGAACGGGTTCACCCACGTACAGAGTTATTGGATCTGCAACGATAGTCTATTCCTTCTTTCCGGCATGAGAGTCAGGTTGACACGCCAGGGGTATAATTCATGATTAGATCTGCGGCTCCGTAGTTTTGAGCCTTACTCTATTAGGGTCAGGTCACAGCTCAGAAGATGGCTGCCTTCAGCCTGATCCAGGAACCGGAAGTTGCAATCCATGTAAGGTAGCTTTCCAGCATAACCGACAGGTAACGCTTATATCAAAAAGGCCTACTCGAATTTAGGATGTGCTTCATTCCAAAACCATCATGTTATCTTTCAACTGTTTAGCAACCAACTGTTCTAGCTGCTCGAAGCTTTGAGACTTTGTCAACTACAAAACACCAACTTCGATACTCATGGTATGTTTCCGCCATTAAATGATCTGAATAGTTTTCAATGAGTCAACTCCAAGTGCCAACAACGACGAGGTTATATCGATACCCCCTTCGTTCACCCCTTAAATCAAGAAGCCAACAAAAGGACTGTGCATAGTTTCCCTGGTTAGGCACGAAGATGTGTCCACTTTCCGACAATAGCCTAGTACTCTACCCAATGGATGAAGGAGGCCCTTAACATCGCGGTCCCCGAGATATCCGCCGCGCTGTGATGTCCCGCGCGTGGAAGGGTCCCAATATCGACGATCGACAGTGAAGAGTACGCATGTGGAAGTCATCCAGCACCTGTGATGTCAGTCGCAGTGATGGAAACTACTAGATGGAGGAAAATACATCATTATTGGGCAATTCCCAGAGCACATAGGCTAATTGATGCCACTGCTCACTGTCGACGTCACGTCAACATATAGATAATCCATTTTTGTCTCTAGACCTTTTGGAGCCCACGATGCTGTTCTCTTGCTTCCTCTTACACGGTCTGGAATCTACGTCATTGTTCTGCTACTGTATCTCTGCTATGTTTGGCTCTTGAGTAAAGTTGGGGCAATGGGTGTCTAGAAGGTGGAAAGCTTGGCCGAATCAAATGTGGTATCTCGTAATGGTTATAAACGTTGTTCTTTCAAGAACCTTTGTCGAGGACGCGGCAGAGTTAAGCTTCGTGTTCCACAGAACACAGTCAGCGCTAGCAAGTGCTCCGCCGTAAGCATGATGAGGGTCGCAATAAACTGGCAGGGGTTTCAGACTACCCAGGTACAAGCTCAATCACTCCATTAGACGTCCGCCGAAAACCAATTCACTACACAAACCATACTTACGCATCATTCTAGCTACAAAATCTTCAATCAATCTGTATAATCCACGATGGAAGTATCATGCCACCAGACCCAAGGCTCAGAATCAGGCTCTATTTGGCCGTATCCGAGCTATGGGCGGTGTGGTCTTGTGAAGACACCGACCATTCGAACAGGCTGGAAGACGCGTTGATACGTCAGGGGTCGACGGCACTTGACCCTGACCCTGCCGACCAATACAATCATATCGAGGCCTTTCAACAACACATCTACGACTGCCGACGTACCCGGTCAGCCCTATGCTGGCCTCCTCATAAAGGCGGGGCGCAGCTAGGCACCATTTTCAATGCCGAGTCAGCAGGGATCCTACTCTCATTGGCTTATCTGTAGGAGAGCGGATGGAATACCGAAATTTCCAATGGGTATGGTCGTATGTGGGGGATGAGAGTGGTGAATGGAAATCTGAAGCCATCGTGGGGGTTTGACGGCGTTATGGTTCGGTATCCCCGAGTCGACTTTCAATATCTAGCGAACTCGGTGAAGAAGATCTACCTTCACTTGTCCGCCTGTGTCGTCGGTTGAGGTAAAGCTAGACTGAGTATACACATACCATAGTATCAGAGCGTAGAAATGAGGTCAAATATTGATAGCCTACTATCTGAGCTCTCCCTTGAGAATCCAATGATCTCAGCTGCATTGATAGATTACTAGAGCCTCGACCCATCCCCAAGGTTCAACACGTCTTTGTCGCCCCATTCACTGCCCTGTTGCGTCTCCCTCCTTCTTTTTCCAAGCGATGGGGAAATGTTTCTTGAACCCCAGCGTCAACTTCTTTTGGAAGTTCTCCCACTGCTTCGAGATGCTGTCCGAAAATATGAGCCAAAGAATTAAGAGTGCAGTGACAGGTGCAGAAACCGCCCAGTACACGGCAAACAGTCTTTCCCCAATAGCGAATTCCCCACCCATCGAGAAGACCGCCGAGGCCACGGACATAGGAACGGCAACGGTGGCAATCTTCGTCAGTTGACCCGCGCTCCTAGCTTGACGGTCAGCAGCTTGAGCCTGCTGATGGCTGTAGAAGGAGTTCTGTAACTCGGCTCTTCTCGAGAAGCTTTCCATAATCTGTCGAAGAACGTCTTCGGTTGCTTTGAGTGTTTCATCGATCCGAAGCCAACGTCTGGTTTCGAATTCGACTTGTGCACAAGAACCGGCCACCTCGTTCTGCGCGTTATCGATTGCACTTGCGGATGGAATTTGGTCCACCTCGCCCGGGTTCGATGCAAGCAACGAGCGTTTCAATTCGCGAAGCGATTGTTTTTGGTGTGCGATCAGGCGTAAGTCGCTGGACATGGCCTTGTAGTGAAACTCGTCAAAATTGAAGACGGTGCTTTTCCTCAGCTGCTCGAGGACCCTGATGAAGCCAGCACTGTTCCACAAATCCTCCTTCAAATTCCAGCCGTCAAGCATGGCGTTGGAGTAATCGGAAGTCGAGTTGTTCCAAATGGAGAAGATCAGATTCCGGACAACAGTAGTCGCATCGAAAGGATCGCCATGATGGCTCATGGCACCCCACTTGCCGTCGTAGGCCTTTACCAGCACGTCGTAGAGAACGCAGCTATGTAGAAGCTCTGGAACCGGCGCATCTGGACGAGAGGGAAGCGCTCGGGAGTTGCCTTGCCACGTGAAATCGGACAAATCCACACGGGGCTGTGAATTAAAAGGCAGGGATGGGCTCTGACTAAGAGGGTCAGAGTTTTGTTCCCTGATCAGGCGCAGACGGGACTTGTGCGGGTCGACGAGGATTGCCACTGAAGAGAAGCCATTGTCAGATCAACCTCGGAAGCTCAATTTCACTACTATGCAAACCAACATACCTGTCCAACCGTTTTTATGCTTCTGGCCCCAAAAGGAAACAAGACTATTAAAGTAGAATATTGGAATCTCGGGATTCATTCTAGTCGACACTCGGTCGAAAGATCCCAACTCGACGCAGTTTGGTTGAATTGCCATTGGATAAGGACCTTGCCGCGTCTGGGGTACCGGTGCTTTCCAGTATGTTGAGCGGCCTTCCTCCTGCAGCATATCGTTCAAAACCCTGAGCCTGAAACGCTCACTGCAATGGGCGATCCAAAACTCAGGCGGAATGTTCAGCTCTACGCTGATAAGCTCTGCGAACCGTGGATCAACATCCTCCATAAGAATCAGTCTCCGGAATGGGGCGTCGACATCTTTCTTGTGCATTTCATCGAGATGGTAATAATGATCTCTCATGCCGTTGTTGGGGTTGCAGGCGCATTCGCAAGGGTTGGAATCACCCTGCAGAATGCGTATAGATGCCCTAGGATAGTCGTGCGGAAAGTCGGTTCGCCACGGATTTCTCATTTTGCTGAGCGTATCATCGCTTTGGAAAATTCCGCGAAGTTTGTTGTAATACTTCGTTGTCTCTTCTTTCATTTTGGGATTTCCGATCCAATACTCATCATGAGCTTTCCTTCAGTTAGCTTCAAAGTTGCCAGCCATAGCTAGTCGAGGGATACCAACTTTGGGGAACGAATGGACCAGACATGATCTTTGCTGTTTGCTGCTGTATTCTGATTGAAACTCTAGCTGTCCGAGTGCGCGGAATTGGAGCAGAAACATGTTTTCTATATCGAAGATTGGCGCCCAACACAGCGTAATCTAGCAATCGTGAGGCTAGCCATCACTTCTCGGAACGGGCAATCATTGCGAGGGGTCTCAGATCAGCTAGTTGACATAGATCAGATTTTGTTTCAAGACGAAGGAATTTGATTCTTTTGGTTGCTATTTGGCCCACATAGTATCACGAGGCGGCGTGCTGCGTTGCTTTTTACAGTATAAGCCCACCGTGCAAGCGGGTTAAGACAATCGAGCGGGTCGAGCTGAACAGTTGCAGACCTGTCACCTGTTGCCTACAGGGCTAGTTGCGTGTATGCAATGTGGAAAGAGAAATACGAGACTGGGTATAGAAATGAAGTCTTCACGATAATGCGGCAGGACGGATGTCAAACAACACTGGATGATCTTTTGATTCGCTGGAGCTTAGGATCAGATCTGCGTTGTACAAGATTCAACTGAGACATACCTCATCTCTTCTTGTACACAACGAGACGCAACAGCAGCATCATCGGAGCTGCAACTCACCGCGACGCTAACTAATTCGTCATTCATTGGCGAAGAAGTAAGTTTCCTCATCCTCGTTTTCCTCGAACAACCTTTGTTGGGAGATTTTTGCTCCAGAACGGGATAGGGCTCTCATGGTCTCACTGCACCCCACCGCTGCGGCTGGATATCCCGTACTCCGTACCGCCCGGAGACCTGAGATGGCGAGTCCCCACAATTTCCTACCCCGGTTCCGACAGCTCGGCTCGCCCCTCTCCACCTGCACCTCTCTCACTCTCACTCTCACCCGCCAACGAATCGTTGTGTTTTTCTCAACTCAAATACAGCAAGTTCTCGACCGCCTTTCCCATCCCTTCCGAACACAGCCCCCTTCCCCGGGCGCGCGGAAGAACCGACCCGATAATTGCAGGAGAAAAGAGCGACTTGCACTTCCTCTACTGTATTTTTTCCGCTCCACACGAGCGTGACTTCGCCAACAGCCATGCCTCCCACGAAGCTCCCGGAATCCGGCAACCCTCTGTAAGTCGAACCCCGGACTTGCCCGCCGGCCTTTCATCTCCCTCGCTCTTCAATCCTCGCCTCTCTTCCGCCTCCCCCGCACGGATTTGAGATACTTCCAGGTCTTGGCTGCAGCGAGCTCCGCCTCAACCTGCCGCCTTGCCTTATCTCACCCCCCTCTTCCACCAAGAAACGGGGACGATGGACCACAGTTGTCCCGGTGGCTGAGCTCCACGCGTCCCGACGCAACCTCAACCTACATCAGCGGGGGAAGGTGGAAAGAAAGGGTCCTTAGTCACCCCGAATCATCCTATCGCACAGTACCACAAACAAGACTAACGTAAAATCGCGTCAATAGGGTGTTTTTTGATATCACGCTTGGCGGTATGTGAGCTTTCCCCGTTGAGGCACATCGTCTTCCCATCTCTTTCTCGGCGGTGCGGGGAAGGCAAGGGAGAATCGCTCGGCGCTGGATGGAGACGGCAGACAGGCCGAGCAGTCTTCTTGGAATCCACGAAGCCATTCGTGGCAGGACACGATGGACGTGGGCGTACGTTTGGAGGGGCGGTTCGAGTTCAGCGTCCTCCTCTTCCATGGCTTGGCCGCTGCCATTAGTTCAAGCAGCTCGATGGTGGCGTTCATGAGATGACGCCGTCATCGCTGGCGGGGCGGTGGCTTCAATCCTCACAGCCCCGGGCTTGGCGCACCTCATGCTCCGGCTCCGGGCGTTCTCCTCCTTCCCGGCCCACCGACGAGCCCGTACGAACTACGGACCCGCGACTCCAGGGCAAGTCTTACTAACGTCTCTTCTCTCCCCACGCGTAGGTGAGCCCCTGGGCCGAGTCACATTCGAGCTCTTCCAAGATGTCGTGCCCAAGACGGCCGAGAACTTCCGCCAGTTCTGCACCGGTGAATCCAAGAACTCTCTGGGTCGACCGCAGGGCTACAAGGGCTCCAAGTTCCACCGCATAGTGAGTCGCGCCCAACACTCATTCGACTGCCGCGAGGCCTGGATGGGGGACAGCGATAGCCTCGTGCGAAAAGGAGGCTTTGGGGACGAATACCCGTGGCGGTGTGGGAGAGTCTATGATGGCTGACGAGAGATGATAATCTAGATCCAGGAATTCATGTGTCAGGGCGGTGACTTCCTCAATGGAGACGGCACCGGATCGACGTGTATCTACGGAACCACAAAGTTCGCCGACGAGAACTTCAACCTGAAGCACGACCGGCCTGGTCTGCTCTCCATGGCCGTGAGTTATACCACTTCTTCCCGCACAGCTGACGGTATTGGATTTGTGGCTGACACGGTTTGGAATAGAACGCCGGCCCCAACACCAACGGCTCCCAGTTCTTCATCACCACCGTGCCGACGCCGTTCCTGGACAACAAGCACGTCGTCTTCGGAAAGGTCGTCGACGGCATGGACGTCGTCAAGATGATGGAGGCCACCAAGACGGGCTACCGCGGCAAGGACGTGCCCAACCAGGACGTCGTCATCGCCCAGTGCGGCGAGTTGTGAGGCGGTTTTCTCTTGGAGGCTGAGAGTCGTGGAGAGTGACGAGATGGGAAATGCCGAATGAGGCCCTTGAAGAAGGGCTCGCGGCTTCTTAGCCTGCGAATTTCAGGGAGGATGTCTGTCTACACGCAAACCTTTGTGTCACATCTTCAGTGATCACGAATAACGGTCCCAGGCCCTTTCTTGTGCCCTCATCATACCAGACTTCTGTGTACATACATGTAGATGGAATCTATGAGTACTGCCGAAGAGCGATGCTGACATTCGTACGGCTTGTGCCACCGTCTCCAACCCATTCATTATCGTTGTCCGTGAAGCTCTCGACCTTCTGAACGTAGACCTAGCCGGTCGTCCGTACACAATGGCTGCTGTACTGAGCGCCCCGTAGGAGTTCAATGAAGACGATCGATCCTGCCCCAAGTTGCCATGCCAGTCCTTGCGTCGTAGGTGTATGTTTGGTCACTCGGCCAGCTGCTCAGCCCAGCCTGAAGCTGGATGGCGATCCACATCCTTCAGCTGGCGCTCTTTCCTTGAAATAGTCGGCCTCGGAGAACGACATTGCGATTGAGTTCAAGCCGTCGATGTCTGAATACGTCAACCAAGGAAGGCGACGGCCGCAACGCCACCTGTCTTCCCTCTCAAACTCGGGCCCTGTGGCTCGAAAACAGGCACATTCCAGACGGGGGCCACGAGGCGCGAGCCCTCGATGATCGCAGATTGGGTCGCAGGGCAGTCAGCCTCGTTTACCGCGCCTGCCTTTCGTAGGTGCACTGGACTCGAGGTATCCGACAGCGCGGGAGAGATACCTTCCTACCTCTTGGAGATATTGCGAGCGGGGTGTGGTGAATGCAGAATGCGGCTTGGTGCAGAATGGTGTACAAACGGTTCACTTGGGCGTCGTACCTTCCTCGTGTGAAAAGTCCACGATCTCGTCGCCGCTGCCAAAACCAAAATCACATCGAGCCCGTCAGCGCCAGCGCGGTCCTCCTGGTGCCCCAAGGCTGTCAAGTATGGGCGGCAGCGTTGCCACCAGTCCAGCTGCGATGCGGCGGACATGTTTTGCGGATGACGCGTGGAAAGTAGGAGAAGTTTCTGAGCCATCCGGCTATTTACCAGGCCTGTCCGTCGTCATGGCAGTTTGCCCTCGTCAAATTCTGACATGGTTGACTAACTGCGACAAGGCTGCTGTGCAAGAGATGCTCTCACTGTCCCGACGAAGCAGCCTCGTCAGAATGAGTCCGCCTGACCAGCAAGCACCGGATCTCAAACGACGACACGTCACCGCAAGAGATGATTCACACATGTCACGAGAGGAGCAGCAGAGTTATTGTACTTGTTTTCTATTTCACTGTAGCCTCTAGCCCAGTGTTCAGCTTCTGTCCAGGTGTGTTCCCCAATTTCCATCCCAATGCGAACCGTTCATCCCATGTCCCTTAAGCGCAGCGTCAAGCCGCACAACCCGGAGGGGGACACACAGAAAACCGTGGAGAATAATCTACTTGATGACTGAAAACCTGACGAAGAAGAAAAAAATAAGGAAAGTGGTGGTATCATCCGAAAAGGACCAATCCCCCAAAACGCCCCAGGACATGCCAGTCTCCATTTACGATGCCCAAGTGTAAAGGGAAAAGGAAACCCTGTGTCCGTTTTCCAACCTTCCCAAAATATCTCCCCACCTGGGGTGAATCCCTTGGTATCAAATGCCCAAATGCCCGTTTCATACTCCGTTGTCCTCATGATCGTCATTCAATTCCCGTAACCGTTGAATCCGGAAAAATGAAAGAGTAATGATGCCCTGTATCCTTTGTATGTACTGTTGTTTGGCCGAGTGAAAGAAGGAAAGAATGCCTCAAAGGAATGGTGCAGAGGTGCGTCGGTGAATGCGTAAGCTCATGAGCGTCAATGAATCGTAAAGTAAGAAAGTAAGAATATCAGTCGAAGCAGAAATATTGGAAGCCTGCACATTCGAGTGAAGCAGCTGTTGCCATGAGCATAGTCTGTTGAGAAGACTGCTGGAAGAAGTATGATGTCTCCCTTGGCGTGCTCAGGCAAATATGCCACTGTGACTTAGATGCGCTTCTCAAAGTTCCAAGAGTCCTTGCCGCGGATGTGGCGACCCTTCACGCCAGGCTTCATGAAGGGGCTGACAGATGGCTTAGCCGCGCCGTCAACCGCCTTGTTGGGGTTGTTGGAAGGCGTGGGGGTCGGCTGGGGACCAACAGTGACAGTGATCTTGGAGTAGAGAGTGACAGGAGCAGCAGTGACTGTAACGTAGCGAACGTTGCCACCAGTGGGAGTGGGAGTAGTGGCGGGAGCGGAAGGAGCGGCAGAGGAGAGGACCTTCTCAGTGCCGTTGCGCGCAGTGCCATTGCCAGGAGCAGAGTTGCCAGGGGTGCTGCCCTTGACGTCGACGAGGAACTGGTTCTGGAGCTGCTCCTTGACGGCGTTGTCATTGTAGTTGGTCTTCTCAGGGAAGTTGAAGGCAGCGAGGCTGTTGGCGTTCTGGTTGGCGGACTTGTTGGAAGTCGAAGCAGCCTTGGCACCCTTGACGAGCGCCTCACCCTTGACCTTGATGGTGGAGCAGCTGGTGTAGATCTCAGCAACGGTGACATCGTCAGAGGTAACAGCGCGCTTGTCGCCCTTGAAGCCAGAGGGGAAGTCAGCGTACTGGCCGTCCTTGGAGTTGGCGGCGGCGGCAGTGGTGAGAGTGGGCCAAGACCAGACCCAGTAGAGGGTGTAGTCGGAGTTCTGAGCGACGTCCTCAGGAAGCTGGACAGCCGACTGGCACCAGACATCAGGTCCCATGGGCTGAGCGGTGGTGTGGGCGAACTCGGACTGACGCTGCTTGGAGATGGGCGAGTCGTTCATCTGGTAGCACTGGCCGTCGTCGTAGTTGCGCGTAGCCAAGAGCCTGCCACGTCCATCACCACCCTTGCCATCAGCGGTCCACTGGCGATGAACATCGAAGAGGGTGTCGGCGGCCTTGGGCTCGGTAGTACCGTAGACGAAAACGGTACCGCGGTTCAAGGGCTTGCCGGGAGGGGTGTCGGGCTTGGTGACATGGCCGTTCTCCTGGTAGCGCATGGAGACGAAGTCGCCGGGGGCAGCAGTGAGAAGGGGGAAGTCGGGACTCTGCGCGCCCTGCAGGCCCTGCTTACACATGGTGAATCCATCGTTGGGAATGCGGTTGGTGAACTTGGGGTCGCTGAAGCCGTCGAGGCGGCCAGTCCAGCCGTTGGAGAAGCCAACAGGGCCGACGAGAGTGCCGTTAGCAGCGACACGGTTGAGCTGCTCGACCCAAGTGTGAGAGCTGGCAAGCTGGGGCGCACCCAACAGGCAGGCCACGGCGAACGCGAGAGTGTTTCTGCGGGCCATGATGAATTTTTGTGATGTGATTTGTGGGTGAGAGAAGAGTAGAAATGATGCTTGACGGGGTATTTGTGATGCTGAGGGATGAGAAGTGATTTTGGGGAGATCTCGCGATTCAAGGAAAAAAGGAAGTGAATCGGGAGAGGTTTTTTGAAGAAATCAAAAAATGTGAGTGAAGAACTGAAAAAGATGAAAAGTTAGGGTGGGTGGTTGTGAAGAAGAGGAAGAAGGTAAACAAACCGAGAAGGCTAAAGTTGTGTGTGGGAAGGAGCGGGAAATCGAGTCTTCCAGAAGAGTCGAAGTTTGAAGTCGGAAGCGAATTGTTTTTTGTTTTGTTTTTTGTGTGTGTCTGTAGCTTATCGAAAAGAGCACAGAAAGATGTCAAGAGGATTTAAGTAGGAAAAACTCTTTGAATGAAAAAATGCTGAGTCGAGGAAGCCGGCACTGGGACTGTGTGGTGAACAAGACTGAATAAGAGTTATGGTGTGGGCGTAGGTTTTTTTCTTTTTTGTGATTAAGACGTCCGGCGCAGTCAGGTACCAGCTGAGTCAAGAATCGAACAAGACTAAGAGAAAGAGAACAAAAAATAGGCGGTCGTCGTGTGTGCTACATACGGCACGTGGTCGAGGCCAGCGATGACGGGATTCTCTTGGTCGAAGTGGGGCGAGGTGGTGAAGGTGAAGTCAAAGTTGACGGTGTCGAGACTGAACAGTCGACTTGGTCGGGTATTCGAGGAAGGAACGAACAATGGACCGTTAAAGGAAGTTTCCTTATCCGCCTCAAGCGCGCACAATAAAGAAGACGACGGGAAATTAGATGGTCTCGACAATGGGCCTCAAGGGAAGGGAAACAATGCAATTGTTTCTACCTTTGGCTCCCGAATTAGAGAGGCGGCCAGCACTGGAGAAAAAGAGACGAGGCGTTGATGGGTGAGGAGGTGAGGTGAGGTCAAGACCGTTTTGGGAAGCGCGGCCAGGTTGGGTTTAATATCATGAGTGTTACCTCAACAGCTGCCGCCATACCCTGGCCATGCCTACTCATCCAGACTCATACTCTGCTCTGCTTGCTAACGTCTACCGTGGAGGAGGAGCCATGATCTACGGAGATGGGACCCGAACGACAGGCAAACACCCATGCGGCGCATCTTGGAAGTCGCGATCCAAAACGACAGCGGCGGAGGCACGCGGGCGGGATGGCACTCGGACAGGGGGATTCTGGCCAAAGAGCGAGCAAAGGTGCTCGAGTGCTGGGGTACCGGCCATAGGGTCGGACGGGTCTCATCATGGGACGAAGGACAAGGGAAAAGAGCGCATGTTTCTAATGGGGAGTACTGGGCGCCAGTCGACGTCGATGGATGCAAGAAAAGGAAAAGGCTCCAGGTTGATGTTTGACAGGGAACGGTTGAAGTCGAAGTGAGAGTCTTGGCCAAGGCAGGCACTGACTGCGACTGACTGGCAGCGACGTTAGGTTGACGGGAGATGGACTGCGCTAGACCTGGTCCATATTTTCTGTGGGTACCTAACTTTTAGTGGATCTCAACGTTGGCCCCAAAATCTAGGTACCATTCTGCGCTGCTCTCCCGCCGTGAGGTACGGGGCCTCGTGGGGTTGCACCGATCTGAGCCGCCACGGTCCCTGGGGGGCCAGGGGTCACCAGCGAACACCGAAACGTGTACCATCCAGGCCGCAAATGTATGGCCACGGTACTTCGGTGCCCATGCTTCACAGCAAAATCTGGAACAAGGGGCTCGCGCTCCTCGATGCACCTCATCCAGTCACTCAGGTCCATGCGTCCCCTGTCCGAATTAAGCGAGCTCCAGACGCAAGGGTCCGCCGTTACTTTGACTGGCAGGCGCTGCCTGCACCATGCGGCGCCTGCCAAAATTGGCATCCCAAGAAAATCTTGACTCTGCAGACGGGACTCCAGACTCCAGAGTATTCGTAGTCGGGCTCGAGATTCGTACCTGCAGGCCAGCATGTCTCGTTCCACAATCGACGCCTTTCCCGTCCACTTCTTCACCATTTCTTCTTCTCATGGTCATGTCAGCGTCAACATCGACTCAGCCACCGCTTCTTTGCCGCGCCGCCAGAGACACGGGCCTGCCCACCTACTCGATTGGCTGCCGTTGGCGCAGACTGCCGCCGGAATAAAGCGAACGTGGTCCAGAACAGCATCTTCAAAAAGGAAGCAAGGAACGGTTTGCAATTTCTTTGCCAAGAACCCACTCTTCGGCTCTCGTCCGGGCGTATCGTCCAACTCGTCCCAATGGTATTTGCGAAATGCCTTGTTCGAAGCCAAGAATCCCAGTCTCTCCTGCCGCGGTCAGAGTCGCGGATATACAAGAATTCAACCCACCTTGGGGCACCTACCAGCTTCAAATCTTCCCACCCGATATTCCTTACATGATCCGACCAACCTCGACGCACATCACAAATCATCCCAGTCAAACCAGACGGACCGAGTGCAGCAGGCACGTAGGCACGCAGGCTGGACGCAAGCAAGCACTCAAGCAGGAGATCCAAAGCTTGGACGTGGGAAATCTTCGGCACCTACACCTACGAGTACGAGACGTGGATGGCGTCTAGAAGAGCACAAAAGTCTTCCAGGTCGACGCGAAACACGGGCCCACGACCCCTACCTTAGCACCTAAACACCAAGCCAGCGATACCCAGTCCTGTCTTGTCTGGAGAATGTCACCTTCGCCTCCGTGCTCAATGCCCTGGACCTGCACCGTCTCTCTCTCCCGCCAACCCGCCAACTCTTCACTGCAATCCTTGGCGCCGGTCCATTGTATCCTCTGCGAGTCTCGCTCTCGCGGCACTCGAGTTGTGGGCATTCGCAAATCTTCCCTCGTCTCATCGTCTGTGCGCATCCCGGTCGCCATTCTTCTCAGTCTCCACAGCCACTAAAGCCCGCCTGCCGTCCGTTCCCCGGCGCCATCTCCGGATCACGGCTCCTTTCAACATCGTGGCTGTGCGGCGCAATCTTGACAGCGCTTGTCGTTGCCGCCGCAATCTTGTACCTCATGCCATCCATTGGGCATGACTGCTCTCGAATTCATCGTCAGCCGAACATTGCGCGATATCCAGCCGACCAAAAATCACGAGAAAAAATCAGTCGGCCGAAATAGCCCCTATTTCGCCACCGTCCTCTCGATATCACACCCTCAGTCGCCAACGTTCAGACATGCCGCGTTTCATCTTGGCTGCCGCCCACGTTGTTCAGACCACACACACAACACAACTCTTCCCCCCGTCAAACCATCCGTCCGTCCCAACACATGAAAAGAAACCCTGCGAACATCCTCTTTTGAGTTCCCACTGATCATCTCTTTCGCTTGCAGAGTAACCTAGCACCTTTTTCTGCCCACTTCTCGATGAATGGTGCCGCAGTATCCACGCGTGCACTCCGCATATTTCGTGCTTTGGAATGAAACATTTCCAACTCCACGAACATCCGCGTCCCACTTGCTGCAGGGTAACAGCAAATCCTCCTCCGAGGTCCCAAATCCACCGTCCCGCGACCGAAATGTCCGGGCGACACGCGCGGATTACGACGTAACGTGACGACGACGACTTTTGTCATCTCCGTCGCCGCCCCCAAAATTAGCCAAACGGCCAGGAATCTCGCGAGAGGAAACATGAGAACCCACACAGCTGCCCTCGCAAAAACACCACGGCTTGGCATGTTGCGGTGGAGGATCGTCCGATCTTTTTAAGCTTCCATCACCTCAAACGCTGATGAGAATAAATGACAAAAAAGAACCCCACAGAAGCATATTCCTCCCAAGTAATACGTGCCCAAGCCAAACCATACCAACGACGACAGGGTGGTGCGGACACGTTCTCTGCTGCCCCGTTTCATCTCATCCCCCTCGCAGAAGCTCTCTGAACCACTCGCTCGTCCGGACATAGGCATGACAGGAGAAACAACGACAGATCTGTCGGGCAGGAAGAGGGGGGTACCAATGCAAGCTGCGAAAGTCAACTTGAAGCCTTGAGTCAATTCTTTTTTTATGCTGCTGTTCTTTTGTTTCTTTGGCTTTGGGGCGTGGTGGTGGTTTGGGCAGAACGAAAAGTATGCCCCCCGCCGTACGTAACTTCTGAATTACAGCATTATGGTATCAAGAGACGTTCTTTTCTAGTACGCCGAAAACACATACAGATATCCCGTCCCTTTTTTTCCCCTTCCGAGAGACCATTTTCTGGGGCGTTTCACACATGAGTCGGCCGTCAGTCATCCTACCCGTGAACTCCCCATCCCAATTCCATACACCCCTCTCCCCTTTACTGTCGGCTGTACTCAAAGGTCCGCCGTATGCAGGTAAAATCAAGTCACATCAGCGTGTACAGTACACACACGTCCCATCTTCCTTTTCGTCCCCTAGGCATGTTTGCGTTCCGTTCCATCTCTGCCGCCCTCGGCCGACCATGTGATGAATGTTTCAGTCCCAACTCCGGTGCCCGTGACCGCCCTCATCCATCACAGCTGCCGGCGCTCGGTGGTGCACCAGTTTCTGGATGGCCGTGGCGGGGAAGTTCTCCCGGCTCTCCATGTCGAGGCTGTTGGAGCGCGCCCTCTTCCTGCTGCCGCCGCCGGCGCTGGCGAGCGACTTGAGCGGGCTGATGGACTCGAGAGAGGGAAGCCCGCGCTGCTGGTCCAGGGGTGACCAGCCCGACCTGCCGTCCGTGCCGGCCACCGCCGCGACTGCCGAGACGGCCTGAGCCCACGGCTGCTGGTTCCAGGACGAGTGTTGGTGGTGGTGCTGCTGGTGATGGTGATCTTTGCTGCTGTCCGCCCAGAGGTTGGCGTTGGCCGCCGTGCTGCGCTGGTTCTCGCTCTGCCACTGCTGATGCTGCTGCGTCTTGACGTCCGATGACGACGACGACGAGGCCGGGTCGTTCCAGCCGTTCCAGTGGTGGAGGCTGTGGAAGGACGAGGTCGCCGTGTCCCATTCGGACATCCCCTCGACGTCCGCCGTGTCGTCGTACACGCCGACGCCCACGCCGTTTGAAACCTGGATACCCGCCGTCGCGGACAGGAACGGGTCGGCGGGTGTCGGCGTCATGTCGGCGACGAGCGTGCTCTGGCTGTCCATGGAGGTCGTGCCCGAGCCAGCCAGGAAGTCCAGCTGATGGTGGGGACCGCTGGCGAGCTCGTGGCCGTCGTAGCTGCTTGCGTAGGAGGAGTGAATGGACGCCGTCGGGGGAGGCGTGGCGAGTCCGTGGGAGAAGCTGTCCATCAGGCCGAGAGTGCCGGTGGATGCGAGGCTGGGCAGCTGGCAAGGCATGGTGACGGAGTCCCAGGCGGAGCTGAGGTTGTCGTTCATGACGGCGGCTAGGTGGTGGGAGTAGGGAGGGGTGGGCGCCATGAGCATGTCGCGGGTGGGAGCGGCGGCGGGGTTCACGCAGACGTTCTGCTGATGGGCCTGCGAGACGGGGTCGAGAGCCGTAAGGAAGCGCCAAGTGGTGCCCGGGGGGTTGAAAACCCGCTTGGGACGGCCTCCGCGACGGGAAGAGGTGCTAGCGGGTTGCTCGTCACCATCCTCGTCCGTCGGTCGCTTGCCTTTCTGCGCTGCCGGCTTCTCAAAGATGGGGTTCCACTTGTCGTCGAAGGCGTGGATGGTGCGGAACTTCCAGAGGATGATGCCACGTCGGGTCCAGACGCGACGGTCGGGGTTGTTGGTGTTGTTGTCAGGCGGTGCGGACCACAGCTCTTGGAACATGCCGACTTGTTGGATCAGCTCTGCCGTGGTGCGTTCTGCTTCCAGGGCGGCTTCTTCAGCGGCCTTGGCCCTCTCGTCGTCGTCTTCGATCTTGTTCTTGTTCTCGACTGGCTCGAGATATCCGGCGCAAGTACTCAAGATGCTGGCCCATTCGGCCGCGGGGAAGGGAACTCGCACATCCTGCCTGGGACGGGATCGGCAGTCGCAGTCGAACTTGTTGTCCTGGCATCCGGGTCTGTGAGTGTACTGGACCCCGACTTCGCTGGTTTGCTCCACGACGCACGGCTCGTTGTCGCCGTGGCGGAGCTCCTCCGGTCTGGCGAGCTTGGTGACACACTTCCAGCGGTGGTTTTGCAGAGCAGGCTGAGAGATGCTCAGCTCGACGAAGCCATTGAGTTCTGAGCCGCCTGGGAAATTGCTGCGAGGGTGTATCTCCAACGTCACAGTCATCTCCAAGATGTCGAGCCACTTGTTATCGGAAATGGCGTACTCGAGAGATTTGTGGAGGGGTGTGAACTTGGCCTCCCACTCCTGAGAGAGTTCCGTGACGGCCGAGGACTCCTTCTGAGCAAGCTCCCGGTTGTACTCGTGTAGAAGAACGCTGCCGTTCAGACCGCGGGACAGACCGTCTTCTTTGTGCATGTTCTTCTCCAAGTGAGGGTAGTAATCGTGGTCGAGGAGTTTACCATGTTGGTCGTAGGCGTCACCGTTCTCCTCCATTCTCACATTGGAGGAAGCCACGAAAATCCAGCAGGTCTTGGGGCGCATGACCACGAGTGAATCCATGGCGAGAATCTGGGCAAAGTACTCATAGTTGGGACGCACGTCCGGAAGGCGACCCTCGGAAAGAGCAATGAGAACCGGGTTGTCTTTGAAGGAGGCCATTTCCAGGTTGTCCTTGAGACGGGCTTCGCTCTTGTCTGGATCCTTGACGAAGAAGAAGTGATCTGGAATGATTAAGCTAATGCGTCTTCCAAATGAGCGGAGTTTACAACTTACAGCACCGGTGCTTTTCAAACATTTTTTTGACGACTTGGATGTGACTGGACACTTGCTTTCGCTTTCGCTCCTCGGCCTTTTGTCCGGGTTGCAAGCTGCAACAGTAGGCGATCCAAAGATATTCACTGATGAGCATGTTGCGGCCAAACTGCTTTCCCTGCATGCTGTACTTCTTCCTCCCCATGTGGGGGATGATGAGCAGCGCTGTCAGACCAGTTAGAAAAACCCGTTATGCTTATGTCAAGGGTGCCTTACAGTCGAGAAAAGCATCTTCCAAAACTCTAGGCCATATCTGCTTCTCATTTGGGTCCTTCTGATCTTGCTTGTCCCGGTATGGGCGAAACTCTGGTGCATAGTAGATGGGGTTGATGTCATGTCGCCCTCGTCTCGCCAAGTGAAGAGCGTCTGGCCTACGAAGGCTGTTACTGCTTCTGTAGGCAGTCCCGGCCTGGGAAGGAACCACAGGAGGGGTCGGGATGTTGGTCAAGCCCGGTGAGAAAAGACCCAGCGGGCTGTTACGACACGACGAGGCCAAACTGCCCAGATGAGATCCTGGCTGAGCGTTGCCGGTTGACTCCCTCAAGGGCTGTCTCCCCGTAGGCGTACATCGTCTGCTATCGTAACTGTAGACGGGTGAGGGGGAGTACCGCTGTGACGGAAGAACGGGGCGCGGATGCTCCATATTGAGGTTTTGCTACGCCTCACGAGCGAAACGTTCGTTTCTGGGTATGTCAATGACGGATGGTTGTGATGCGATAAAGTTGGCTTCCGTTCTTTCTCTCAATCGTCCCCCACTGCAAGCCCGGGGAACGGTATGCGTTTGTGACGTTGACTGGATTGTAAACGGATTCCTTGAGAAGAACGGAACCCCTGAGGGAAAGAATGGAAAAGGTCGAGGCAAGGAAGAAAAGGAATGACTCTTCAGGAATTTCGAGACGGGGCGGGACAGGGTTTTGATTATTCTAAGAGAAGGGCAAGGCCATGTGCAAGCAATAATCGCTTTTTCTGATCTTCGTTCAGTATTGGTCGGGGGCCAGAATTCCTCGGGAATCCGATCAAAAATAGGAAAAGAATGGAATGAAGCGGAATTATGGGAAAGTGAAGCTAAGGATGGTGTTTTGCCGATTGGCGAAATGAAAGGAGTGTGTGAGCTTGAATTCCGCAACTGTCAACAGAAGGTTGGGATGTTCCCGTGGTCCTACTTTGTATGACCAGAACCAAGGGTGCGTAACGTGTAAAGATGCTCGTCGAGGACAGAGGAGAAGGCTTGAGGAGGTTGAAAGGCGTGGCACTGGCATGGGACGTACGTCAATATAAGTTCCTGAAGTCAGGTACACCCGCTTGGGGTCCGAAAGAGGGGAGGCGAGGGAAGAAACAAGATCGTTGGAGGTCAACAGAAAAGACAACCGCAGCTTTCCGAGAGAGCAGGTAGGCTGAGAGAGAGAAAGCCTCTATTTGGTTGAACACCCCGGGTTCCAAATCCAACGTCAACACACCCCTCATCTTAGCCCTCTGCTTCATCGTCCTCCTCGTCCATTCCCTAAGCATGCCTTGCCTGGGACCTCAGATCCAGCCCTGTGCCCCTTTGGAGCAGAGTAAACAGAGCTCGCTGTATAGGCTCCGCCCATACGGACCTTCAGGCATTCGAGGAGGGAGGGCAGATCTCAACTGCTGGGGCCTAGATCAGGTGACTGAAGGGATGTGGTGAAGTGTAATCAGAATGAGAGAGTGAGATAATGAAGTGCGGACAGGTAGTCTGTAAGCTCTAGCGAAGCTAAGTCGGATCGAGACTCCGGCGGGGAGGAAGCCAGGGTGCGAGAGCAAAATCAGAGAACAGGATGGGGTTGAGCCTCAGGCAATCGGGAACTGGTACTGAGGGCGTGTCTGCGGAGGAAAGAGCGAGAAAGAGGCTCTGAGCGGACAGACGAGGGAGAAGGGTGAGAATAGTGTGGTGGCAGACCCGATCCAGCGACGTCGTGGGGCTAATTTGACTAACATGACTTGACAGCCCGAAGAAGGTCGAGGGAATAAAAAGAGACCCGTTGGTTCCCTTTGCCCTGGGTCCCAATGTATGCACATGTACGATCGTATGCATTGACAAGGGTCACTCCACATGGTAGATCGCTGGGACAGCAGAGCTGGAGGGGTGGACAAATTGAGGCGATGGCATGCAAGGGGGTTGGTTGAGGAACGTTCGCTCATGAGGTCAAGCCAACTTGGGCTTGGAAAGCACCATGAGCTTGGATTCGCTCGTGCCACGCATATCCGCTGCCTTATCGGTTGTTCTTCCCATCCGAGTCTGCCAGCCGTTGCCTTTTTGGCTGTAAGGTCATATGAAGAGGCAAGAAAGACCACATGGACGGGCAGAGTAAGAGTGTGGCTTTCGTGCCTCCATACTTGATGCCAAGCCCAGGCATCCCACGAGCTTTAAACTCAGACTGCTGGGGCTGGGAAAATCAGCACATGAGTTGAAAACATGGCGAGATAAAAGGCATAGCGTCTAACCGGTTGGCACGCTGACCTGATTAGAAAAAGACACAACAACGAGAAAGGGGAGAGTCGCATTCCTCTCAGCGGGTCCTGGGAGGCGAGGGGATGTAGATGAGCAGAGTCGATCAAAACTGACCCGCCTTGGATGTTGCTCTGGTCTGATTTGCCCCTCCATCCAGTCCATCGTCGACAATGATGAATAAAGCACGGTGATGATTCTTGCACATGAAGCTATTGCTGCTCGATGATTTGGTGCACGAAACCAGTGAACGCAGCAACAGTAGCGAGTGACAGAATGTCCTCTGCAACCCCGCCGTTGGCGACTCCTTGGTTCCCGTGTTAATATGGTATGGGGAAAGCCAATAGCGGGACAGTTTATTTCTCGTAGGAGGGAGGTAAATTGATCGAAAGAGGACAAGGGCGGAGGCAGGGCAGGATCGGGGAGACTTGGTCTTGGGACCAGCCAGGGATGAGCGAGACAGATGTGCGTACAGAATCACAGATTCGGGTTCGGGTAGCCACTGCAGCTAAAGAAAGTGACTTCGCAGGGGCAAAAGCAAAACCTTCGGCTTTAACACATAGTTTTCATGTCACTCGACGGGAAGACTGGTGATGACGCGACGTAACATCATGGTACAGCGAAACAGAGGCAGGTTGGTACGAGACGAAATATTGGTGCCAAACCATGGCCCAGATGGACGGGCTCTCATTTGAATTTTCCAAGGCCCTCGAATATCTTCTTTTGGTAATCCTTTCACATATCCATCTCGTCGGCGTCGTCGCCTCCAATGTTGACCTTCTTCCTTCCTTGGCCCATGAGCTGCGATAGCGCGACCTTGTTGACCTGGCCACCGATCTTGCGTTGCATCTTGGCAATCTCCTCCTCCGCATCGACCGCTTCGGCTTCCGCGAAGTCGAGGACAAGCCTGCGGCCGAGCAAGTGGGTGTCTCGCAACGCGTTGAGCGCGTTTTCCGCCTCCCGCGGCGTGACAAACTCGGCAAAAGCAAAACCTCTGGTCGAGTTGCCGAACTTCTTGGGCAAGCGCACCGCCCTGAGCTGGCCATAAGTGCCAAACAGGGTACGGATGTCCTTCTTTGTTGCTTCGAAGGGCAAGTTCTTGATGACGACCTTGGTCCGCTGTCCGGCCGCCTTGCGAGCCTTGTCTTCCCGGCGGCGCTCCTCTGCTGCGTCTTGGGCCTTGTGCGAGGCCTTGACGGCGAGAGTGTGTCCTTCGAGAACAAATCCATCCATCGACTTGAGAGCGGCCTGTGCCTGCTCCTTTGTCTTGAACACTACAAAGCCGAAACCCATACTCAACACCTGTCCAGGCTTCTTGGGGTCCATCTTGGTCTTCACTCTTGCGGAGACAAAACCGTCCAACGGCTTAAACGTCTCCGCCAACTTCTCTGTTGTTGTGGAGAAGTTCAAGTTCCGGACGAACAGCGACGTTGTCTCGAAGTCTGCCTCGCCCTGTTCATCCCGCCCCAGAAGCTCCGTCACGCTGAGCTTCTGAACACCAGCGGGCCTATCTGTCTTGCCCTGCGTCATGTTTACTGAGGCGTCAGTCTTGAGAAGGTCCTTGGGGCCCTTCTCCAAGAACAGCACAGTGTCCTTGATCCGTCTGTACGCAAGCTTGGCGAACGCCGCCTTTGCATGTGCTGCCTGAGCAAAGTCCACAATGGCAATGGTACCACTAGGCGGCATCAACACCCTCAGAACCGTACCATGCTCCTCGAACATGGTCCTCAGCTCCTCCATCGTCGTACCGAACGGGAAATTTTTGACCAGAATGGTCGTGTCGCCCCGCTTTTGTGACTTGAAGGCATCGAGATCGACACCATTGGATGCGAAGTATGCCTTAGTCTCTTGAATGATCGACGTCTCGGCGATGGCCTGCTTCACACCAGCATCTGCCGATGTGGGATCGAGAAGCTCTGATTTAGACACCCCCAAGCGGCTGGCAACTGAGGCGTTGACTGCGTCCTGGCTCATGTAGAGAGAATTCCAGTTGAAGGAGCTAGAGGCAGCCTCGGCCTTCTTTCGGATCAGGTTCTGTTTTTTCAAGGGCAGTCTGGAGATTGCAAACTCATCCAGCCCTGTGTCGCGCTTTTCCGCAGCAGGCAAGATGTGTAGAAGTCGCCCTTGGAAGGTCTGACCATCCGACGACTGGAATGCGGCAACAGCAGAGTCGGCATTCGTGAACTGCACCATGGCAAAGCCCTTGCTTGCCCCAGCAGCAGTGACCGGCAGGTGTACCTATCCAGAAGATTAGCAATCTGAGTCCAGTCATGAGGTCCTCATGAAAAGCTGAGAAGAGAAATCATTTTCAGAAAGTCGAAGCATCTACTAAAATACCGATCCAAGGTTCGCATCAAACATCATTCGATGTCAGCTGTCCCTATCTGGATTCATCACAAGATTTGTTGTGCCGGTGGCTGAATACTGAGCAAGAAAGTGTTGTCGCTTACCTCTTGGAGCTCTCCAAACTGTTCAAAGTGGTCTCGCAGGTCGTCCTCTCTGACGGTGTAGGCCAGATTCCTGACGAACAGCCTGAAGGTTCGCTTGATGGTGGCAAGGGCATCATCTTCGTCCTTCGCAGGCTTTTCCTCAGAAGGGACCGGGGCGTCTTCAGCTTCAGCTCCGGCCTCTGTCTCGGACTTGGGTTTCTCGGAGCCCTCCGCGGGTCCCTCGTGATTGAGTGCGGGTGTGCTTCCGACTGTCTCTCCACTGTCTTGTTGAGCCGGAGGTTGGGGCACTTCGTCATCATCCACGAGATCTAAGAGACGATTTGTCCTTGAGCGAAGCCAATCATCGTCCGAAGTTGCCGCGTTGTTGTTTACAGCAGCGGGAGCAGCCTCCTCCTGAGACGCGTCTGGCGTCGGCCCAGGGATTGGCGCGGCGTCCGGCATTGCCTCGTCCTTTTCCGGCAAAGGTTCCGCGGGATGGTCTCCCTTCGGTGCCTCCCTCATCAATCGTTTTTCAGGCCGAGCCGGGATAGTTTCATATTCATCGTCACTTTCGCCATCCTCGAGCAGCTTCTTCTGCTTTTTAGCAGCGGCGACATCGTCCATCACATCCAACATCTCATTGGCGGAAGACTTGTTGCCGGGCTGGAAGACCTGCAAATACTCGCGCAGCTTGGGATCAGATTCATCGATCTCCTGCCGCTTGCGCTTCTTGTTGTCATCCTTCTCTGCATCGGGTGGCGGAGGAGCAGCTGGTTCTGACAGCTTTGCCACGGACGACTGCTCGCCCGTCGCCTTCATCTTCTGAGGGACAGCATCTGCAATCTATAGGGGGAGGGTACGTCAGCAAAGGGACGTTATCTTTACGTGAGCCATCTTAAACGTACCGGCCTTGCAAGTTCGACATTGATTCTCGACATGCGAATGTAAGACTTATTAAAGTACCTGACAGCCTTGGCAGCAACCTCAGGCGTCTTGTACCCAACGTAGCCAATCCTTCTTTGAGGGATAACCTTGACATCTGTGACCTCGCGACCGCCAGCTGAAAAGTGCTTTCGAAAATCGGCATCGGTGATCTTGGGAGGCAATCCCCTAACGAAGATGCGGGAGGTCTCCATTGCAGGAGCGGCAGGAGCGGTGGCAGCCATTACGAAAAAGGGGGTATCTCAATAAAATAACAAACGTTTGTAAGAAAGAGGAAGGAAATTGGTGCGAGCGTGACTGCTCTGGGGTGTTCTGGCTATAAACCCAAGTCCATCCTGCCGTGAGGGTGTGAGGAAGAAGTGCAGAAATGATTGTTGACTTCCAGATGAAGAGGAAAACGGGACTTGCCTTGAATTTTTTTTCTGCTCTTATCGTTATCGACATGTGACCTTGGGCCCCGCAGTCCCACTTTCCAAACCTGTCAATGGTTAGCGCATGACTGAGATGCCGGCAAGGATATGTGGCCCGTGCACCAAAGCAACCCGACTCGATCTAATGGACCCCTTCCAGTCGCGGCCGTCGTCAGGCTGGCCCAACACGCGACAACACTTCACAAAGACAAGTTCAACCTCAGCCAATTCCTCCTCTTGAGCCTCGCAGTGTAAGTGGGTTATCGGAACCGCTCATATACGCTTGCTAACAGCTCCTGCATAGTCAAATCGACCAAGTAAGTAGCCCTGAAGCCGGAGGCGCAGCATTCGACGTTCAACCAGAAAAGGGGTTCTTTGCTTCGCCCGCGCAAGTACGATGCTGTTTTGAGGCTGACGACGATACGATAGCCACCGGACCCGCCGTTTCTCCCGAATTCACAATGGCCGACGTCAAGCAGAGCGCCTCACCCGCTCCCCGGGACAAGTTGGAAGGTATGTGCAAGCTCCGAAGCGGTCTGCGAAGTCGTGGCAAGGCTGACGCGGATTGGAATCTAGCTCAGGTCAAGAGCGCCGACATGGTGAGCCCCGACAAGCACAAGAACAACACTTTCGAGCGGTGATGTTGACGATCGCAGACCGAGGATATGCAACAGGAGTGCATCGAAGTCGGTACGTAACGTCATCTCCGGAGGCCCCTCCTGCAACCCCGCCGCCGTACTGACGACCCCTCCACAGCCCAGGAGGCCATGGCCAAGTTCACCATTGAGAAGGTGCGATTCTGATGCGGACCTCATGTTCCATTAGCTGGCGTCGCAGACGTACATTAACACTAGTTGCAGGACATCGCCCAGCACATCAAGCGTACTGTAAGTCTCGGTGCCTATTCTTGCCCGCTGTGGTACGGTGGCTAACGATTCGGTATGCTTAGTTCGATGAGCGCAAGGGTCCTACATGGCACTGCATTGTCGGCCGCAACTTTGGCAGCTTCGTCACGCACGGTACGTCTACCAAAGTCTAGTTCCTTTCACAGTTTTCCGACCTCTCCCCACCACGACACCTCGAGAAACACGATGCAATGCCGACGTACAGTAACTGACCTATGACACGTTTACAGAGACAAAGCACTTCATCTACTTCTACCTCGGCCACTGCGCAATCCTCCTCTTCAAGACTCAATAAGCGAAGCGAACCGAGCCGAAAACCACCTGTTTACATACGACACCCCGGAGACGGCTCAATGTTAATATGGTGTACGAGGTTTTAGGGGGCGGCTTTTCAAGACTAGCAGCCTGATATGGGATAATGGGACATGACATTTTTTGCAAAGGCGCGTATGCGGATTGCTTCGATGTCGGAAGAGATACTCAAAAGGGGGGTGTGAAGTTGAAGTGCTTTCTGTTCGGCATCTCGACATGGTTATCCTCTTTGGTAGGCGGGAGCTCGTTCTTCTACCGCTACAATAGACATCTTTACTACGCACCCGCTGCAGCTGAGAGAAGCATCATTAGGGACGACACCTCTTTACCTCGGTTTGAGCACGTGGCTGGGTCACTTTATATTTTCCTCCCCGTCTGGGTAATTGAGTTCTACATGAAGGGACTGAAACGGGCGTTAGCCGTGATGGTGTCTGGCACGAGGACGGTGAGGGAGGAACGCTTGAACTTGACAACCAATGGCCCAAAAGAAGGACTGATCTAATGGCAAAGTCAAAACAAGTCTGGCTGGGGAAGAGAGCCGCCGTAAACAGCGCGATCGTCACTTTTCACAGATAGGACGACGACGTCGTTAACCAACTGCAATGGCGCGTCGTATCTCGAACATGCCTATCGAAAAACGTATCATCGACGAGTCGACAGTTCGGTCTCTATCTCAAGGCATCTGCAGTAGAAGCGAAGAACCCTTCATATCCCTCTCTCACTCTCTTTCTTCCTCGTCATAAAATAAACATATACAAAGCAAACGACCTCAATTCCATCCCGTACTGCAGCGACACGCAGCCAAGATCAATTCCTCTTACTACACGCAAAACACAGGAACTCTTCCACAATCTTTTTACAGTTTAACGTATTAGATAGGTCAGCTCCTTGATCTCATTAATCAGGATATACAACCTATCGAAGAAGATATCAAGCCTCGTAAACCCGAGCTAGGCACAGCACCTCTCTCCTCCAACCGCCCCCCCTCTCTCCCACGAGTTCCTCGGCATCTCGACAGACATGTCAACGAGCACCTGTCCCGTCACGAAAAAAAAAAAGGCCAGGGAACCACGGTCGACGTGCCGTTTCAGACGGACCCAATGCGACGAATCAGACCCAGCACCACCCGTGTTTCCCTTCACACGGCTCCGGAGCCGAAGCCGACGGACGGACGGGTTGAGAGAGGGCGAGGGAAGTAGAAATGTGTGTATGGTATAATAAGTCGTGATATCGTCTCCCTTTGTGATTCCACGCCGAGGTCCTGGGATATGAGGCTCTTTCGGCGTCTGCAGATCCCCAACACCTACAGATACCAGCAGCTTTCCAATGATCGACCCCAAGGTGTCTAGGATCCGAGAAACCCGTTTATGATGAACCAGGATATATAACACAGGCGCGGACGAGGCCAGTGCCTCTTTCGGGGCACCTTTTTTCGTCTCAAGTCTCGCATCTTCCCCTCTGCAGTTTGATCGAATTGCGCACATATGCACACACACATCCTTGGAATTATGACGACCCGACACTTTGGAAACCGGCTGGTTAGGTCTTGCCAACCCCCTCTTCCTCCTCCTCGGCCGATAGAGAGCTGTTTGCCATGTAGAGCTACCGACCAGGCAAAACCTATCTACACTGCATATCCATTCGCCCTCCGTCGGGGCCTGGACACGCGAGTCGGCCCGCCATGGAGCCCTCGTTTCTTTTGGTGTTGCGCATCAAGATTTCCCGAGGCGATGCGCGAGGACGGCCGCTTTCGCCGCGGACGTTGGTCCGGCTGGAATTCGGAGTGCAGGTGCCTCTCTGTCGGCCTTCAGCGCTCCACATGGTCTCGGAGTGAGGTCACATTCTAAGTGGCATTTGGAGACTTTGGTGCTGTCAGGCACCCAGCAACTACCCGGTGTCGTTCGCCGTCAGGTCAGGTACCTCAAAGGTGCTGATACGTACCGGAGGAGAACGGAGCACACGGCGACAGGGGATGGAGAGGATCCAGCTTCTGAAGACAACCCAGTTGGGCTTGGCATCTCTCGGGTAGGAGGTCTCGGGGGCCCGTCCGACTCTGCTTTTTCGGGCTCTCTCACCTGACGCCGACCTACGGCAGAAGACTGGCTAGGGCTGGCTATTGGTACATAGAACAGGTAGGTAATGTAAGTACTTAGGAGGGTAGGTAGAGCCAGACGCCCATGTTCCAGATTTCTTCCTACAGCCGATTCTTCTTCTGGACCCGCGCCTGGCGTCGAATTACTTCCTGAGGGCATGCGCTAAGAGCCAAGGAAAGCGCTGCCCACGCTATGTACGGTCGACGCCAGATGATGGAGGGGAGAAACCCGCTTTTGCCTGGACTCGGCGACCGGTGGCTGGCTGCTGCCGGATCTACACGACGGGAAGGGAAAAGAATGTAACGGGGGGCGCTTCGTTCGAACGTGGTGGAGAGAGAGCCAGAGTCAGCGGCGGCGGGATGTCTCTCCAAATGATCTGCGACGCATTGAGGACAAAAGTCGTCTCTCTACAATGGTCCTCAGGACCACTTCTGAAATGTAAGGAGACTCCAACCGCTGTCGTATACGGGTAATGGAGAAGGTCTTCTCTCCAAATGGCCCATGCCAGGAAGTTGAAATCAGTGAGTCCGGGAGACCTTCTTGACGACGACCTTCCTGATGTCCTCTTCTGGAGGGCACCACGTTAGCATCCCGAGTTGCGGGCCATTCTCTAAAGCGTTTAGACGCGTGTGGTCCGAGGGTGTGCGGTGGTGGTGGTGGTTCTGCCGCCGTCGCCGTTGTTCACCTCTCCACAAAACTCAAAAAGGGCTGGGCGTACTCGCGATGTACCTTACTCTTGCCGTGAGCTGGAAGCGGGGAAATGGAACTCCAAGGGCGGCGCCGGAGTAATCAATTCATTGCAATGTTCCTGTATAGTTGTAGCGCGACATGTATGCGCAATTAAATCTAGCAACAACCTTTACTGTGGCTGCCTAAGACGTGTCGTTGGCAGACGGAGGAACGTCAGGTAACGTGGTGCGGTGCGGTTTGCGAGGGCCCGCAAGCTCCAGGGACGATCAATCCAGGGTCCCAGTGCAGGGGATGATCTTCAAGATCAGGTCCCGAATCGAGCACCGGAACGGAGGGACGTCGAGCGAGGAGTATTGAGCGCGGTTGATTCCAATCTCGCCCCTCACCACCACCTTTTCTCGGTTGTGCTTCTTACTTGTCGGGTGGATGCTAATTATCATGCCTGCTTCACTCGTCGAATTGAGTTGGATCCCTTGAGTCCGACAGCCGATTTGATTGGGTTCAAAGGACATCGTGGTGGTGGACGGAGCGGGACCAGCCCGGCTGGCTCTGCGAGTCGGTTGGTCCGCTCGTCTTCCCATGAGAAGGTTCGATACGCACGGGACAGTAGCCGGTCTTACTTATCCGATCCGAACTCTCATCTTGTCTCTGCCTCAACTGTCCAAGGTTTCTTCTTTGCATCTTTGGTGTCCGCCAGCAAGCACACTCGACGCTAGTTCCTGTGTGTAGCCGTCCGACATGCCCGCCATCTTCGGATGGAGTAACCCGTTCGAGCAGATGGTGCTACACAGCAGTTTTCGTGTCTTACAATGATGCCTCTGGCTGGCTTGAAACCAATGTCCCGCGGCATGGAAGGCAGTCTTCGCTTTCCACAAGAGAAGAGCCGAATCGGAGGAAAAGCACATAATATCGCGGCTTAATTGCCCCTCGCTCGTTGACTGGGAACTCGCATGACCGGCTTTTTCCAGTGAGCCGGGCGGCAGCCATAAGCCGGGGTTGGAGAATGTCCTGCAGCGCTCGAATCTATCGACTGAGCCACGGCATCCAGGCCCCGAGTTGGCAGCGAGGCGGGGAAGGGAGGCATGTATCTCTTGTGTACCTACACCCTTTCGGATGAGCTTGCATCCACCAATCAACCCGGGAACGACTTCTCGATTGTCCCGGGCTAATTCATTATTTGAGACAAGTTGGAAGAATGAAGCCAGAAGAAGCGTCGCTCAAGCCCGGAGAAGAGAAGGGCGTTGGAGAAGCGAGCGTCGTGAGATATCTCAACGCACTGCCGATTTTGGCTTAGATCTTGAAGCCGGTATGAGAAGGCTAGAAGCCGAGCGAGATGGCTTTGTCGAAAAGGACGAAGGCGTTGCCATTGCCTGAGCAGCAACTCAGTAAGAATTGTTCGTATCACTGTACGGAGGCTCCTCTTCGTGTTGTGGATTTATTCCTTCAGCTTACAGCTGGCTGTCGATGCTGGATATACCTGTATTTTCGCTCCCGCGTTGGGTTTCGGTCCTATTCCGGGCCCCCAAGTAAGCTGATGTTATATATCGGCTCCGTCATCGTCTTCAAGTACCACTCAGACGTCTTGAGCTGATGGTACCGTGGTGTCCCAGGAGATGGCGCTTGACCCCACGCCGTTACCGGGAAGCGTGGCTCGAGCCGTGTCTGATCGTGGGGTTGTCGCGCGGGAGACACACTGGCCCTCAGCAGGTCATTGAGGCCATTCTGCGTGAGTTGGATCATGTTGACATATCCGTAAGGTCGCTGATTCCCTGTCACGCCGTCGATTGTGGGTTGCTATTTTCTGCTCCGCCGCCAGCCAACGTGGGATCGGCGGGATATATTTGGGTGCGGACCTTGCTGCCCCCTTGCAACGAGCAGCAGAGCCTAGCACCCGCCAACCGCCTCGGCGTGTTTCTCCTTTCCCGTTACAGGACATGGACAGGCGTGGCAGCAAGCGTCGAGGGTAACGCCAGCTGCTCGAGCGACAGCATCAAACATCTGAACGACGGCAGATAGATTAAAACGTCTGGGGAAAAGACGGATTCGCTGGCAGACGAGGTCGGTCGGCGAATGTAAGAAATTGGACGCTTATGCTGGGTCCATGGAAGTTCCCTCTGGGCCTTTGCTGTATCATCGACGTCTGAACTTTTGGCAGTCTCCCCGATGTTTATTGCGGTGGGGCAATGAATGCCCGTTTTTC